TCGCCGCCGAATCCGTAGGGCGTGTATGATTGAGAATGCATGTCTTCTGGCCTGTGACTGTCCAGGCTAGCGAGGATGGATCCACAGCTGTCAGATGCCCACAGGTTGTTTTGCGGTTTGTCGGATCCATCGTCTTGGATGATTTGGCCCCAGTAGGCCTTTCCGTCAGAGACATAGCTGACGCGACGGTCGCCGCTCTTGGTGGCGATGAGGGAGTCCTCCCGGTAGAAGAGGCTGGTGTCTGGCTGGTCTGGCACACTTTGGCAAGCCAGCTTTCCAGATGCATCATAGTGGTACTCGCAAAGCTGCTTGTCGTCCGCAGCGCGCACTCTGATCAAGCGACCTAAGCTGTCATACTCTAATTTACGGCCCTGCTCATCCCTGGTCAGACTCCCGTTGGCGTCGTACTCGAGAACAACACTTGCAGGGTAGGCGTTGTTTGTGTTGGTGATCGAAATCAGCTGGGTGGGATCATCTTTGCTGAAAGTATAGCTTGCTGCATTGGAATCTTGATTGTGAAAAGTCATTGTCTGTTTAACAATGTTGTCGTATTCGTCGAATTCAAAGGTTTGCTCCTTGATTTCATTTCCTTGCTGATCAGCTGGAGCTCGACTTCCATCGCACTCGTATCTTTTCAGGCGGTTCTGATTGTCATATGTGAGCCTTTCATCTCGAATAGTGACGCCTTCATTATCCTCCAGGGCCCGCGTAGCGACAAGACTCGTTTCGCCATAGGTCTGACTGAGTGAATACATGACCTGTCCTTTTTTCTTGACCATCCGCTTGGTCTCGCGGCCAATGTCATCATAGCTCAACAGAAATGTTAATTTGACACCATCCTCCTGATCCTCAAGACTGTACTCAGACAGTCGACCTGACCTGCTGCAATATATAAACGAAACTCTCATCTTGCTCTGAATCAAAGATGCCGGTCTACCGTAAGTGTCATACTCGATCGATTGCCTCTGTTGGTGGGGATTGACATAGTGCTGCAGTAGACCTGCCATGGAATACTGATATTCAGACGAAAATGACTCCCCCCCTTTTACTTGAATGGTCTCTTTCTTGAGGAGAGACGAGGGTGTGTATTCTCGGATCTGCGTACTGTACGATCCCTTCATTTTAGTTGGCAAAGCAGTCTGAGGATCATATTCGTAAATGTCGGAGTTTGCATCGCTGGTAGTGAGGCTCTTGGGGGCGTACTGCAGTGCGGGCTCATAGGTAATCTCGCATTCCTGACCTTTTGCATTCGTGATTCGTTTTGGCTCGGGTGCATGGCCCTCGTAGATCTGCCGGGTGGTGCGTGGACCGACCTTCCGATGCATAACGCGCCCTAGCCCATCGAATGACTGCCCTCCAATGGTGACGCCGTTGAGGCTGACTTTCGCCGGCAATGCAGCCTCACCATGTTCTGCATAGTCGGCTGTCACTGTTCGAGAATCCGACCACGTCGTCTTGGTGATCCGGTCAAAGCTGTCGGACTCATACTTGATGATTCGGCCAACTTGGTCCTCTTCTTCGACCAGACGCCCCAAGCCGTCATACCGGTACTTGACAGAGCTGTAAAGGGTCTTGTCTGTTTTGCATAGATGTATCAGTGTTGGGTTACCGGAAACGTCATGGTAGGTTTTCGTATATCCTTCCCCTTCAATCCCTGTAGTTTCGGTGAGATCGACTGGATCGGATTTCGATATAGTGACCAGGCCAGACTTTTCCGTTGTCTTGCAGACTCCTCCCCAATTATCATACTCGAGCTGTTTGCTAGTCTCCAGGGACGTGAGCTGCCCGTTCTCGCCCCGCAACCAGTCAACCTCGGTAACCTCGATGCATTGGCCTTGAGCATCATAGTTGCGCTTTTCGGCAAGATGGAACTCTGCTGAGGTGTTACCTGCAGCATATGCCTCCCTGTCATGGTCCTGTTTCTCGGTGCGACAGGGCCTCTCCAGTCCATCAGTGACATAGCGGGTTTTCACCCCCGTCGCATCAGTAACTATGGTTTCCGTGCCGTAGTTTTGCTCAAGGGCTGCGTACTCCCATTGTCGTACTGCTTCTTGCGGTGTGCCTGCAGATGTGATTGCCTTGGTAATCTGCCCCAGCGTATTATACAGGAAGCAGTCCTCCACTCCGGCTTGATCTTTGTGTGCCATGGTCAACCCGCGCAACGCGGAGTAAACCGTCTCCTCCTCAACCACAGAACCGTCAAAGGTTGTGGTGCATGCTTTGAGAGTCATCAGATCGCCGTTCCGACTGTAGCTCAGCTTTTTGGTGGTGGGAGACTTGTCTAAGTGAGATGTCACCTGTTGTTCAAGGCAGCCGTGATATGTCGCTGTAGGGTTGTCTAGGTATGCGAAAGTCGTCCTGGAAAGAACATGGTTGCCGGTAGAGGTTATGTGCTGCTGAGCACCCACAAAGTATGCAGCTTCTGCGCCATGGGCTGTGGGTATTTTGACATATCGGTACTTCTCCGTGCGCGTTGGTGCCGGATAATCACCGGGCCCAGGCACAACAGTTTCTGTCTTCATATATCGCCGAAACCCGTGAGGATCGCGAGGACAGCCCAGGTTATTTGAGTCTGAAGTGTCCTCTCCTTCTTCTGGGTAATATGTGCGGTGAATCTCCACGCCGTCCGGTCGGATCTCCAGGGTTGGGTTGCCCCATTCGTCGTATGTCTGCTTAGTCGTTTCGGAACGAGGAGAGCGGCCACTATTGTCCTTGTACATCTTGATGGTCGTATGTGGCAACTGACAATAGGCAGGTTGCTTTTCGAACTTCTCGTAGGGCTTGCTGTGGTAGGAAATGGACTCTGTTGTGACGCAGGAGCCCTTCTCCTGCTGCGAGCTGACCAAAAGATGAAAGTGATTGTAGGTGTTCGTCGTCTTGGTACCTCCTTGAACCGTGACAATCGAACTATATGTGTACTCGTCTCGAGTACGATACAAGTTGTCTTCGCCGTCATTCCACTCCAAACCGGCATTGTAACCATAGGAATTGTGTCCGTCCCGTGGAGAAAACTCGTACTTGGTCTTTATCTTAGGTGGGAAATTGCCCGGCCAGACTGTATGCCATTCAACATGGGGGATGTAAAGGTAAGGCGCTTTGGGGGGTAGTCTGTGTCCGTCCAACTTGTACTCCAGTTGCTCCTGCAGGCCACTGGGACTGGTGGTTTTGGTGATACACAATGATGGACCATGCAGCTCATAGTCGAAGGTCCATGACGGCGCGCTTGCCAGAGGCAATACCAGCTTCTTGAGGTAGTTGTCTCTCACTCCAAGGGAGAGGGTGCTTTTTTCCGGGGTGTTCGGAGACCGAATAATCTTCTTCACGATTGACTTGTAGTCAACCTCAAGCAGGTCCTGAGAATCCTCCTCGATCTTGGTCAACAGAGGGTACCCAGTCGATTTGAGGACTTCCCAAATGAGTCTCAGATGGCGTCCATTGGGGGCGACTATCTGAAAGGGAACGAATCGGTCAAAGATACCACTGCTATTCTTGAGGATTTCGACCTGTCCCGACTTATACACCACCTGGTAAGATGTGACTTTTCTGCCATTCTCTTCCTTCTGGAATTTCGTAAAGTTGAAACTCTTCAGCTTTTGGTCGGGAACGGACACGCTCCCGGCCAGTTCGATGACCTTGAAGTGCTCGCCAGTGGAGAGATAGAGCGTTTTACTCTCATTGTCATAGTTCGTGAGATTGAAAGACCACCCTTTCCCCAGACCAAAATCGAAGAAATTCATGGGGCTGAAGCTCAAGGTCAATTTCAACGAGGGACAGTTTCGAGCCTCTTCGGGGGCCCCCCACACGTCGATTGCGCAGGTGTATTGACCGGTTCGAGGGTCCACACCTTTCTCCAGAAGACTACCAAAGTTGGAGCTCTGCGTGTAGATTGGGATATCAGACGGCATGGCTGGTCTGGCAATAAAAAGCGAATGTCTTGATCGAGTAAACAGTGTATGAGGAACTAGAGTAGAAGGAGACAGGAAGAAGGTATCCTTTCATTGTCCACTCCTTTCAGAACAATTTCGTAAACTTTCTCTCTTTGGAAGAAATGCACTTCCGGCTGTTCTTTGCTACTCCTGTTCGGCACCAAGCACGGAGGCTCTGCACACTATCACTGCATAATGCGTCACACACGAGACAGTTTCTTTACATCACATCAAGCATGTGTAGCGGTATAATACATCACAAGTGAGGCATTGTCTTTCTACATTAGACATATGGGAGTAAGTGGGCAGAGGTGTGACTCTGTGGCTTATCCTATTTGACCAGAAAGTATGCACTTCTATGGCTATCAGAGCTCACTGGAGATACATCAACCGATGGTAAGCCATTTTTGATGTTTTGATTGGACCTTGAAAGCATTTCTTCTGCTGGTGCAATGATACTGTGGCTTGCTGGGCCCATTCATCAGTCCGATATGTATACTCATTATCCTCCATCCACGCGTCATTGATCGACACCTACATTACGTGACGAAAAGAAGATATCCAGATATTGAATCAGAGGAGTCAACGAGCAAGAAAATGCTACATACGCACATATCGTGTTCATCCGCACTGGTGCCTTGAAGCGGACGGATTCCTGTTTCCCCTCTGCCCGCGTAACCTTTTCGGTGCTCGATTTCAACACGCCGTATCAACTGCCAACCATTACCTGCATATACTTGTTGAGTTATATGACCTGTATCTACAACATCAAGACCGAGAGCAGATTCCATCGGGGGTTACCTTTCTGCAGCTGTCCCAGAATACAACACCACGCCCCCACCCGTTCTATGAAGCTCAGCTCTTGTACCTCCGAAGCCTGACACGTTCTCCAAGCCAGTACAAGGATTGCATAATAGAGCGTCAAAGATATATGAGCAGACTTTTCTACTCTGTATCTAGAAATTGCATCCTGTATCCCCAACCGAGTTTCTATCAATCCTGTATCCCGATTGAGCTCCTTTTCAGCCTTGTCCCCAACCGAGTCCTCTTCTATTCCGACTGCAACTAGAAAGCATGTCTTCATCTTCAAAGTGGGAGGCTACCAGCTTCGAGATCCTGACGCAGGGCCGTGACAGGGTCTCCGACCAATTGTTTGCCAACGGCCGCATGCAAGTGCCGCTGAGAATCAACATCAAAGCCGCCGCCCAGAGTGCAAGCGGAGAGCTAGTCCCCTACAAGTTGTCTCCAGACGAGCTGGACCGGATCAGGCTCAAGGATCACCATACGAATGGACCATTGCCCAGCGCATGGCAAGAGACCGACCACAAGAGCGGAGACTGGTCTGATACATTCCCCAACGCGAGCGCCCCCGAAGAGAGCGCGCCGCGTGAGGACGACAGTCAGAGTTATATACTGTGGATTAGCACGACTGAAAACGGACTCAAGCACATCCAGGCCACGATTCCAAACGGTCAGGGCACTTGGCAGACCACCAAGAACTCCATCGCCCTGACTGCGGTGTATCCTATCAGGTACAGGGTTTCGGAGAGTCACAACATCGAATACCGCAAGAATGAGGTGGCGAAAGGAAGCTGGACGGGCGAGAAGCACCCCGACGTACACAGGGGAGACTGGACACAATATAACTGGTACTTCTCGACTACAGCCCATCCGACAAAGCAGGTAGAGCTGCACGACTTTTCGCCGGATGACTTGCAGCTTAAGCTTGGGGATAAAAAGCTGAGAAACGCCTGGCGGATGAAGATGGAAGCCAACTCCCTGCAGATCGCTTACGTCTGGGAATGCAGCCAGAGACGGGAAGCGCCTTTTGGGTGTTACTACATGGACCGCCCTCAAACGATGACGGTCAATCAGGCTGCAAACGCGTTGCGTGTGACACTTCTCAGTTTCACGCATCCTGTCCGGAATAAATACCCGTACAATTTTACGTTCAAGCCGTGGTTTGAGATCTTTGATATCTACGGGAACTCGGGGCGGTTCAGTCTGAAACTGACCGATGAAAATGCTGTCGAGTTTGAGAACTATTCCTAGTTCCATGACTCAATTGGAATGGCACGAGGATTTGAAATCGTGGACTATGGGTTCAATCCCAGGAATTGTTTCTATATTGACCCAATCTCAAAGCAACCAGTACACAAACAGAATGAATGAACCTTCAATATATGGCTTGAAATGTAGTCACTACTGATATTTTCATCAAAGTCAAAGGGCCGATTGACTACCTTCATCTTACAGTTACCCTCAATGTGAGCTTCACTCTGATATTGCCACGCGAGTTTCAATAATCTCTATCAACTTTCTACTTGCAACGTTGCGTATGATAGTTAGACAACCTGGACAATCCTGAGCTGTTCATATGTTGATGAGGGAGATACTTAGACTATAGTAGATATACTATCCAGTGATATAGCGGAATCAACCAGGTATTCCCATTATCCCATCCAAACCCAGATCCACGAATGGGAAACTAATTCCTATATCAGAAGATCAAACCTAATATGATGTAATAAGATATATAATCAATAGAAAAGAAAAAGGAAAAAAGAGTCATATCCAGCTGACGATCGGATTAGTCATTTCTCCTTGCCTTTACTTAAGTTTCTCCTCATCCCCACTTTGTCCCGTCCCCGGATTATACGTTTGTACCTGTGTTTACATATGTGCCTCTACTAAGGTACACAATAGAAGAGATAGATATGTCTGTCTCAGCCCCCAATCAGGATCGAGATCGATCAGGCAGGAGCACGCCCATCATCGATCCGGGGAATCAATATGATGAGCGTACACCGCTGCTGGGAGAGCCCAGAGAGGGACGACCCCCGGCTGCTCCGTGGAGTACCGTCTGGGCCCAGAGCAAGGGCATGGTGTTGGTGATGCTGTCGCAGTTCTTCGGGGCTTCGATGAATGTTATGACGCAGATGTTGGAGTGGAAGGGGAAGAATGGTGAGGGGTTGCATCCGTTCCAGGTATTCCCACACCTACACTTACACACAATTAACATATAGGACTGCCTATATGTGCTATATACTGACTATAACCCCGTACTAACTACACAACTACTATGTAGATCCTGTTCGCCCGTATGTCCATCACTGTCGTGGTGAGCTACCTCTACATGTGGTATGCGGGGGTCCCGCATCCCTTCGGCACGCGCCCCGTCTTCGGCCTGCTAATGCTCCGTGCTGCCGGCGGGTTCTGGGGCGTCTACGGACTCTACTACTCGGTTCAGTATCTCGCTCTGTCCGAAGCGACCGTGTTGACCTTCCTGGCACCCATCCTCAGCTGCTACGCCTGCTCGTTCTTCATCCCTAATGAGACGTTTACATGGAAACAGCAGGTAGCCGGTCTGGTGTCCCTGGGCGGGGTCGTCCTCATCGCCCGGCCGTTCTCCGCCGCATCGCCGCCGCAAACCCCGCCGGCGGGACCCGGCATCGAGAACAGCCACAGAGGGAGCGAGGCGGACCACGTGGCCGCCACTATCATGGCCCTCGTCGGGGTGATGGGCGCTTCGTGCGCCTACACGGCGATCCGGATGATCGGGCAACGCTGCCATCCGTTGGTGTCGGTGACGTACTTTTCGTCGTTCACGACAATAGTGTCGCTGGTGGCCATGCTGACGCTGCCGTCGGTGCCGCTGGAGCTGCCGGGGACGCCGATGGAATGGTCGCTGCTGGTGGGGTTGGGAGTGTGTGGATTCTTGCTGCAGTTTCTGTTGACGGCCGGGTTGGCTTACGTGCCGCCGTCGCGGGCATCGGAGAAAACTGCTGGGGAGGAGGATGGTGATGAGACCGATGATGATGATGATGACCGGCCGCAGGAACGGTCGGCGACTTCGTCCGGATCCCGAGCGACATCAATGTTGTACACGCAGATGGTGTTTGCGGTGTTGTATGACAAGATGGTGTGGGGGAGTACACTGTCGATCGTGAGCTGGATCGGATCGGGGTTGATCATCGGGAGTGCCCTGTATGTCGCCGTGGCGCGAGAGAGGGGGCCCCGGTGAGGGAAATAAGCAAAATAAATCAGGCCAGATGCACGAGGACGCCGTCGACGTCAGACGGTTACTTCGACGAACCGGAACGACCCGAGGAGAGACAAAAAAGACGACGAGAGGGAGGAGGAAGGGAGAAAGAAAGAGCGCAAATGGATGACGGATCGTGCCGAGCGGGGCCTGAGGCGGCGCTGATTGGCCGCCTGGGTGCCTGGCGGGGCCTGGCGAGACCTCAGGCCAACACGAGCCAACCAGAGGAGCAGCAGATCGTTGAATGGAGAAGAGTCCTCCGACTTGCTATACAGGAGATGATAGATGATAGATATATAGATCTGTATGTCGCTCCACTTCTCTCCACTCCTTTGATCGACATCATAGTATATCCTATATCCTATATACACCCCCCCCAATCAGTAAAATGCGCCACTTCGACGCCTGGCTCCTCCGCGACCCCTACTCCATCTTCCACTACTACTCCACCGGCCGACGCTGGCAAGAGACCGTCCGCGACCTAATCCAAGAGCGCAAGATCTGTTCCCCCCCGTCTCCAGGGGAGAACGACGATGCTACTATCGACCCATACGCCCGCCCCCTCCATCCCCAATCCACCTGTGCCTTCCTGCAGCGCCTACCCCTCGAGATCCGCCTCCTCATCTACCAATACGTCTTCGGCCAAGACGTCGTCGTCCATCTCGTCCAGCTCAAGGGCCAGATCCGCCACGTGCGCTGTCACGAGACCCGCTCGTCGCTCGCTCGCAACCGGCGCTGTTGTCCGGTAACACCTGCGCGCTGGCGCATTCACGACCAGCCTGCCTCATCTTCATTATCACCATCCCCACACAGTCGACTATCGCAAGGGAAACCCCCTCAACCAGGGGCGCATCGCACAGACGCAGTCCTCTACCCGCACTCCCACGCCCAACTCCCCAACAACCTAAGCAACTCCTCCCCCGCCCTCCTCCGCACCTGTCGCGCCATCTACGCCGAAGCAGCCGACCTGCTCTACCGCGATCGCGTCTTCGACGTCGATGACCTGCACACCTTTATCGCGTTCTCCCGCGCAATCAGCCCGTCCAGCCGGCGCGCCATCAACCGTCTAACCGTCCACTGGATGCCTATCTTTCCTCCGTTGATGAACCCAGATAATCCCGCCTCCGCAGCAGCATCAGCCTCTATCTTCACGCACACGCATAATGACCACCTCTGGTCACTGTTCTGGTCGCGCGTTGCCTCACTTCCGAATATAAAGGAACTCCTCCTGGCAATCGACCTCGGCCGGTTTACCGCTGCGAACTTCACCCATCCCCTTCCCCCAACAACAACCACTACTACTACCACCCCTACAACACCCGCTACCGCAGGAGGCACCCTCCTCACCCCCCGCCTCCGCCTCTCCATCGACGAACCCTGGGTAACGCCCCTCCTCGCCATCCGCGGCATCCAACACTTCGATCTAGCCATCACCGCGCGGTGTGACCCCGTCGCGAAGCGCCTGCTGGAACCGGAGTTGTGTAAAGAGGCGGGGACGCTGCGCGATCATTTACGTGCTGTGCTTTGTGCTGAGCCGGATCCGGATCCGCTTCCTCTTTTCCAGACGTTGCCGAAGGCTGTGAGGGAGATTCTTGAGGCTGCGGCTGCGGCTGAGGCTGGGGCTGGGGCTGGGGCTTCTTCTTGGGCGGGGAGGGATGGGAGGAGGGGGGAGGGGAAGATGGGGAGGAGGAGGTTGGCTATTACTGCTGCTTGATATGCTTCTTCTTCTTCTTCTTCTTCTTCTTCTTTCTTGTTTTACTTCACTTCTTTTGATACGGGTGTGCGTGGAAGAGAAGGTGAAGATGCAGAGCGGACTCGTTCCCTAACATACTACCTCATCTTGGTTATCTACCTATCTACCTACCTACTAACCTACTACCTACACGATCAACGACCGATACCCTTTGTCTCTTTGTTTCTTTCTTCCTTATTTCTGGGGTTCTTTCATTTAGCATTTATTCAGCGTTCTGATTCGTCTCGTCGTGTCTTGTTTCCATTGCATACTGCATACTATACTGCATCTACACTGACTACACTACATATTATATCATATCACACTACTACAGCATCTCCAATCTCATAATCCTATCTTCCTACATACGTACCATACAGAATCAATCCTACCTCCTGCACACACATAGATACTCCACAGTAGGTACCTACCTATACCGATATTGGCATACCTATATATAAAAGTAATTGGAGGTAAATCAATCTATTCATACCCATTCACCAGAAACAAAATCAGAAGCGACAATCGACAATCGACAATTCCATAATAAAGATATACCCTCGTTCGCTCCATCCATTTGACCATCCAACTGAGGTCATCGTTCCCGTTTTCCGTTTCGTTCTGTCCGTCCATCCTCTTTTCGCGACGCGTCCAATTCCCCCGTCCAATTCACATCATATATTATAGGTACGGGGAAGAGTAATAATATCAACGGAGAATGATAAATCAAAGAAGAAAAGGAAAGAAAACCAAATGTAAAAATAAAGGTGATACGAGGAAATATGGGTTAAGACACGGGTGAGAAAGCCAAAAAGAAGAAAAAGAAAAGAAAAGAGAAAGGTCGTAGTGATGACAAAGGGTCAACAGGAAAGCTTCTTAGACTGTCGTCGCAGAGGCTTGCGGCTTCGCCGACGGGCTGGCATGTCCGTTACGGTGTTCCTGGTCGGATTCCCGCTCTTCCTCGCTGGCCGGCGAGTGGCCACGGCTGTCCACCAACGAGCGGCGGCTGCGCATCTATTTCATATTAGCGGGTCGGAAAAAAAAAAAAAAAAAAAAAAAAAGAACGAAAAGATAGGAGGCATACCCAAGATCGTACACCACCGAACAATCCCAAACTGTATCCCGTCGCAAAATCAGGCTCGTTGCGTCCACTCGGTCCAGGGCTCTCGGGTCGGCCCCGTGACTCCACACGGGACAGATGCGATTTGATGCCCGTCGGGCTGATCAGGCCACTCCGGCCGTTGCCATAGTCCATGCTGTTCCGGGCGCTCGGGGCCGGGCTGCCGGGACGGCTGTTCCAGAACTGGCGCAGTTCGCGGCCCAGCTCCTGACCGGTGGTCGTCCAGTTGGTCCGGATGGTGTCCCGGATCTCACCCACGTGACGCTTGATCTCCAACTCGTTCTTCTTGATCCACGACACGTTCAACTCCTGCCGCGACGCGCCCCGCTTGAACTGTCGGGAGATGTATTGATCGTAATCGCGGACGACCCTGTTTCTATTAGTCTGCATTCTGGGAGAGGCTGTCGCTGGAAATCAACTGGTGGAGATCGACATACCGTGTGATGATCCCCGTCGTGCTGACACCCTCCGTGCGCTGGGTGACGAGGAACCTGCCCTGCGCCTTGATGGGGGCGTAGATATCATCCCCCTCATCGGCGCCGTAGGGGATATCGTCGTGGGCGACGTAGTCGATCTGGTGCTCGTCGATGAACTCGGGGGTGACGATCCAGGGGCAATCCGGGATGACCTCATCCACCCACTTGCAGTGGCGGATGCTCTCGGCGCGTTCGGCGCCACTGAGGACGGTCAAACCCTTGCGCAGATGGGTCTCGGCATTGCCGGTGACACCGACCATGAGATGGACATCGGGGAAAGCCTTCTTGGCCTGTTCGAGTTGACGCATGTGACTAATCGACCATTAGTATTCTGAATTTCCCACGGGTCGTGGCAGAGAGAAGGAGAGAGGGAGAGCGTACCCCAGATGGAAGAGATCAAAAACACCATCGGCGTAGATGCGAATTGGTCGACCGACCGGGGGGTCGTTGGTGCGATAGCCCACGGGGTGTTGCAGGCCGGCCCGCTCAGGGGGTTCCATCAACTCCTCATCCTCCTCCTCTTCGGGATCGAGGGTCTCGACGTGCAATTCCGGTCGGCCCCGACGGGCCTCCTCGATATCACTGCTGGCGACGGTGGTCTCGGAGGGTTCACCAGGGTCTTCCTTGTTGCCATTCACATGGTTGTCGCTGGAGGTGCTCTTGCGGGCGCGCTTGGAGGCGGGGGCATTTCCGGCGGAGGTGACGTCAACGGGAGGGTTCATGTTGTGCTTGGTGGAGGAGGGGGTGTTAACGTCGGTGGAATCATCGCCATCCTCACCGGATGCATCGCGAGAGGAGGGTTGTAGGGTCTCTGCGGTGGTGGATTTGGCGGATTTGGCGGCATTAGCGGGAGATTGTTGGGCGGCAGCGCGCTTCCGCTTGCCGGCGTTGGAGTGAGAGGCCATCGTGTGTGACTGGAGGAGCACTGCTCAACTACTGTCTGAGATAAGGCAGGAAATAGGGAAAAAGGAAAAAAGGGGGGGGGGGTGAGACAAAAGAGTAATGGTTAACGAGAGATAAGAGGTGGGAAGACTAGTGGGCGGTATGAATAAAGGGAGGGGGATGTGGGGAGGGAGAGGAAGAAGAAGAAAGAGGAAGCAGGAGGAGAAGAAGAAGAAGAAGAAGAAGAAGAAGAGAAGAAAAGAAGAAGACGATAGTAGTACAAGATAAGGAAGTGGGTAAAGTCAAGTGAATGTTGGCCCTGAAGGGGAGAAAGAAGGAGAGAGAGAGAGAGAGAGATGGATGGAAGGGGAAAAAAGACACGGGGAGATTTTACTCTATTTTCTGACTGATTGATTTAATTAATTCTCAGGATCGAGCTCTGCCTTGAAATCCTTCCTGGTTTTTATTTTTTATTATTATTATTACGACGACAATAATTATTCTTTTTTTTTCTTTCTTTTTTGATTTGCTTTGACTAGGGATTACAATAATGAATTTTGGAATCAGTATCACTGAGTGGTCAATAAGGGCTCCACCCCTCACAACTCCGTCCTGACTCCGTCTGGATTCTTACGTACCTGGGAGGTCGGCCTGGTACCTGAAAATGATGGTGTCAACTTGGTCACTGATGATCCTATCTCTCCCACCAATCGCAGTGGTCTCCCTCTTTAGATCAAACACTGCACACATAGAAAAGAAAAAAACAAAAACAAAAACAAGAACAAAGTATAATAGTAATAAGGAAAATCCAAAAAAAGGGGCACATCGCTGGAAATGTCACCATCGTGACCCCAGTGGAGAATCCCAAGAACACTTACGAAAGTGACTACTGTAAGGTACTAGACGTACCAAGGCTCCCTCCAATGCTTGTTCTGTAATACCGTATTCGTATGTATCATTACACTCTATCCCCCGTTCTTCCCCCCTCCCTCCCCTCTAATCCACACAATACAATTGTATCGGACATACCCCGTACCATGTCCACCCCTATCCAGGGCGCCCTATCGCTTCGAGATGACGATCATCTGGACCCCAACGCTTTCAAAAGGATCACTTGGGATTATAGCTTCCCCTTTTGATGGAGGATTTTCTATCGTGATCCATGAGAATTTCGAAGGATTAGCATCCAGCTCACATTTCCAGAAACTCCGCTGCCCATGCTTCTTGCCACCTGGTTGCCCCTCCATCCCCCCTCAGTCCACCAAGTCTACCAAGCCCACCATGTCCACCATGTCCACCATGTCCACCATGTCCACCATGTCCATCCCCGAGAAAAGGACCTTTAGGGCTAGCTCAGCCTGGCTGTCGTCCGGGTCGTTTCCGCCCCTCCCGGCCCCGATTTCCCCGGCGGCCACCCTCCCCTTGCCCCGCCGGGGGAATCAGTGCCGATGACCCAGAACAAAACTTAATCATATAGTAAGGAACGATAGAAAAATGATGAGAAAATAGTAGGGAAGAAAAAAAGAAAGAACCGATACGAGACGTCAGGAACCGAACGAAGACACTTCGCGTGGAATAGGATAGAGATAGCAAGATTCACCAACTGTGGTCGTTTGGTGCGGTATCTTCTGAGAAGGCATGAACAGACGTACTCTCGTGAGGCCTGCCGCTCGCGGCTTGTAATGAGGAAACAGAGTATCAAGAGAAAAAAGGGACAAAATGAAGAAAAAAAAGAGAACAAGCAACAAACAACCCTCCTATCCTAAGACGAACTCCCCCCCCTCCAGACACCCCTCCCAATTACCCCGTCCCGTCCCGCTGCAGAAGAGACGAGTCATCATCACCCCGCCATGGAGCGCCGATGCCACCCCTCCCTCGCCTTCGTTTCTGGTCGGCCAATTTCATCATTGCCCAAGGTGTTGCAATCATCAAGGGGGAAAAGCAGGAGGAAGATGGAAAAGTTAGAAAGAAAAAGAAAATAGGAATAAAAAATGATATCCGACAGACAAAACATGGCGCTTCAGGACAGGGTCGTGGGGAAAAGAACCAGATAAGATAAACAAACACGGACAGGGCGGGAACAGTCAAAGAAACACACCGGTCTCATTTCCAATCAAAGGTCGAGAGAGGAAATGGAAAAAGACGCGGAGGAGGCATGAAGGGGGTGACAAAAGATTAGGAAAGAACACGGGAATAAGGAAAAAAAAAACACAGGATACGATGCAAAAAAAACAAATCATGCAAAAAGAAAAAAAGAAAGGATATCCTTCTCCACTACGAGGTAGACTTCTCCGAGGAACCCGACGCCGGATTGGCAGCAGGAGCTTCGGAACTGGCAGAGGCAGATGCACCTTCGGATTTGGACGCGGGATTGTTCTTCGACTGCGGCCCGGGGGTGCCCTCGCGCTCGTTCCGAGTCGAGTCGGGCGACTGCCGGTCTACTTGGTTGGACATATCCCGGTCCTCGTCGGTCTGGTCAAACAGCTCCTCGTCATTCTGCTCCGGGACCAGCTCGGTGCCGTCGCCCAACAGGATGATCCGCCCCGAGCGAACACTGAAGCCACGCGCACGGTCATTCTCCATGTCGTAGTCATCAGGGTTCTCCTCAAACTGGTTCCGGATGCCGGGGCCACGGAATTCAGCTGCATCCCCGTTTCTGTCAGTAGGGGCTAGAGGCCGGAGGGTCCTCGAGAGACTTGCCGTACTCGGGCGGGGCACAAGGCCCATCCCCCTTCGCCACCCGCTCGGCGATCTGATTGTACCACTCCTCTTTGGTGCGGCCGTTCAGCAGACCGATCACGACCATGGTCATGTTATCACACCCGACACCACCCGTTTCGCTGTTGGACGCGAGACAGTTGTCCATCATGTTCTCGCAGATCCGGTACAGGTCTTGCTTGGCGGCAATACCGCGACGGACGAACTCGACCACTGCCTGCGAGGATTGGCAGTCCCAAATCCCTATAACCAACCAGTTAGCAAAACCGCACCAGCAAGAAAGTTTCATGTTTCCATCTTGAGGCACAAACCGTCACAAGCAATGACCAGGAACTCATCGTCGTCGGTGAGTTCGTGGACGGTCACATCCGGATAGGCCGTCACGATCTGCTGCTCCGGCGACAGCTCCGCGCTCTTCTTGAATTCGAAATCACCGATGGCTCGGGACAGGGCCAGGTTGCCGTTCACGCGACCAAAGTCGACGAAGCCTCCGGCGGCACTGATGCGGGCCTTTTCGCCTGTAGTCACACTGTCAGATCGCAAACCCACACACGACAGGGAAATCGCTCCCCAAAGAAAGGACAAAGCTTACCCTCATTCTGCGGCTTGTGGTCGAAGGACAGGGGCTTTGCGCGACCCTTGACACCGAGGACCGATCGGGAGTCACCAGCGTTGGCCTGTGAGGAATTAGCGACAGCCCGCGACGGGGAAGAAAGGCCGGGAAGAGGATACGCACCACCCAGATCTTGTGCTTGGAGATGACGCTGACGGCCGCAGTGCAGCCGGACACTTCCTCCTCATATTTCGGATCTAGCCGGGTCAGTTCGGGAGCGCTTCGGGATACGGGATCAAGACACGAGGGAGGGGTGGGATGGTCGGAGAAAGAAGGTCCCCGGGGACTCCAGAGATAGCGATCAACGAACCTTCCAGAATGGCACGATCGGTCGCCAAAAAGCCGTCCTTCAGAGCCTGTTCGATATCGCCGGATTCAAACGCCTTCTGCTTTGCGACAATCTTATGGACATTATCTCCCGCGAACAAGGCTACCTTGTCGCCACCATGCCCATCGTATACACCGAAGAAGGCCAGGCGTTTATCGGGGTCGGACTGTTGTTGGTTCTCCGAGAACTTCGCTTGCAGGTCGAGGACAGCGGCATGGGCGTCTTCCATACTAATCCGCCAGCCCTGCATGGCCGAAACACCATAGATGCAGCATTCATCTTGACCCTCGGAGGAAGTCTACCGACAAAAAGCGATTGGTTAGCTAGGGTGGAGTCCAAAGGTGGGTGTGAGCACGTTGGAGGTGACAGATCACGCGGTGCGCAGCCGTGAGCGGGAAATTTTCTTCCTGTGGAGGAGGACCCCGCAGGTCGGGATCACCACGCAGCGGCCCCTCAGAGAAGAGGGGGAGAGACGACGACACAACGTGGGATCCGACAATGCATTTCGGGGGAAATCGACCAGGATAACAAGAATTGGAATATAGCAGAGTAGAAAATAAAAAGATCTTTGGGAAGAGAGGGAAGTAAAAAGGGAGGGGAAAAAATCACATCCTGCCTACGCGAGATAGGCAGGGAAGGATCTGATATCGACAATGTGGGGGAGGAAAGGATTCGGAAGGCAGCAGAGACATCATTTCGCCGATTTTGTTTTTCTTTTGTCTTTCTTCCTCCCCTCTTCCATGCTTCTTCGTCTTCTTTCCTCCCTTGTCATGGGTGATTGTTTTGTAGGACACAACTCACCTTATCGACTACGGGCTCGGACAAGGTCTGACCCATGATTTCTAAGGATGGCAATTAAGTGTCAAAAAGGGCAAGACGACAAGCCAGCGACGCGCATATACCGCAGAGGGTATAGGAGAGAGGGAGAGTGAGGAAATTGAGGAGTCTCGAGAGACCAAGGATGAAGAGAGACGAGGTGGGGGAGGGGGAAGTGGGAAGAAGGGATGTAGGAGAGGAGTTGGAAAAAGAAGAAGAAGACGAAGGGTAGAAGACCGGAATGAGGGTCCACAGGAGTAAAAAGCTTTGAGATGTTTGGGTTTGGATAGAGAGAGGAAGAAGGAAAGAGGGGGAGAAGAGGAAGAGAGAGAGAGAGAGAGAGAGGGAGAAAGAAGAGAATGAGCGAAGCCAAGTCAGGTGGGAGGAGAGAAGGGCAGAATGAGAACAAGGCCCAGCGCAGGTTTAGGCGGCGTGATCCCTCCCTCTCCAGGCGGTCGATCCCTTGGACTTTTTCTTTTTTATTTTCTGTTTTATAAAGGAGGAATTATTAAATTATCTATTTTCTATTTTTTGAGTCCACATTTCTATGTACTCACTACTCAGAATGAATAAGAACCAGAAGAATCATGCTTGAAAATGGAGGGGCCGAGGGAAAAACGTGCGACGAAAAGAGATAAAGCGAGAGAACGAATCAATGACGAGCTACACCTGTTTGGATGGTACGAGTCATTCTCTTCAACAGACCTATGTGAATATCTTGGATTACTGTAGATGATTTAATCACTATTACCTGCCTCCTCCTACTTACCACCCAGCCTTGGTAATTACCTTACCTACCGTGTAGAAGGTTGGAACAAAGATCAACCCAGATCGAGGGGATTAAGATTGAGCCTGAGGTTGGATCTGAGTTACCGAAACCAGTCACGAGCCTCAACCAGGCAGAGTTTTCAGTATGGTCGATGAGATCTTCCCTACTCCTTCTACATCTAAAGATTGCAGGACCGGTTCCCTCTCAACTGGTAGACATATTGGACATGAGATCTGATCCATCCAACAACATGTTACTTGCAAGATCAGTCCATTCTCCATCATGGATGGAAACCAGATCGGGTTGACCTCGGCCTGGTATGGTCACGTACCGTACATACAGCCCGCCGATCAGGCACCCAGGCAGCCACCCATCTGATCTATATCTACCGCCTGATGTAGGCATCACCGTCTCACCGTCAGCCTGGTAGGTACTAGGTAGTACCTAGGTACCTGTAGGTACCTACATGCACCCTTGCTTGACCTAAATTCATTCAGTCAGTCAGCTAGCCACACCCTGCCTCTTCTCGAATGCATCCTAAAGCAAGGTTCCTTCGGTAGGCAAGGTATTGTGTCAAAGAGCGCCGAGAAAGCCCTCCCTCGGTTATCCAATCATTTCCTTGGCTCGTGGGGTGGGAGTTCCTTGGGATCTCAACCCATGGCTGGGGGTGAAAGATTGAGAAGGAGGAAGGATTGGAAAGAAAGAAATCGCGGGGCGCTTCCAATGGCAATCTTGCTAGGTTTTAGTAGTCTAAACTTACCCGGTAGTAGGTAACTAGGTATTTAGCCACTGTACCCTACTGACTTAGTAAGGCCTATGTAAGTTACGATACACTCTGATCTAGCCCTTACTAGAGAATAAAGCACGAGCCATCTTAGATATGTGTAATTGTATACCGTCACGATAGTATTAGTAGTAGAGGATATTCGCAGTTGACAGTAGAAGATATAGCAAAACAAAACAAAACCAACCAAACCAACCAAACCAAGTAACCCGTTGAGGATATCATGATGCAAGATGCAAGACCGTCTCATACGCCAAACCATGGATATAACACACGCATTGATATTAGACAAACGCAATATCACTCCGACTGCCCCCTGTCAAGTCGCGCTGCATCCCACGCCGCTCGCTCAGGTCCCTCTCCGCCACCCGCATCAAACTCGCCCGAGACAGCCGTCTATCCAACGGGATCGACGAGTCTGAGGGGCTCTTTCGCATCAGTTTCGAGCCCATCTCACCCGTAAATTTCTGCACATGAGAACTATCCCGGTACCAGTAGCGGTGGCTGTCGTGGAAGAACGGGTTCATGGGGTCGTCGGTCCCGCTAGGGGTGTCTCCAGGCCGGGCACTACCCAGACTCAACTGGCTCTGGAACCGCGGAAGCGGCGCGATCATCTTGGAGTAGTTCTGGGCGAGGCTCGACTGGCTCTGCTCTGTCGGGACTGGGCCTAGGGGTCGGATGACGGGCGACTCCTCCGACAGGGCCTGTAGGCAGGTCGACTGCCGGTGGTCGTCGGTGTAGATGGACGCTGACATCGCGGTGGACCAGGGTCGGTCGTGGACGGATCGTCGATGGTCGTCCGTGTAGATCGAGCTGGCAAGGGTATCTGTGCGGCTGGCGTTGCTGCGAGCTCTCTCTAACGCGCGGATACCCGACGAGTTTCGACGGCTGACCTGGCCCGAAAACATGGGGTTCGAGGCGTTTCGGCTTTTGGCTCGACCGTGCACGAATGCCTCCAGCGAGTCGAACTCGGATTTCGTCATATTATCCGCCTCCACGGTTCGGAGGCTCATGCGCGCTGGGTAGTCGAGGTTATCCCATGCCCGAGGTGGGGGTCGTGGGAACAACGGGGCCAGGTTCCCGACGCTGTTTTCGTCACTCTGTAACGAATCGTGCGCATTCTGCCACGATTTTCGAACGACCCCGTGCCCGGGTGGGCCAAATCCACCGGCACCATGGCCAGCGCCGCTGAGTCTCACTGGGAGCCCCGAAGCTACCGAGGACAACCCGCTAGAGCGTCTAGAGTGTCTCTTCGATTTGGAAGACGTGACGGAATTTCGCTTCAACGACCTCCTAGGTTGAATTGACTTCAATGGTTCCCGTCGTCTGGTACTCGTATTGGTTCGCCCGCGCATGGGCGGGCTGCCTTGGAAGGATAAGCGTTTCGGTTGAGCGTGGGTACTGTCTGCCTGTTTCCCATCTTCGGGTTCTGGATCCCTCAGAGGGGCGAAATCCCACTCAATAGTAGAGCCGGAAAGGGTGGTTTTTTTGCCCTGTCGGTTACGCAGCGGTGCGGTGTCATCAAACGAGTCCGAATTCCACAGCGGCCCCAGTTCCAACTTCGGCGGTCTCGAGGACGGTGAATTACTTCCTACTACGGGAGGCTGGCCTTGGGCGGTCCCTTCAAAAGGCTGGGAGTGCGGTAAGTCCGGATCATACAATGGCCCGCCCTTCTCGTCCGGTAACTGCCCTTCCTCGGGGTTCGTTGGGGTCCGTCTGCGACGCCAGCAGCAGAAGAGAAGCACCACGCTGATCACAAAAGCCACGGGAATCACGACCGAGATAGCAATTATGCCAGCCTTCTTCCCGCGGATACCACTGCTGCTGTTGCCCTCGTCATGCGAGCTCTTCTCCACGACGGTATTGATAGCTAGCTCCCGGCTATCCTCGGCAGTCCCTTCACGAGCAATCACTTGAATAGCATCTTTACTCGGGCTTACGTCGGATGGGACCTGACCGTAGAGGGACTTGTTGGCAGAGCTATAATGTAGCCATGGAAGCTCTTGGTGGTCCATCTCAACGTCAACATGAACGGAGTCATTGGTGAGCACAGATTGATCGAAAGTGAATTCGAAAAAATCTCCGATAACGGCGTCACAGTCTTTCAGGTCATCGTGAAAGAACTGGGAATGCTGCAGGCTAACAATCATAGTGGCCACATTCTGATAGGTGTCTGTAACAGTGATCGTCACATTCTGGTCGGTAGAATCTGCGGGAGGGGTCCCGTGGAAAGACAACGTTTTCCTGTTAAGCGAGAGCCAGTCTGGTAAATCCACATCGAGATTGGATAGATCGGCGGGAGCTAGCGCATGGCCGTCCAGCTTCAAGGTTTCGATGAACTCCGGACTCGTAAATTCCTTGCCCCTGGTGACAAAGAAAGTCTGCGCACTGTGGTTGAATGCGAGAACATGTGGGCTGGCGGTCATCTCGAAAGTCATTGTTGCGGCGCTGAATCCAGCCACATCCGAGGCGACCAGGTTGAACGTGAACGTCTGAGGCCCGACATTAGGGGTGGACCCTGTAAACCTAAGCGCCGCCTCATCAAATATAATCCAGGATGGCAATGGTGCATTCTCTGGTGACGTTCCGTAATATACAGTTGAAGAGCGTGTGTTGGAGAATGTTTCGGAGTCAAACGATATCGAAAAGGAATCGCCTGAGTGTAGGAGGAACCGGGAGGGCGCAGAGGTAGGACCGAGTTTTTCAAGCTGTGGAAGCAAGGGCTTCCCAGGTTGTGGCCCATCCTCCGCCGTTACAATGAGAGTGACCTCCATGACGTCGGAGTGATTTGGTCCATTTGAAGCTGTCAGGCCGAATTTCACGGTCCCAGTATCGTCTTTTTTGGGCGTTCCGAATAAAGTCCGGGTTTTGCTGTTCACATGAAGCCACGATGGGGCCTTGGAGAGGGCGTATGTAGTGTCCGAGTCGCTTCCACCAAAGGTGCCTTGAGAGAAGACGAACTGGAATGGTTTTGACACTCGTGCCACCGGAGGTAGTTGTGCATTTACCGGATAACTTAGGTCCAAGCTCGCGTTGACACCCACGAAAAGAAGACCGAGGATTACCAGCGCGATGCGTGCCATGTCTTCAGAATATGAAGAACGAGTCGAGGAAAGTCGACACGCCCACATCGCTTGTCTTCTTGATCATACGAGGTCCGCCGAAATCAAAGGATAGTTTCAGAAGAGAAGGGAAAATTGGAGAGAGGAAGTTGAACAGAGGTTCAAGAAACGGGCATGACCCGTAGAAAGAGGAGTGCATCGCCCTCAAGGGTGGTTGCGCCATAGGGAGACCGGTCCCAGGAGCGGCACGAAGGCGTGCAAGCCCCTTCAACGGAGCCATTCCTGGATATGTTTGACGTCGGGGAAGTATGTAGCGCGTGGTTGAAGAAGCTATGTTCCGACGCGATAAAGCCCACGCTGCGAAATGCACGGCCCTGCAAGGGATGCCTCGCAGGAACCAAGGAGAACGCGTGCCCAACCACAACTGAGGATTTCAGCCCCGGGACAATTAAGGAGGACTTGACAGGTACGAAATTGAAAAGTCCCTTTTTACCACCCAGTGGGAAGAATCCTTCCCCTCCTCCCTCCCCCCTTGGTGTAAAGGGACCAAAAGGGACCAGAAGGGCCCAAGGAGGCGCATAGGAGTTATATTAGGTAACCATTCAGGAGCCACCTTCGAGCTCGAGAATCATTCGAATTCCGGAGCGCCCAGGCGCGTAGTAGTCGGGGATTTCTTCGCGTTCCTCAAACCCATTCCGCACATACAGAGATCGAGCAGGGTCCCTGGCCTTATCGACCCACAACTGGATGAACTGGCAGCCCTCTTTCTGCAGTCGCTCTTGGATATACTTCATGAGCTGCATCCCAACACCTTTCCGGCGATATGACTCCGCAACACAGATTTTGTGCAGCAAAGCCGCTCCCTTTTGTCGAACGTAGACCGCATAGGCGAGCAACGACGGGCCAGTACCTAATGGTCCGTTGGTCACGTACAATACCCTCGTGTTAGGCTTCTTCCTCCAGAGCTCCTCACCAAATGGAAACGCCTCATTCGTGGGAAAGGTCTTTTTCTCGACGCGTGCAATCTGAGCAAGGATCGTGCATGCTTGGCCCTTGTCCAAAGAATGGATGTCTGAAATGATTAAGTTCTCACACATTCCTGCGAGCCCCTCTAGGGTCTACATTCAAGACGGGATCTGTCTGGGAGGCAAGGAAAAAAGTCTGAACCAGTACTCCGGAATGGGTCTGGTAAACTGAATGGCGATGGAATTCTGGATGAATATTAAACCTCAAAAATGAATAAATTATGCTCCGATGCCGCGCGCTATTGCCCTTACCGTATCCGTCTTAGCGCAATACTATGAATCTAGGAATAACTATCTTACATAAGCAACACAATCCACCGCCCTTCAAACCAACTTATGTCTGATTTGTTCATGCGCGTTGTAATCCATCCTGGATTGACGTCTTCTAAACATTCTTAGTTCGAAAGGCCTGGAATAGACCGCCTGAAAGATAGAATAAAATGCCACCGCAGTCTGACGACAAGCGTCAGGCCGCTCGAGAGGTGATTGACATTCTTCACGAGATCTCAACGCTCCTGGTGCGTGACGGCCCCATTCCCGATTCGCGCGCTGTCTCCATACCTTCACTTGGCTAACTTCGGATATAGAACACCGATCTGGATCGCACTGAGCTCTCCCTGTGTGTCTCTTTGATTGAGAATGGTGTTAATCCGGATGCGCTCGCTGTGGGTTTTCTTATGCTGGCCGGTTTCTCGAGTCGTGGAACTAACTGGGTTGACCGGATCTTGTAGACAGTGATCAAGGACCTACGAAAGGAGTCGGTTCCTACTCCCCGTGGATTTCCGAATGAGCAGGACTGATCTTGTTTTGTCGTCTTCTCTTGCCTACATTCGTTCCCGTAACACTTTCAAGACCCAGTGGGCCTTCTTTCGCCATTGGGAATGTTTCTATAGATACCCACTGTTATGCGTCGCTGATGATATAATGAAAAAGGAAAGAAAAAAAGAAAAGAAATGAATTATTATAAAATCTTTACTGAATTACTAGCACATGCTGAAAACAAACGGCTGCACACTTTCAGTGCCTCCTCGCATAATTATCTGGTATCATCAATATCAAGACTATATGAAAGGAAAAGGGACCGATAGCCATCCACTAGCGATACGCAGAAGGCCAAGCAAAAGACAAGGTCAGGAGGTTTTGACCTACGACTTGCTAGCATCTTCGGTCTTATTGTCCTTTGATGCAGCGTCGCCGGTCGTGGCCTCGGTGTTATCCTTCTTGGTACGACTGCCCTCGTCCGCAGGAGAGTTTTCCTTGGGCTTGGTGTCTTTTTCATCATCGCTGTCGCCTAGGCTGAACGGATCGTTGTCCGCAACAGGGGACGGTTCCACGGTGGAGAGAGGTTGCCATTTGCTTGATTTGCCTCCTCCAGCGGAAGGGTTCTGCTTTGACGATGCGGGTGCGCTGTAGCAATCATTGATCTCAGTAGGGGGTCCCTCCTGGAAAGAGACCTTACGCCTGTCTGGCGACGGCGACGAACGCTTGGACAGGTTCGAACCCGCCAGCGGTCTTGGGGGCCGGGGCGGAGGTGCTACAACCGAGGTCAATACACGTGGCGCATAAGAGGACAGAAGACAAATCCACAGGATCTACATACCTTCTCCATCTCTCAGCTCGAGCGCAGAGAAGTCATCACTCAACAGTTGCGGATCGGCATCATAACGTTCGCGGTCCCCGCTGCGACGGCCCATGTCTCCACTGCGTCTCGCGCGGCTGTACTCTGCTTCGCGATAATTGTGCGAAGGCTGTGGGCCATCTTCCTCTTCACCATCGATTCGCTTTTTCAGATCTTGAAACCAGCCAGAGACTTTTGTTTGGGTATCAAGGAAACCTTTGCGGAGGTTATCACGAATCACAGGAAGGTCATCTATCGACGGTTCAGTTAGCTAGGAAGGGCCACGGGCAAGGAAATTGAAGTACCATCGAAGAAGCTGTATTCTCTCTCGTCCGACAGGTCACTCCCCCTTCTCGGTCTCTCGGAGTATGGCTGCTGAGCCGGCGGCGCACGGCGGTTGTAATGCTCAGCCAATTGACGGGCATACAATTCATCGGCCTCCAGTTGTCTTTGGGCTGCAGTAGGGCGCGGGGGTTTCGGAGGGGCAGTATCCGCGGCACTCGGATCGGTCATCCCTAGAAGCGTATGGTCAATCTAACTGAAGACCCAGGCTTGACGCTCAAGTAACCACCAACCGAGTAGAGCATGGAAGGCTCGTTCCACATCCCAACCACTCGCCACCAGGACGGCCTTCACGACGGACCCCTCGATAGATGGGAATGCCTCTTTGAGGGTATTTTCAGCCTGTTGTTGGGGACTCAATGGGCGAGGTGGCTTCGGAGGGGCATTCTGCTGAGAAGTAGCGCCCGACGTCACGCCTGATTCCTGGGGTTCATCGTCGAAGTCCAAAGGCCGTGCCGTGGTCGGAGATTCCGGCTTAGGGCTGATCGGTCCGGAAGGCTTGCTGGGGGTCTATCATCTCCAAATCAGCAACCACATTACGACCGCTGTGGGGTAAAGAGGGGGTTGAACATACACTCCTATCTTCCTCCGACATGGTGAGCGCGGAACAATAACGAAGAGGATCTGAAAAAGGAAAGTATTCAGAAAGTACTGAACCTAGTTGTAAAAGGTAAAAAAAAAAAAGATCCCAGCTATAAGGACAGAGTGGGGGTTGTAAATGAGCCTCACAGGCAGACGGCAATCTAGGCGGAAGATCAGTAACAAGTAGTCCGTTCCATACAGAGTGACGGGAAGCTCCAACTAGTTAGTGCTGCTCAGCCACTCTCGATGCGCAGTGACGTTGGGGCCCACGTGATGTCGAACGGTGCTTACCTCAGCGGGATTTGAGTACGATTGATATTCGGATGGAAACATTTGATATAGAGCTTCGTCTGTTCTTCCATGATTCTGGCGTACGGTTGATTTGACGCAGGTGTCGACTCTGCGTTCAAGATGGATCAATTGCACCTGCTAATTGACGACGGATTATATCTCGGTTGAAAATTAAGCGATTGTTAGCATTGCCGTGTGGAATCGGAAGATCAATACTACCTCTGCTGTCGTGCATTCCGATGCTAGGTATTAGAAAATGGCTTCCGAAATGGACCTCTCGTCTACTTTTATCCCATCACTATACAAGCCTGCAGCTTTGTTGCCGATAGCAAGACATAGAAAAGGCCTACTTTATCTGGTGGAGACCTACCCTGTCACTATAGTTGTTGGGCAGACGGGGAGTGGAAAAACGACACAGTTACCACAGTATCTCGAGCAGGCAGGATGGTGTGCAGATGGAAAATCCATTGCGGTGACGCAGGTCAGCTGTCCCCTTCCTTCGTCCCACTATCTCCCTTTTTCTATCGCGCATTGAAGCTCAAGCTAAATGAACGCAGCCGCGCAGAGTCGCTGCCACCACTGTGGCAGCAAGGGTGGCTGAGGAAATGCGATGCAAGCTTGGTGAAGAGGTGGGCTATTCGATTCGCTTCGAGGACCTTACTTCTGCTTCGACCAGAATCAAATTTCTGACGGACGGAATGCTACTTCGAGAGGCTCTCGTGGATCCTCTGTTGTCACGGTATTCGGTGATCATGGTGGATGAGGCGCATGAAAGATCCCTCAGTACTGACATCCTCCTGGGTATCCTCAAAAAGATCATAAAGAGGCGCCCAGAGCTGAGAATCGTGGTCAGTAGTGCGACCCTCCAAGCTGAGGATTTTCTACGCTTCTTCGCCGGCGACGAGTTTCAAAATGACGCGGACTCTGAGGACCTTGGAGGGAGCGTTGGACGCATCATCAGCTTGGAAGGTCGAATGTATCCAGTGGATATACTGTTTCTCGAGTCTCCTGCAGAAGACTACGTGGAACGGGCCGTCAAAACGGTGTTTGATATTCATCTGCAAGAAGTCGAAGGCGATGTCTTGTTATTCTTAACAGGCCGCGAAGAGATCGACACTGCCATCCAGTTGATTTCGGAACGTGCGGCGACGCTTCATCCAAAGGCGCAATCAATACTCCCTCTGCCACTTTATGCCGGCCTTACGACAGACCAACAAATGTACGTGTTTGAACCGGCCCCGGAGAACACACGCAAGGTCATCGTGTCTACGAACATCGCCGAAGCATCAGTGACAATCAACGGCATCGTGTACGTTGTTGATTGCGGATTTGCCAAATTACGAGCCTACAACCCCACGACAGGCATCGAGACCTTGACAGGCGTACCTATATCGAAGGCCGCGGCTGTCCAACGTGCCGGGCGAGCGGGCAGAACCAAGCCTGGAAAATGCTTTCGCCTTTATACGCAGCAGGCATACGAGCAGCTTCCAGACGCGACAATCCCTGAAATTCAGCGATCCAATCTGGCTCCCGTGGTCATGCAGCTCAAAGCCCTCGGGATAGACAACATAGTCCGCTTCGACTTCTTGACGCCGCCGCCGTCCCACCTTGTGATCCGCGCGTTTGAGCTCCTGTACTCCCTGGGTGCGGTCGATGACCATGCCAAGCTCACCAAGCCCCTGGGGATGCGGATGGCAGAATTAGCGGTTGATCCGATGATGGCCAAGGTCCTCCTCTCGGCACAAACCTTCGGCTGCTTGAGCGAGATCCTCACAATTGCAGCCATGGTCAGCCTTCAAGGGACCGTTTGGGTCCAGCATGAAGGCGACCGAAAATCATCAGAAAGCTGTCGTCGGAAATTCGCAGTCGAAGAAGGGGATCACCTGACGTATCTCAACGTGTATCAAGCATTCGTCACCAAAGGGAAGAAAGACTCCAAGTGGTGTCGGGATAATCTTCTGAACTATCGGTCTCTGCAGCGGGCAGTGAGCATCAGGGCTCAGCTGAAACGGTACCTGGAACGCTTCGGCATCCAGGTCGACGAAACGCTCTCCCGACAGTCGCAAAAGGATCTGGGGAAACCATCCGAGCAGATCCAGCGATGTCTTACCACTGGCTATTTCGCCCATGCAGCAAAGATGCAGCCCGACGGCACTTTCAAGACAGTCACGGGTGGTCTTACTCTCTATGCGCACCCTAGCTCATTGATGTTTGTATGTTTTCTATATATTCACTGCTCGTGTGTCCCGCTTTTTGCTAATAGTTTCCAGAATCGAAAAGCCGACTGGGTCATTTTCCACGAGATCCTGCAAACAGGCGAGAAGACTTTCATCCGAGATGTCACGAAGATCGAAAAGGGCTATCTACTCGAATATGCTCCAAACTATTATAAAGTGAATTAATCTGACTTTGCAAGGGGTGCTTATTGGCAGGCGATGAGCAAGCAGGCGTTTTACTATAGATCGTTTTCATCTCTAGAACGGCTTGATTGGCCAGCTAAATGTTTATGAGCTGCGACGTTAGCCACTTCCAGCGTTTATTAAAAGACGATAGATAGAGTCTCCCCAATTTCACCAAATATATGCACTATGAATCGGCACTGTAGAATTGCCTTATTGCCGTTGCTGCTGTTGTAGAGTCGATTTGACGTGTGTTCTAATGAAAGAAGAATTACCACTCGGTTACAGAATATAGCATGGTAGTCTTGGCTTTCATAAGCAACTCTATCCAGTGCGATACCTAAGATGTCGTCGGTAGAAGTGAAATTGAGGAAGGAGGAAGACAGAGTGGTGATAGAGAAAGCGCCGACGTCATGGTCCTGGCGGGCACCCATTGTTTTTCTCTCGGCGCGGAGAACATCTTACTGATTTCTCCACCCCCAGTCTATAAACTATCACTCTATCCTCAAGACTCGGAGGCTTCTGCTCATCCATTCGAGGCCGAGCTGCAATCCATATTTATCTTCAAGTCTATTAAAGTAAACCCAAATGTCTGGGCACAACCACGATCACGGCCACGGCGGCCATTGCCACGCGGAAGGCCATGACCATTCCAATGATATCACACCTGCAGTTCAATCGCTTCTTTACTCACAGATTCAGTTCGATTCTATCACCACGCTCAATGGTACTGCCACTCATATGACTTAATTCCATTACCTGTACGTGCGGATTTTGCGCCAAGGACACTGCTAACAAGGTCGCAGAGGCCGCTCCGAATTCTGGGGCTAAGATCGTACAAAAAACGTGGAACGAACGGCTCAACGATGAGCCGGAGCTCGAGAGCGATGCCGACGAGCAGCTTCTGATGTACATCCCGTATGTTGATACCTTTTCTGTCCCTCTGTGGATCAGTCTTTGCGTTGTTCTTTCTGCCCGCGAATGCTGGATCGCCCCGCCAAATGCCCCTCATTTGTCCCCGCGGGACTGTCATTCCAAGAACATCATCCTATCGAAGAATGGCTGCACACAGGCTCCTGACCTTTGTCAAATGAAGTAGTCACTAATTCCTCCCCGCAGGTTTGCAGGCCAAGTCAAAGTCCACTCTCTTCTCATGTACACCGCGCCGACATCCTCCGCCCCCAAGACGGTAAAGCTCTTCAAAAACCGCGATGACCTCGATTTCTCAACGGCATCCGATCTCAAACCCGTACAGACCGTCGAGGTCCCACAGCCTGTCCCGGGGGCAGATGTCTTCGAACTACCGCTGAACCGTGCCCATTGGAACGCCACCACCTCGATGACCCTGTTCTTCGAGGACAACTGGAGTGATGGCGAGGAGGATGTAACGAAGGTCGGCTACATTGGTTTCAAGGGCCAGTTCATGGCCTTGAGTCGGGAACCTATTAGCTTTCTTTATGAGGCTGCAGCGAATCCCGGTGACCATGTCTCTATCCAGGGCGTCAATGATATTGGGGGGAGGATTATGCCTGGTCAATGAGGGAATGGTGGGAAGGCCCGGATGGAATACCCTGGTTTTTATCATGTTTTAGCACGGTGCATTTTTTTCAAGCCCGATAATTACAAAAAGGAAAGTGAAAGAAAGGGAGACAGAGAGAGAATATCATAGCGAAGGGAATGAGGGAATACATATCAATAGTCGGATTGCAGAGTCGGACGTCTAGCTAGGTGATTGGTGAATTGACAGACAAGTCTCCAATTGCCAGTGTATACAAATGTAGGAAGGAAAACCAAAAGGCCGCAATCGAGGAGAAACAACCAACGCCAGAAATGCTTTGCTCTGATGATCTATACCGGGTGTTTATAGTTTCCAAGCTTTCAATCGCGCAACGAATGTATATCGATCATGAGGCGAGCATTGGGCCCTGTGGCTCGATCCTCGCCCTTTCTTCGACCGGAGGTTCATCCTCCTCTGGCCCTCTTACCGGTTGTCCCACGGGAGCATTCGGTAAATCAACGGGGCGCTGCCTCTCGCGCTGTAAGCTGGCCAATTCATCCTCGACCTCATCCTCATCCTGCGCCGACAGGCGACCCGCAAGCATCTCGGTGATTTCCTGCACCCCATGTAGTCAGTTTCTAGTACAATCTCACATAAGACAAAGACATCCCATACCTCTTGATAAGCCCTCGCATCATCCGTCTCACCCATCAGCTTCTCAACACCTTCGATACCACCCATCTCCTTGTGAATCGCCTGGAGCACTTCAGTCCCCTGCTGCAAGCCAAGCAAGACGCTCTTCTGAACGAGTGCAAACTCGACATCATTGACTAGTTTCTCCAGGGTCTCCAGCTGGCTGTCTGTCTTGGCCAGGAGCGATTCTTGGTACTTCTTGCGGCGCAGGGCGAGCAGCGCTCGCCTCCGATCATTCTGGGCTAGACATTTCTTGGCGATCTCTGTTTCACGGTCTGTTAGACCGGTGATGCGTCTTTGGTATTGGCGGAGTTTGTCGCGCTGGTTTTTTAGGTCGAGGATTGCTCTGGGGAAGAGACGTTTGATTAGCGGGCTGGTCTGCTTGAGGTCGCTGTTGCTGTTGCATTTGATCGTAGGGGAGGAACAAAAGGTAAGACGTGGAGATCAAGTCAATGATAGACGCTTACCGGTCCTGAGCCGAGATCTTATGAGAGCTGGAGGTGTTCCCCATCGCATCGCATCCTGGCAAGAGTCCGTATGGAGTCGACGTGACTCCGGAGGTAGACTGATCGATAAGTCGATAACTCCGGGGTAGTATGTCATGTAATTCTGTATGTAACGTATGGTTTCATACAATATATATAATACAGAGGATTATCAGACCGCCTCCGCACCAGCCAATAGGAGTGGAGTCCTGACCGCAAATGATTGTCGGTTCATCAATTCTCCGGTCCCGCCCAAATTTGTAGAAATCGACCGAGTCGGAAGTAAGTCAACGGCCTCAATATCCACAGCAGGAAAGCGGGACTTTGAGACTTGGAAATGCGTCGCGGGGGCAGGACGACCTTGAGGCAAGGCCTCGATAAAGAGGTGAGCTTTTCTTGATTATTTTGGACCCGTCGCGCTTCATCTCACTGATCGCTTTATATGCAGATCTACCAAATTGTGCGCAAAATCGTCGACGACCATGCCGACGATACCCAGTTCCGTCTTTCGGTCCCGGTGATCCTTGATGCGATCAAGCGGTCCAACTCCAGCTTGAATAGGAAGCCTAAGAAAATGCTGGAAGACAGCATTGAGCGAGTGGTGGATGTTATGAAAGCCGACATGGGCGACGATGAAAACGATTCCGTGAATGGTGATTTTGAGGGCCTGGAGGATCAATTGGATCATCCAGCTGCAGTGGTATGAAACATCTTTTCTTTCTGAAATGAGGGCGCTGTTATTGTCACAAGCGGATTACGGAGGTTTAGGAGGGCGCTGACGGAGACAGGAAACCAACTCTCTCAACAGAAGCATTGTCGGCATGTGGAACACGGGCTCCAAGACCCAAAAATCAAATGAAAACAACAGCGCCGACGCGCCTCCCGCATCGGCCCCATCCTCGAGCAAACGGCGTCAAAAGGGCGACGAGTCCCACTCGTCCAAGCGGCGCAAGGCTGACACTGCGATTGATCGATCCCCTCCGACCCACGTGAGCCTCAGCGACTTGGGCGGACTGGAGGATGTCGTCCAGGATTTGGGTGATCTGGTGATTCTGCCGATGACTCGGCCACAGGTCTATTTGGCTTCCAATGTGCAGCCTCCCCGCGGTGTGTTGCTGCACGGTCCGCCCGGGTGCGGTAAAACGATGATAGCAAATGCGTTTGCAGCGGAGCTGGGCGTGCCGTTTATCTCGATCTCTGCCCCCTCGATCGTTTCCGGGATGTCAGGCGAGTCGGAGAAGGCGTTGCGCGAGCACTTTGATGAGGCGAAGCGGATAGCACCGTGTCTGATCTTTATTGATGAGATCGATGCGATCACCCCTAAGCGAGAGAGTGCGCAGAGGGAGATGGAGAAGCGAATCGTCGCACAGCTGCTCACATGCATGGATGACTTGGCCTTGGAGAAGACGGACGGGAAACCGGTGATTGTTCTTGCGGCTACCAACCGGCCAGACAGCTTGGACGCAGCCTTGCGCCGGGGAGGCCGGTTCGACAAAGAGATCAACATGACGGTGCCTTCGGAACCGGTCAGAGAGCAGATTCTGCGAGCCCTGACGCGCAAGATGCGCCTAGCAGACGACTTGGACTTCAAAACCCTGGCCAAACGGACGCCTGGATTCGTGGGTGCTGATCTCAACGATCTGGTTTCTACCGCCGGCTCCACGGCGATCAAAAGATATCTGGAAATACTCAAAGCCAACACCGGTGAAGAAATGGACCTCGAGGAGTCAGATGATGGTGTGAGCCCCAAGGTCAAAGAGCTGCGTCGCCTCATCACGCACGCCAAGGAAACCCCAATCGGAGCAGAGGCAGAGGTCGTCTTCGTCTCGAACGCAGACTTCTTCGTCGCACTCCCCAAGATCCAGCCGTCGTCCAAGCGCGAAGGCTTCGCGACCATCCCCGACACCACCTGGGCAGACATCGGAGCCCTAGGCGGCGTCCGCGACGAGCTGTCGACCGCGATCGTCGAGCCGATCCAAGAACCCGACATGTACGCCCGCGTCGGCATCACAGCCCCGACAGGCGTCCTCCTCTGGGGTCCTCCAGGCTGCGGTAAGACGCTCCTGGCCAAGGCCGTGGCGAACGAGTCGCGCGCGAACTTCATCAGCGTCAAGGGGCCAGAGCTGCTCAACAAGTTCGTGGGCGAGTCCGAGCGCGCCGTGCGACAAGTCTTCGTGCGCGCCCGCTCGTCCGTCCCCTGCGTTATCTTCTTCGACGAGCTGGACGCGCTCGTCCCCCGTCGCGACGATACCCTCTCCGAGGCCTCCGCCCGTGTCGTGAACACCTTGCTCACGGAGCTCGACGGCCTGGGCAGTGACCGTCAAGGCATCTACGTGATAGCGGCCACCAACCGGCCTGACATCATCGATCCCGCGATGCTGCGTCCCGGCCGTCTGGAGACCCTCCTCTTCGTCAACCTGCCGAGTCCTCTCGAACGGGTTGATATCCTGCAGACGCTCGTCCGCAACCTGTCCATCGAGTTCTCCGAGGATCTTAGGCGGTTGGCGGAGGAGTGCGAAGGGTTCAGCGGTGCCGACTTGGGCAGTCTACTGCGTCGTGCTGGTTACTGCGCCATTAAGAGACGGGATACTATCAAGTTCGAAGACTTCGTCACTGCTAAACCTTTTATCCGACCCAGTGTTACGGACCTCAAGAAGTACGAAAAGCTGCGGAGGGATTGGAGCGGTGGTGTTGTTTAGATGTATATATTTCTTCTTCTTTATCTTGTTTATACCAGTGTTTTTCGTTGCTTTGTATAGAAGGGGGGTTATAAAATTTAGACGGCTTCATGTTAATGAGACATGACTTATTTGCGCGCAAAGCCCTTCAATCCATATAATGGCCGGTCTGTTCAGGCTCCCTAGTTGTGGCCAGTCGACAAGTATTGCTTCGGCCTACTAAGTTATGAGGAAATCTACGCACGTGATTATTATCAAAACTTTTGATGGATATCTAAGACTAATTATAAACACCAAACGCCCCCTACATGATATAAAGGGTACAATGGGAGCGGAGGAAGTGATCGATGAACGCTGGAATGTCGACATGCAATTACATCCACAACCGACAAGTACCATCCGCACCGGCACTAACACACCACGGCTCCTTGGGGTGCCAGTCGAGATCGAGGACGCCCAGTTCGCCGGTGACCTTGTGGCCCTTGAGGACCTTGAGGGGAACGATGCTGGCGTTGCTGAGCATGTCGCCGGTGACGCTGCCGTGGAAGATCTGGAGCGAGCCGTCGTCACTGGCGTCGGCGAAGAGGGGATAGCGCCCGCCGGGGTGGAAACGGACGGACCGGATGGCCTTGCGGTGGTAGCGGAGGGTCTTGTAGGGGCGCTGGGACAACTCGAGATCGTGCCACAGGAGGCGGCGATCGTAGGATCCGACAATGAGGTTGTCTCCTCCGGCGGCCGTGGAGGACGTCGGGTGGATGTCGAACGACGAGATCCAGCGAGCACCGGGCTGGATGATCTTGACGAGGAGCTGGCGGGACAAGTCGTAGGCGCGGATGGTGCGCTGGTTAGCCACGAAGAGGATCGGTTTCGAGGGGTGGAAGTGCGCGGTTTGCGGAGGACCACCACCCTTGAGGCGCCGGCGGAAGGGGTACTGAGTCAGGTGCTTGGACAGGGTGTGAATCGCGATGGCGACAGAAGCCGGGGTCGAAGATCCGGGGCACACGGTGACGAAGTAGTCACCGCGGCGATGCCACGAGATGGACTTGACCATGTAGCGGAGGGGAATGACCGCGCAGACACCAGCATCCGCGAGGGCTGGAGACGGGCGGATCCAAGTGGGAGGATTGTTCTTCTTGTTTGCCTCTGCGGCGTTGGGGGCAGGCCGCGTCGCCGCGAAACCCCAGCCAGCGTCCAGAAGTTCCAGGCTGGCCTTCTCAACCTCGGGATCCACAATCGGAGGAACCGCGAGGTAGACATCGTCGCCGGTGGCGATGGCCAGAACCACCGCATCCTTGGTCGGTCTCCAACGAACCACGTTGACAGCCTCATCTTCGCTCAGCTTCACGCTCCACAGCTGGCGACCAGTGAGCAACTCCCAGACCCGAGCAGTGCCATCGTCACCACCGGTGGCGAGCCACACACCCGAGGGGTCAACAGCCAGGGAGCGGACACGGCCCTTGTGTCCCCGGAACAACGTGGCGCAGGCGGTGGGGAATGGCTTCAACTCCTCTGGGCTGGGCAGCTTGGGGAGAAGGCTCTCCGGGTCGATGTTCAGCTTGCTCCTCCGGACACGAGGCGCCAGGTAAAGGTCCAGGCAGCGCTCAAACTTCTCTTTGACGAAATTCTCAAAACCAGGGACCTTGCGAAGGGAACCAAAGTCCTGAGGCAGGTACTCTTGCTCCCGGTCCTCGGGATCGGCTTCCTCCCAGGCCTTGCGTTCCTTGTTATCGGGGAGGTACTCCGGGGGAGGGTGGTAACTCTCTTCGTAGCCAGGAGGCGGCAGTTTGGGGGCGGGAACGTTCATGATGTGATCGGGTCGCTCGGCTTCGTCGGCCCAGATATCGTAGGACATCACATTCTCATCCACCTCTTCTCGCTCCGCGGGAGGCTTGTAGGGCAGAATGCGGCCCTGTTTGATCGCCTTGGCAATCTTCATGACCCGCTTGGCCTCGTGCTTGGACGGCACGAATCGGCGCTTGGGCTCCGGCGCAGCACTCAAGGGCATGACTTCCTTCTTGTTGGTGAACCACTCGAGCAGAGGCTCGTACTGGTCGTAGCCATCCGCGGTAATCTCGTTCATCTGCACCCTGCGCAGGAGCTCGAGTTCGTCTTGGCTCAATTCCAATGGCTTGCCAGTGTCAGGGTCGGTCAGGCCCGTCCAGCCCTTGGGAACCTCGATACTATCCAGCAGAGAGTCCAGAGCCTCGCCCTTGGCCGGACGCATGATCTTCTTGCCATTGATATCATAACCAATGTGGGGGTACTGATCGTAGAAAGACAGAGGGATGTTGCCGATGGTGTTTGCTTCCTCATCCACGTCGGAAAGGTCCGAGTTGTCGTCCGGGTTGATCTCATCGTAGATGAAACGATCATTCCCATTGGCGTCCTTCTCGATGCGATAGTTGAGTTCCTCCTCCTCGTCGGACGTCTCCTCCTTGTCCATCGTCGGCATATCCAACTCAGGAGCCTTCTTCAGATCTTCCCCATCAGACGGGATCTCGTCACTATCAAGTTCCTCCTCATCATCCTCCTCCTCATCGCTGAACTCATCCACCAACTCAACCTCCGAATCACTGTCTTCGTCACTCGACAAGTCGTTCGCATTATCAGACAGATCCAGACCCTCAGCGGTCAATTCCTCGCCAGAAAACACCCCCGCATCTTCCTCCACATCGCGAGTCACAGCCTTGCGCTTCTTCGAGACTTTCGAGGGATTCATGGTGAAGAAAATGCCCCGATGTTGTCGAGATTTCCTCTTTTTTCCAGTCTTGATGCAGGAAGTTTTCCGGGGAACTTTTTTTTTTTTTCTTCCTTGCCGAGCCTCGAGGCTGACCGCCCACGTGACACACCGCCTTCTGGGCGGATCTTATCGCGATCCATTTTTGGCCTTTTTTTTATTAGTTCGACCTTCATCTTGTTTTATTGTCCTCGTTGCTTTGCTGATTTTACTCTGAGAAATGCATGCTTGCTTGTCAGGCTCATTTCTCTACCATCTGGCTATCATCAGATCAACTTGAATCTTGAATCGTCAACATATCTAAATTGCAGGCTACCAAAACGTGCAGCAAGGTAGCTATCGATACTTCCTCCGGCAGATGTGGGACAACCAGACTGAGTGGGGCACATCGCTCCCCACGCCTTCTGATGATTCCCAAAGCCAGGATGCTGCTCCGACGTCCCAGCCGCTGAAGCGGCATGCGGCATGCGACGAGTGTAGTATGTGCTCTGTTCAATCTCAAGCGGATGACGATATGTCATGGTTGGGTGCTGATGGGCTTATCCCGGGATAGGGAAACGGAAACTCAAATGCTCGGGGGAGCCCAATGGCTGTAGTCGCTGTGTCAAGCAGTCCCTGTCGTGCCATTATTCTGTACAAAAGCAAATGGGACGACCGCCGAAGAAACGGGCGAGAGAAGATGATGATGAATTGCCGCCGTTTGAGTTCTCTGGCGACGACGCATGGCTGAATGTCAACCCCGCCGATTTCCCTCCCGCGAACCTTACACCACCAGGAGCAACAGGCCCTGTGAACGCATCCCACGGTGTCTTTCCAGAATGGTGTCCGTTGCCGGTGACGAGTGCGTCGCATCAACTCCTCTCGACCGACGAGAATCACAATCATTCGTGGCAACTGGAACAGGGCCAATCGTTCAGCTCCGTTCCAGAGACCACAAGCCCGTGGCCTGACTTTACGAGCGTGACGGCAGCAATGCCGAATCCGTTCACGACGCCGCCGGGCCTACCACAGCTCCAATCGCCCCCCGTGCCGTTCTCTCACTCCCAGACCCCCAGCGGGCAGTGTACATGTCTATCTTATCTCTATCTCTGCCTCAGCCATCTATCCTCCCTCGCCTCGTTCCCCATCTCCCAGCATACCCTGTGTTCGCTGTTCATCGCGTCGCGGACGGCGCAGGCCGTCATCCGCTGCCGGGTCTGTCCCACACGGTTCGCCACAGGCATGCAGAACGTCATGTTCACGGGGACCCTACTCAACGTCATCGCCGACGCCTGGCTCCGCGTATCAAAGACCGACCCAGTAGAACTGGGAAGGCAGGCCGCACCCCCAGCTTACGTATCTGCGCTGCAGAACTCCCCGAACCCGACAGAAGCTTGGGCGGACTGGCTCCGACAGACGGTGCGGTCCAGTTTACTCGGCACACCCAGCGATGAGGCCGGCAGCGTGAAATGCTCCCAGGTCCCGAGTTTACTCTCCTGCATCATTGAGATGGAAAACCGCCAACGAAGCTGGCACCAATCTCATCCGCTCTCTCCCTCGGATTCTCCCAATCAAGCGGACTTGGACTGTCAGGTGGAGGAGGAGAACCTCCTCTGCATACGAGTGGCTCGGAGCGCCAGAGAAGTGATCGCCAAGTTCGGCTTCGAGCCACATGAGTACCCCAACGGTGTGGTGGCTTGAGTGCGTATCGCAGCTCATTCGTCTATCTATATAATCTACTACACTACTATGCAATATCGATATCCTTGCATTTGCTTCAACCGCAGCTGGCCTAGCTTGAGCATCCGGACAATGCTATGGAGTTTCCCACTCACGACTTGCTTCAAAGCGTTTGATTCATCTCACAAGGAAGGAGTCTTTTTGTTGCTTTATTTTATATTGTTTCACTTGGAGCGGTGGGGGGGAGTCGGTTATCCGCTTGGAAGTTAAAAGCGTTGGAGGGAGTCTGATTTTAATTTGGAATTATGTACGTCAAAGAGATGGTTGATGAACACGCATATTTCGGCGCTCAATCTATTTCATTTCTGATTCCCCTACCTGAACTTAGGGACCAATTTTTCGCCAATATTAAACACCCAGACCCTGATGCAAAATGGCATCGTTCGGGGTGTAGGAAATGGAGTCAACAATACACGTGGAAGATGGCGATGGCGAGGAGGAAGAAGGTAGGTAGGTAGAACGGTCGTAGGAAAAATCAAGTGGCAACGGAATTACTCTTCATCGTCGTCGTCCACAATGTAGCGGTGCTTCTTCCGGGCCGGGGGGGTTCCAGCCGCACCCTCGGGGGATGCCTTCTGTTTGGGACGGGCAGCAGGGGCACGTTCCTCTTCGCCTTCCGCATCCATATCGTCATCCTCCAGCACGTCTTCATCGTCGTCATCGTCCGCCACTTCTGGCTCCTCGTCGCTGCCGACCAAGAACCCGTCGTCCTCGTCGTATTCGTCTTCCCGCGTGCGACCCCGCCGGTCGTAATCTTCTTCGTCGTCCGTGTAGATTTCGCCCCGACGGTTGGGCCGCCGTGTCTTCTTTGCCCGCGTCGTCATAAGCCCGTCGTCGTCTTCCAGGCCGCCCACCGTCAGACCGGCCCCGCCGGATCGGTGAGAGACGCCCACGCGACGACCGCGGTCCAGCTCTCGATCGGCGAGCTGCTGGCGCCGCCGGGCAGCCTTCAGCTTCTCGCGCTCCGCCATCTCGGCCTGTCGTTTGGCCAGCTCGGGGTCCTCCTTTACGTCGATGACGGGTGCGGACCCGTCCACCGTCTTCTTGCCGCCGCGGGTGGCCGCGGCCAACGATTCTTGGAGACGTTGCACCGCGTCGTCGGTCTCCATCGTGGTCGGGTTCACGGTGAGGCCGTGGGTTAAGTGCGAGGTCAATCGGAAGACCGATGACGCTTCGGCGGCGGCTCCCAGGTATACGTGGGAATCCAGCTTCGTGTCATAATCTCCGGACTTGTTGAGGGGAGCCAATGGCTTGGTCGAGATCCGGTATTGCTCTTTGGGCGCGGACGCCAGTTGCAGGGTCATGGATCCGTCCTCCCAGCGCACAAGACGAGCGTTCGACTGCAGGAGTGAGTCGTCGTTAGGGTCGTGGCGCCAGCAAAGCGAAGTCGCCGCGGTAGCGTATGGGGGTGCGACATAGGTCTCGGGGTTGAATTCTTCGGTCTCCACGGACAGAAAGCCAGGTACCGGCATGGTGTAGACCTAGAGTGTGCCATGGTAAGCGGCTGAGATATCCGGACTCGATTCACCCGTTCTCCCCGGACCTACCTCATCCTTGGAAGTGAGCGGTTCCGGCGCGCGGCCTAGGCTCAGATCCATAATGTTCACCGTCTCCTGGTACTCATCTTCCGCTCCCTCGTAGTCCATGCGATCTCCCGCGCGGTCATAACGATCCTCGTCATCGGCCGAATCCAATTCCTGATCGTCGAGTGATCGTTGAGGTCGACTGATAGAAGAGTCAGTATCCATATAGTCGGTGTAAACGGCATCCCTTGCCCGAATCAATCATACTCGTCATCCATTCCCGCGTCTGATCCTTCCGAGCCGAACAGGTCCGCATCATCGTCATCGCCAATCATGTTCGGCGCGTCCGAGCCCATGGGGCTTTGATCCCGAGCGGCGGGACCATTGCTGCGTTCACTTCCGGACGGACTGGGGGGTTGGTGACCAGCACCTGGGCCACGCGCCGGACGGCGAACCACATCCTCATCGGATGAAGACATGATGGGTAACCCTAGGCCAGGGGAGCTGGCAAACCGGGGGAAGCGCAACGAATTCGGTGAACGGGCCGGGATCTGTCCGTGGTCGTCTTAACGGCGAAAGAAGGGTGTTGAGTTCGAGAGTGCTGCGGTCAACCTAATCCACACAGTTATACACACCGATCAAGTGCAATAAAGGTTGAGGGAGTAGAAGCAAAGCAAAAGGAAGACACGGTCCAGTCGAGTCTCCGAGTATGAAGATGAAGATGAATCTCGGATGGAATGGGGGGAAGTTAATCCTTTCCGGTCTCGATATGGTTTAGCGTCATTAGCACAGACAAACAGGACAAACAAGACCAACAAGACCAACAAGGCCAACAAGGCCAACAAGGCCAGGACGAGAACGAAGAAAGAAAAAGATATACAGATACAGATCAGAAGGGAATTATTTCCTGGAGGGACTGGGCTGGATTGTTCAAATCCAGTGGACCTGAGACTGCTATCTAGCCGGATACAGTGTAGAGAGTAGAGTAGTAATAACAAGATCCAGATTCCTGACTAGTTTGATACTCCGTAACTCCGTACTATTTCCCCCTCCGCCATCTTCACTTCTCCCTCTCCACCTTTTCCTCCCCTCTTCTCCCACTACGTCCTGCCTTCAATCCGCTTCGTTCTCGTCCACCGATTCGACTTGTTGACACTTTTGGATCCCAGTGAGACTTGTCATCATGGCGACTTTCTTGCAAAGTGTGTAAGTAACGAATCCCATCCCAATCTCCGGCTCCCTGCATCCTTCGATCTCCTATAATCCCCGGTCACACCCCATACACCTCCTCTATCGTGTCCCCTGGCGTGGTCAAGAAATTGGTTAAAAATATCAAAATAATTCTCGAATCAAGCCAAGAGGCGGAAGAAGAAGAAGAGGAAGAGGAAAAGGAAAGGAAAAGGATCGCCTGTCCAAGACGGTCTTTTGATAGTCTGGGCGCCGCAAACCATAAATATGGACAGCCCCCTAAATGCAACCTCCTCCCCTCGACCAACCCCATCGTCACTTGGTTCTTTGTTCTTTCTTTTGTCGTCTTGAATTTCTTCTGTCAAGATCGAGCTCCTCTTGTTTTCTTCGTCTTCGTTCTCTCGATTCTCTCTGTTGTGCATCTCTCGTCTTCATCACTCCCCCCACCTTTACCTGAAACTCCTCAACGCATCGGTTACTGATTGGTGTATGAGATCAACTGCAGCCGCCAGGGTTTTGGCCGAGGTGGCAATAATAAAAACAACAATAGCGCCCCGAAGATGAACAACGGAAGTCCGGCCTCGTCCCCGGTTTCTCAGGTGCCTCCGCACATCGGCTCGGGTCCCAACTCCCCGGCGTTGGCCCCCAACATGGACAACCCCGCCCCCGTCGACCCCGACGCCCCCAAATACTTTTTCCAGGAGAAGTATGCTCCGTTGAATGTCAAGGGCAATTTCTTGACGCTCTGTGCCTGTCCCAAGAATGTTGAACTGGGCGAGTGGCTGGCCCACCAGAGTAAGCGATCGACTCCAGTGCCCCCACCGCGCAAGCGCTTCCGGACGTGTGGTGCTGATACCCCCGATTCCCCACAGTCGTCGAACAATACCGTTTGCTGCATGGCATGCTCCAGGTGATTCAGGAAGTCAATGGAGTGACCGGTCTTCCCATCTGCAATGAAAGCTCCTGTCCGACCATGTCTGCTGGCCGGTAAGCCCCCTTTCCCCCCGCGCCCGGTCCCAAAAAGAAAAAAAAAAAAAAAGAGTTCGCATGCTAAGTTCTCGTCTTGTCCAGGCTGACCTACACGTGGCTCGTGGACGGCCGTGCCGCCAAGATCCCCGCCCCGAAATTCATCAACCGCGTGGAGAAATGGGTCGTCGCCAAGATCCATGACAACCTGATGTTTCCCACGGGGAAAGTCACCGGGAACCCCGACACCTTCGCGCTCAATGAGATCGCCGCGACGGACCCCTCTCACCCGTCGTCGGCGGGGGCGGGCGACGAGTGGATCGGCAAGTCCAGTGGCTTCCCGCAGACGTTCTACAAGGACTGCCAAGGCATCATGAAGCAGATGTTCCGCTGCTATGCGCACCTCTACCACGCGCACTGGATCCTGTTCTGGCACATCTCGAAACACGACGTGCTCAACATGTGCTTCGTCCACTTCGCCACCGTGGCCAAATACTACAACCTCGTCTCCGACAAGGAGATGGAGCCCATGCAGCCTCTGATCGACCTGTTCATCAAGCAGCAACGGATTCCTCCCGAGGCGCTCTCGGGTGGCCACTGGGCTCCGCAGGCCTCTAGCTGAGCTAGACGGTGGGTCCTTATGGCTACGTGCATTCGACCACATAATGTGTCTTCGTGACCTGGCGTTGGAGCTGGCTTCTTTGGTTCAATTTGTTTTGGCCCCCCGAGTTTGTCCAATTACCTTTGATTACTGTGCAAGGTCAAGGCAACACATCATGACATTTACTGCTGTGAAACCTTGAGCATTTAGCATGCGATCTGCATATTGTGATTTCCCGTTTTGTTCTCCTTTTCTTGAACTTTTCCTGTATTGATGCATACCCTCTTGGTATTCTGTCTCGTCGAGATGTTTTGCACGCAGTCATTGTAGTTGAATAGATACGGAGCACCTGCCGCGGGCAAGGCTTCAAAGCCTCGGTATTTTCTTTCTTTTTTCTCCTCGCCTGATTTCTCATCTTTATTTGATGTTCCATCTGTGTTGGGGATACCGATCTTCCATAAACGTGGTTGAATATGAACGACGATTAAACAAGACATGAAATATGCCGTTCCCAATCCCCTGCGCATGCGGTATGAAGTAGTCAGTGGATATGACCCAGTATCCCCACATCAAGTATCACGGTGGCTTTCATGCCAACGGCTGGGCTGAGGAAGATCACCACAGAGTTTCAGATTGTGTGAAAGGCTTGCGCGGCTGGTGAGTCCTAGTCTTGGGATCGTAAATCGTAAATCAAGAGCGCCATGTAGACGATGCAGTATGGAAGTACCCAAAACAAAACACAAGACAAGACAAGAGATGACGGACAGTTCTCAACGAGGATACCTCTGTGTTTGGCACCATTCCTTTTTTCCTGAATCCTTTTCTTCCTTTTTTCTCTGTTGCTTTGGAATTGTGTCTCTTTGAGAAACCTCATAGGTAAACTCCATCCTCCCCCTCCCCATCCTGCGCATCACCCGATCTATCCGCCGCCGACGACGATCCCTGCGGCGCACTTGATCCATGACCATTAGCAGCCCCAGCCCCATTAGCCCCCGGAGAACCCGTCTTCGCATCAGGCGCCAACTCATCCAACTCAATCCACTTCTGACCGCGCCCTTCAACCTCGGCTTTTAGCAATCCAATCCGCTCATTCATAGAGCCCATCACGCCCTCATTCTCCGCGATGTAGTTTTCCAGCTCCTGTTTCTCCTGCAGGGTGTCTGCAGACTCGGCCACGAACGTCTTCAGTTCACTGTTGGAGCGCTGGAGGTGGGCGATGGAGTTTTGCAGTTCGGAGGCCTTGGCGTAGACGACGGCGAGGGGTAGCTCTTTGATGGCTTCTGTGAAGGCTGCGGGGCTGATGGGGAGGGCTTCTGAGGACATTTTGGATGAATACTTTTCGGACGGGAGATATTTGAAACGGGTTTGGCTTAAGGGTAGTGGGATATTGTGTGCTGTGTGGATGAACTAATTATGGTTGCGTGGATGATGCTCGTTTTGACGTCGTCGGCGTTATCGGTGCTGTGTGCTTTATCAGCACGTGACTGTACACGTGGAGTTGGAGCTGTTGATATTGGCCCAGATCTGGTAATATAGTAAGAGTAAGAAGAGGGATAACTTGAGTGTAGTGATCTTTTCGTGGTTACGTCCAGTTCTTGTCGAAGGTGTGTTTGGTGTGGTGGTGATGTAGGGGTTGCATGTGCAATGTGCCACTCCTCCGCCCATTATATATACATCTGACCATGCAGACTAACAACTTCAACACTACATTTACTTGAGGATTTCGTAGTACTCATTATGTCTATTATACCAATCTAGCATACCAATACAAAAACCTATATAGATATAATAATTCCCATTTAAACAATGTAATGAAACCAAGCATGGAGGCATCGGAACAACTTCTCCGCTCCGGAGGTCGGCCTGATTTTCGGGATGCCTGAATTTCTCCACGTTTGGATCTCCAACCACCACTTGCTCTACTTGCTCTACTCCCACTGCTGTTTCTCCCCAACTCCTGACTAATTGACACGCTCGTGCAGTAGGGTCCCAGACCCTCAGTCGGAGGAGATGAGCAATGTTTTCTGCGCAGCATGGCGGAACCCGTGCGCGGGGCGCCATCATCTAGGCTTGCTCTCGCCGGTGCGCTCCGCCCTTCGCGCCTCTTCAACGTCCTTGTATAGAATTCCCGCCGGAAAATTATTCACCACCGTCTCCTCGTCTGTCCCCAAACCGCTATCGCTTCCGCGCCTAACCGCGACACAACCATTCACACCCCCGGCTCTTGTCCGATGCCTCCACTCCCGACCGACCCCTCCGCCGCCGGAACATGGCGTCCCAGTGCGCCCCGAGCCCTTCAGCGAGGCCGAGATCAAGGCGATCTTCGGCGCCCGCACGAAGTTGACACCCCAGATGGGAAACCGTGTTTTGGCAGTCCTTCAGGGCAGACGCGAAGCGGGCACTTTGGATCTGGACCTCCCGGCCGATATCACCCGTTCCGCCCGCCCCGCGACACTCGATAAGGCTTTGACATGGTTGAGAAACAACCACCCCATGGACGAGGATGCCGCGATCCTGGCGCGCGTGGAGCGCGAAGAACGAGAGGAGGAAGCCAAGCTGATTCGCCGCGCCGAGGACCTGGGTCTCTACAAGCCGCAGAGTGGCTCTTACGAGGCCGAGCTGGGCGAGTCCCAGGACCCGTCGGGAAAAAGTGTCTTACAGGAAGCGCGCAAGTATAACGAAAAGCGACTGCTGGCAGAGCAGGAACGGAAACGACAGGAGTGGCTGGAGGGCGAAGAGCGCCAGCGTCAAATGTACGAGCAGCAGGTTCAAAAGCATACGGCGTTGCAGAAATCCGACGGCGAGCCGGCTTATGGAGGTAAGATGCCTTGACGTATATATATGTATATGCGTCCACTAACTGGCTTATAGTTCAGCAACGCGCGGATCCCACTGAGCGTCCTCTCCTGGCTTGGGTGCAGAAGCACCATTTACAGGCCATGGACACCACCATTGATGCGACCAAGATCACTACCGTGAGTTACACATATTGGGCGTAGTCGCATAGGCTATGTTTGAGGGGATCAAGCTTGCTGACATCTCGAGCAAATTGACAGAGCCGACGAATTTTCCCTTCCCTCGCAGTTGTCCTCCTCACAATCGGCGCGGGCTACGTCTTCGCCCAGACGTACGAACCGCCCGCGAGAGCGGATCGCATGTGGCCCGATACCCCCCCGGCGGCAGCGACCGTCGCGGCCATCATCGGCATCAACCTGGGGATCTGGGCCCTGTGGAAAGTCCCGCCCGCATGGCGACTTCTCAACCGCTATTTCATCAGCGTCGCCGCGTGTCCCCGCCCGTTGAGCAATGTCGGCGCCGTGTTCAGCCACCAGAGCCTCAAGCACCTCGGTATGAACATGCTTGTTCTGTACTATAGTGGCACGAAGCGTATGTTTCCCAAAACCTCCTTCCAGCTATTTCCACATCATTGACTCTATTAAGTCCACGATGAAATCGGCCGAGGCAACTTCCTCTCTCTGTACATGGTCGCCGGTGTCATGGGCTCGTTCACCTCGCTAGCAGCGCACGCCCTAACCGGCCAACTAGCCGTGACATCCCTCGGAGCCAGCGGCGCCATCGCAGGCCTGATAGCCGCATTCTGCGTGCTCAACGCCGAGTACGCCCCCCATCCTCCCTTCCTTTCCCCACAATAAAAGCCCATTCAAGACCATCATCACTAACCAACGGACTTTAATGATATAGCCAAAAACTCACCATTGCTTTCCTCCCCCAGGAATGGCAACACACCATGTCCGCCAACGGCTGGGTCTTCCTGACCGGCATCGTGGCCCTCGAATTCCTCAACCTCATCCCCGCCTTCCGCTTCTTCAGAGTCGACAACTATGCTCATCTGGGCGGGTATCTCACTGGGACTATCTTCGCCCTGGCTTATAAGGATCAGCAGAGGAGGAAGAGGGAGGAGATGCCTTGGTTCAAGAGGGCTTTTCTGGAGTAGACTTTGCTTTTTGATTTTGTTGGTTTGGGTGTGATGTGTTTGGTGGTTGTTGTTTTCATTCTCTACTCTTGTTTTACTAGCTGGCGCTTTTTGTTAGGTAGGCACTGTTGTTTGTGTGCTGCTTTGTATTTATTATTATTCATAACGTGGAAATATGGTAAATATCTGATCACGAAAGAAGGACGTAAATCTAGACTACCCACAGAAGTCTCAACCTGCCTAATTGACAAATTGACTTCTTTTTTGATACTCAGTTCTTCCACTATGCTTTCAACAGACATCTTTCTTGTCTTTCAAATAAGGTCTACTATCAGTGAGATACTCCAAGCCCCCCAGTATGACGTAAATATTCATCCATATTTGTCAGGGTTACCACCAGTGAATGTAGTCCACAGCTCAACACTGACTTTCCTAATTTGGCCGAGCAACCAACACCCCCAAAACAACAAAACACGTCCAGATCTGCTCTTCTAGAAGGTTACGCTTCGTAAGTAGACCCGCGGTTCATCGCTCGACGCACTGCATCGCATGGGTCTACCCCGGATTGTTAGTCGTCGTGGTTTTATACCCAAGAATGGATGGTGTGAAGCCTCAGTTGTAGATTGTAGAGTAGACATGAAGCCAGGTTTGCTGATTTTGAGGCGAGTGAGTCTGGGAGAGCACAATAACTGCTCATGTCATGTCGTGTTGTTGCTCTGGGTTTGAAAAGGCTTTTCTTTCTGCTGTTGTTGGTGCTTGCTTTCTCCCTTCTCTTCTTCTCTCATTGTCTTCATTATCCTGCATCCTTCCAGTATCGTTTTTTATCATCTTTGATCCTTTTGATATCAAACGCGTCGTCTGTCATCAAAGTCAGTTTAGTAGATCAGTGCTGTTGATTTTAGTTCACGTCAGTCTTCAAGACAGTCCGGAATCAGCCGTGAATCGGTCTTCGAGAGTCTGATTCGAGAAGTCCGCTCTCATTCTCGGCGGTCATCCTGGCTACCTTCCACTGGCATCTCGCCATCTCTGCCACTCACTTGAATATCTGTCTCTCACGCAGTTTCCATCATATCTGAGCAACATGTCGGATATGGTAGATTTCGAGGATGGGCAGAGCCCGCCTCCCATGTTCAAAATGAGGAGGAGCCTGTCACAGATATACCAAGATCTTAGCCCACAGGTTCCCGAAGATGAACACTTTGTGATGACCCGCTTGTTCGTTCAGAGAGACATGGTGGATGAGCTAGAAGAATTCCCGGACCAACTCGACGGGGGCGACGATCCGGAGGGTTCGCCTGAGGCTGCACCGTCCGCTCCACCCTGGTCGGACACGGCATCCACCGCGTTTGACGTGGTCGACCATCCGGAGGAGACGTCTGCGCCTTCCTGGTCTGATACGGCGTCTGCAGCCTCCGATGAAGGCCCCGACGGACCGACGAGCAAGAAGAGCAAGACGGCCGACGACCCGACGTGTGTCATCAGTCACCCGTCGAAGATCGTCGACTACCACTTGTACCTGCGTGCCGTGGAAAAAGACAAAGACACCTGGTGCAGGCGGAACGGTATGTATCTGTACGATGGCATGGAATGCCGGCGCATTTCCTACCGCGAGCTTCTGGATCCCAAGACCCTATTTCCTGGCGATGGCGGTAATGAGGCGCGATTCTTGATCTGCGCGCTCCCCATCCCGGATCATGACACGACGGTCCGGAGCCGACACTACGTCGTGGGATTCAACTGCACGGAACGAATGTTCTTTGCGCGCCACTTCGACTATATCACGGAAAACATCGACGATCTGTGGACGGTGTGGGACGACGGGCTCGATATGTACCAGCTCAGCGTGCCGGACCTGCTCCTGCTGCTGCAGTCCAGCTTCCGCGACGAGGTGCACGTGGGGATTGGAGTGCTCAGCTCGAGCCCATTCTGCGTGGCGCTGTGCGGGGAGGACGACCCCGGGATGGAGATCGTCATTGCGATTTCGCTGTGCCAGTGGCTGCTGGACTTTGCCGAGGTGATCTTCGAAGAGCAGCACGACGCGATGGACATGCTCAAGCAGGAGATCACGCATTACGTGGAGGAGCTCCGCATGGTGCTGCAGCGGGCGTCGTTCCGGGCGTGGTTTGCATCCAATAGGGACCTGTCGACGGGCGGATACAAGCGCAAGTCGGAGGTCAACAAGTACATCAACGATCTGTACAACTATGAGAAGTCCATGCACGACGGCAGCTTGGCGGGGAGGCCTTGGCGGGCTCCGGGGCTGGAGACGTGCGACCGGCTTCGCAGCGAGGACCGGAACCTGAAACGGAAGCGGACTGAAGGGCGACTGGAGGAACTGTTCGCGATCCCCGAGACAGAGAGCTCTCCCGAGGCGGCGGCGGCGGAGGCGTTCGAAGAGATGAGGGAGCGGTCCGAGGCCAGTCGCCAAGTCTTGGAGTCCACGTTCCCCCCGGACCCTCCCCGGACTCCATCTCCCCGGCCACTTCCCAGCAGCCCGGGGGCGTCCGCACGAGCTTGGAGTCCCATGTCACCGGGCATTGTGGCGCCTGCGACGGAGGGATTCGAGGAGGGGTCGGCTGTGACTGAGTACGACCGGATCCCGCTGTCCCTGCTCCTCCGGCGTGCGGCGGATCTCGTGGACGCGCAGCCCGAGCTGGACACGGTAGAGAATCGAGGAGGGTTTGCCAGGATGCTGTTGGAGCTTGGGGTGGGGATTGATCGCGCACCGAGGGATGTGTTTGCTAACGTCAGCCCGATGGGATATTTGCATGACGACTGGAGTTTGGCATCGGGAGCTGAGGCGCCACCGGTTCGTCGACTTCTTCCTAGCCCGGCTTTTGATTAAGTGTGGATTCTCGACTATTTTTTCTTCATTTTCATGGATGTTTTATATTGCATCTTCTTTGTCAACTGGATGTTTGAGTTGGGATTATGGATCCTTCTTGTGAGAGTACATTCCAATATGGTTCTTCATGGTTTTATGGATGCTATCAGGGATGGTATGGGACGATGGAGTTATCAGGGATGGTATGGGATGATGGACATGGGGAGATGGATCCACTTGGGCTGTTCATCACTGGAGTGAAGATCATGGTCATATTGGACAGTCTACCCCTGAGATCCGATGAATAGGAGAATGAATGGATAGGAGGAAAGGTAAAGGGAAAGAAAGAGAATGAATGAAGAGAAAGGAGGAATAAGCAAGATCAAGATGAAGTTGAAGAAGTTAAAGAAGTCATGATGAAGATAAAATGAAGTTATATCAAAGAAAAGAAGAGAGATGCCTGTAAAGCTAGGCAGCCACATACCACAGATTACGATCAGCAAATCCACGATTCATGAGCAGCAGAACCCAGGTTATTCGGACTAGTTCTTAGTTCCTTCTTGGCCAGCAGTCTGGGTAGCCTTATAATGCTTATTATCTGGGTTATGTTCGTTCTGTTATCATTCTCCCCTCTTAACCTCCCTTTCTCTGGGTCGAAAACTCTACTTCTCTTTAATCTACAACCCCCTTCTTCTGCTTCTCGTCCTCTCCTTTTCTTATTCTTCTCGTATTATTACCTTTATTCGAGTCGTATACTCGATCCCTTGATCTTCTCCCTGCGTGCATTGATACCCCTTTTGTTGTGACTTCATTCCGTCTATATACGCCTCCCCACCATCCTTGATTGATCCTGTTATATTCCTTCTTTTGGATAGTATTCTGAGTCGCAGGCCATAGTCCCATCATGGCCCAACAATACGGTGCGCCTTGGTTTCTCGATCTCCCTCCTACCTCATGTTTAATACTAACCGATCGGATCGCATAGACCCCCCCAATGGAATACCCCCCAATGGCCTACCCCCCAATGGCCTACCTTCCAATGGCCAACCCGTGGCCACCCCCCAGATCGATGTTATCTGCGGGCCCTTGCTCAACTTCAAAAACATGGACATCAATGCCTCCGAGTCCACCTGGCGTGGTAGTGTGTTGATCGTGACCAAACCCAACTCTCCTCAGCCGCGGCTTGTTTTGCGCAAGGCTGGCCCAGCCGCCCCCGATGCCTCGGCCGATGCGCCCCTCTATGGCAACCACGGCTCCCCCATCGACGGTTTGCGCCTCTACGAAGATCCCGAGAAGGCCTTCTGGCGCTTCTCCCTCGCCCTCCCCCTGGACTCCTACGAGGCTCGCTGGGAATATGCCATCGATGGCTTCCACTACACTCAGGGCGACCTCGGCCGCGCCTCCTGGGACTTTGTTGTCCCCTCCGTCAACCAGTCCATGCGCATGATGTTCCACTCCTGCAATGGCTTCTCCGTCGGCACTGACATGGACGCCTGGCTCGGCCCCAACCTGTGGCACGATGTCCTGCGCGTCCACGCCGAAAAGCCCTTTCATGTCATGATCGGCGGCGGCGATCAGATCTACAACGACGGCATCCGCGTCGACGGGCCCCTGGCCGAATGGACCGCCATCGGCAACCCCCACAAGCGTCGCGCCCACAATTTCGACAACTCCATGCGCGAGCGCTGCGACGAGTACTACTACGCCAACTACATCCGCTGGTACTCCACCGAGCCCTTCAAGGAGGCCAACGGCCGTATCCCCCAGATCAACATCTGGGACGACCACGACATCATCGACGGCTTCGGCTCCTACACCGACCACTTCATGCGCTGCTCCGTCTTCCGCGGCATCGGCGGCGTCGCCTTCAAGTACTACTGCCTCTTCCAGCACCACATCGCACCCCCGCGCTCCACCTACACCACCGACGCGCCCCAGACCATGCAGGCCGTCAACGGCACCGCCGGCGCCGACCCGCGCCAGCTCGAAAACACCTACGTCCTCGAGAACCAGCCCGAGGACGACAGCTGGATCGTCGGCAAACGCCCGGGCCCCTACGTCGAGGAGAAGAGTCGCAACCTATACATGCGCCTCGGCAAGCGCATCGCCTTCGTCGGCGTCGACGCCCGGACCGAGCGCACCCGCCACCAGGTCAACTACAACGACACCTACGACCTCATCTTCAAGCGACTCGAGCAGGAAGTCGCCGCCGCCAACGGCGACATCAAGCACCTGATCGTCCTCCTCGGCGTCCCCATCGCCTACCCGCGTCTCGCCTGGCTCGAGAACATCCTCAGCTCGCCCGTCATCGCGCCCATCCGCCTCCTCAACAAGCGCTTCGGCTTCGCCGGCGGCCTCTTCAACCAGTTCGACGGCCAGGTCGATCTCCTCGACGACCTCGACGACCACTACACCGCCCGCCAGCACAAGCGCGAGCGCCGCCTCTTCATCCAGCGCCTGCAGGACTTCTCCAAGACCCACTCCGCCCGCGTCACCTTCCTCGGCGGCGACGTCCACCTCGCCGCCATCGGCCGCTTCTACTCCAACCCCAAGCTGGGCGTCCAGACCCGCCACGACCCCCGCTACATGGTCAACGTCGTCAGCTCCGCCATCACCAACAAGCCGCCCCCCAAGGCCGTCGCCAACCTGCTCGCCCGCCGCAACAAGATCCACCACCTCGACCACGACACCGACGAGACCCTGATGAACATATTCGATCGCCAGCCCGGGGGTATCGAGAAGAGCGCCACCTGGAACATGGTCACCATGCCGTCCCGCAACTACGCCTGCCTAACAGAGGTCGACACCCCGTTCACCAACGGCGACGGCCCCACCGGTCTCGAAGGCGGCACCATCGACCAGATCCCCAAGGACGGCCACTCGCCGCTCCACAACGGCGAAGCCACCGCGGGGGCTGAAAATTCCGCCGCGGACGGGTTCGGCTCCGACGGCGTCATGCCAGGTGGTCTGGACGTGGCTATCCGGGTGGAAATCGACCCGCAGAACAAGGAGGGTGCCGCCGACGGTTACGCATTCAGTAGTACGTATCTTCCTTCCTTTCCCTCTCCACATCGAATATATCTCCCTTCCAAGAAAACAATATTAATAACACAACCAGTCCCCCCCCTGGAATACATCCCGTCCGAATCAGACAAGAAACGCCCTCACTCATGGCGCTCGCACTCGCTTCACGGCCGCCACTCCCGTCCCCAGTCGGGTAATAATGATCCTCCTCGACCGTCGACATCGATCAACTAGCTAACTTGACCCACCACTTGGCTGGAAAAAACAAAAGAACAACAAAATAAACAACATCAGCAACAGCAGCAGCAGCAGCAGAAACTTGTCTTTGATCCGGTGACTTGGTGGTCCGAGGGGATTCCTATTTGATTATTTTTTATTTCGTGGGTTGATAGGGGATGGATGGGGGTTGTAATATCTGATTATATGCAAGGTGGGGTTTGTTGGATATTATATTATACCAATTGTTGTGGTTTTGAATATATCCGTGCATGGTTTGTTTTGATATTGGTTGAGGGGAGGGAGGATCCTCCATATTTATGATTTGACTTCTACTATTGCTATTGATTATGTAGAGTATTTTGAAACATGACTTTATACTGATAATGTGTACCTTTATTGATCTATGTGTTTCTTTCTTTCTTTCTTTCTTTCTTCCGTGTTAAGAGTGTTGTTGGTGGGTGGAATCGGTGGAGGGTCGGTCAGCCTTAGGGTGTTGGTTCGATGTATATTATAACAGATGGATGCTGGAATATATGACTTCCATAGTCTTTTCGCTTCTGATCCGAACCAAGATCGGTGCCGCTGTCTGTCCAATCTCCGTGTAGACAGGCCATTCCCTGATCTTCTATCAAAAGTTGGAGGAATGGATCGGATATTTCCAGGATCGAACATTCGATACTCCTTGAGTTCGTATGTAGCATCAAACTTGCCCTCCCGCTCCTACAGTTGGACACTTGTTGACGTCTGCAGACGTTCCCGTCCAGGCCAGAATGCCATCACCTAGTATCCACCGTATCCACCGTATCCACCGACTCAAAATGTCCAGTCCCCTGCAAGAAAGGACTATGCAAAACAGGCGACACGGGACTCTCAGCGGGTCGACACCGTCGTCGCACATACCGGTAATGCTTATCGAGCTCGAACTCAATCGCACACCGAACTCTGAGCGCACTGAGCGCAGGCCACACGCCCTTCTCGCCCTTCTGGATCCAGTGCTTCAGGTTCTCTTTAGTTGGGTTCTCCAGGAGCTTGGTGAAGTCCATCATGGAGAGGTCTGGGACGAGGGTCAGGCTGGGTCCCGGGATGGTCTCCTCAATGAGAAGCCGCGCGAGGACCTGCGGAAGGTAGCCGAAGTAATCTAGTTGGCGCAGTCGGTGGCGGATTTCCGACGCGACGAGGCCTTTGATGGCGCGCGTTACGGTGAACCGGCCTGTTGGACGCCGGTCAAGCAGGTGCATCTCGGAGCGGAAGAATGGGATGAGATAGGGTCGGGCTTGGGAGACGATGAAGTGGTTGACGTTGAATAGCTCTGCGATGCGCGCTAGCGGCGATTCTCCGGCTTTGTATCGACGAGTGCGACGTGCTGCCTTGGAGGCTGCGTCTTGGTCGTCCCACCAGGGGACGATTTTGCCTGACTCGTCCTTGCAGTAGATCGGTACCGATTGGTACAATGATGAGGATGATGCATTCGACGCCACAGCCGCAGACCAGATCAACTGCACGTGGTTAGCTCTGAGAAGTTGGATAGAGGTTGGAGGTTGGCACGTACCACATTGGGGGCAGTCAAGTAGTTTAACAAATCCGGCGTCCCACCGGTATTCGAGGTTGCGACAGTGATGTTCAGGACACGCTTCGAGCGCGCGAACGCTTCCTCAAAGGTGATATCCCCAATATTGGCCCGTACGCACTCCGCAAGCACCCCGATATCGAGAAAATGACCGCGGGACATAAACCGGTTGACTCGTCGACTCAACACGCCCAGCCAAGTGCTTCCCAGACCAAATGGCAACCGCGGGTTGCTGTCCCTCTTACGCACACGGTCAAAAGCAGTTAAATCTATGGCGTCGCTGTCGAGGAATGTCAACAGTTCGGCCTCGGTATGTACGCCGACCAGCGCGGCGATAAGCGCACCCGTCGCCGTTCCGGTGATGATGCGAGGCAAGACGCCCTGGAGGTGGAGGGTCTTCACCACGCCTAGGTGACATAGCCCGAAGATCGACCCGCCTTGTAAGAGCAATGTCGTTCTTCCGAACGCCTGGCGCGTATCGTGCAATAGCTCCAGCTTTGACTGCGCAGTAAAGCCAGTATTATAACCCGGGACCGCCGGCAGGGCTGAGACATATTGAATGGAGAGTGCCACCTGAGTGATATAGTCGTCCACCAGATGCTTCGTCCCTGCGTACGAATGAAGAAAGAGATGGATCGCGGTTATGTTGCCGAGGTTGCGGACCAGACCCGATCGGAGCAGGCTGGTCAGTGTCAGGATGTCGTCATTTTCTCGGGCGTTCATGATAGCCTGCATCCTTCCTAGAATGAGGAGATAGTCATAGTGAGGACTCGTGGGGTCCTGCCGCCTAGATATGTTCAGCTCTAGTATTCGTCGAAGTCATGGTCGTAGTCTGTCCACTCACCATAGATTGGCGCCCAGGAGTTCATCCAAGTCGATCGCAGCATCGTTCCACTCCTCGAACGATTGAGCCGTAGATATTTTGCGCAATAGTTGGGACTGCGGAGATTCCGACCTCCACCATGACAGTAGTGCCTAGTGTAACGTTGTTAATACATGTCATTCTGACTGGGCCGATGGACAATGGGGAGGACATACATCTCTGAAGAATTGCAATACCTTCACTAATATAGTGAAGACCCTGGCAATTACCCCAAGGGGCATCTTGTAATCTGACTGATGGGAGAGGGAGATGATGCAGAGAGGAACAATCACAAGGGAGGTTTCTTTTGGAGGGGACGGCATAATCACATGCTCCCGCAACAATGATATAATTCCGATCTCATCGTACCTGACTACCCTGACTACTACTCCGTACTACTATTACTACTATGAATACCAGTATTTATCAAACAGGTCGTTATCAATCAATGATCTTACCACTGTCAGCGATCAAAGCAAAGGCGGAGACCAGAGCCCTGGAATCCGATCTTGCATATACTCCGTAGGGGAAATCTGACGATAAGGTTGGACGATCCCTTATATACTCGGCTCTACGATCCCCCTAGCCAAATCTTAACCCATAAAAAATGAAGATATGTTCAAATGAAGAAGAAAAAAGTAAATTCATAGAAGCCGGATTTTTGGTTTCCTACAGTCCATGTCCCTTGGCGAAAACACCATGCCAAACCCGTAGACACGTAAAGGGGCATTGAATTTCATGGTTCTCTGATTCTTTTTTGTTTTAGGTTGAACTTCGCATTGTTTTCCTAATGCAAAGAGGTCAAGATTATATTCCCCTGACATCCTAGCTACCCACCAGACGCAATCCCAGAAACCGTTTATTCCTCAATGATGTTAGTTCGCTCAGACACGTACAGACCGTCCAGGAACTGAAATATATTGTTAGCGATTGTTGATGCCACTCGAATGCGGAGATCTCACCTTTCGGATATCCTTGTTACGGACTCGGCAGATCTGCTGGATATCGGCGGCGCTCTGGGAGACGTTCTCCAGGGAGTTACCGGAGAGCTGGAGCTCATCCTTAACGTTGGGGGAGGTGATGATCTCAACGCCGGGCTGAGCAGTCAGACGACGGACGTACTTCTCGCCCAGGAAGTTCCTATGAAGATTCATCCATCAGTAACCTCGAACATATAATAGGTCCACAACCACGCTTCCAAAAAAAAAAAAAAAAAAAAAACGTAATTTCCAGTGCCTCGTAACATGGTGCTTCCGGCTTACCTGATCTCAATCTCGGTAAGACCGGTCTCGGCGTTCTTCTCAAGGTTGACGTTGATGGGGAAATGCGCGTAGACGTAGCGCATCTTGTAGAGGAAGCCGCGGGTGACACCGATGATCAGGTTGTTGATGAGGGTGCGGACGGTACGCAGGGTGGCAACGCCCTTGCGAGCACCGTGGTGCAGCTCGATGGAGATGACATCCTTCTCGGGGCGGCCGAAGGTGACGGCGATGTGAGAAAGGTCCTTAACAAGCTTGCCTAAAGTCGAGGACAACCCATGTTAGTTACACGATGCCGAATAACGAGCCGAACAGACGATAGCCGGACACTCTTCGTTGTCCGTAGCCAAAAGTCATGCCCGGGGTTTGGAATTTTTTTCTTGTCCTCTAACAGAGGAAAAAAAAGGTAGACAGTGTTGCATACCTCGGGGGCCCTCGACGGTAACAATCCGCGAACGAATGTGAACGTTCACTAGAAGCAAAATTCGAATTAGCATGAAGTCCTGTCGAAGCATATTCAACATAGTCCATTGACAATGGCCTCTCCCCAATGCGCTCCCTGATTCCCCCCTCTTGTTCTGTTTTTTCCACCCAGCGCTCTCATTCCTTCGAGTAATCCATCCTGCAACAGGCGCGACGTCTTTGCACCGTATCACCCCGTTCCCAAACGCACATCACGTCGTCGCGCCGGATCACCACCAAATCGACCACCACGAGGCCACCATCTCAAAAGACCAGGAATTTAAATCGGATGAAAGCTCACCATTGTCGGGGATGGGCAGCCGTTCCTCGGAGTGAATGTACCGCATCTTGACTGCGTGGGCTGTGGATTGTCCGAGGGGAAGATTGTCGATGTCGTCGTGCGGTCGGTCGTTCAAAGGGAACGAAATTCGTCAAAAGCCAGTCTTGTCTGTTCCGCTCCGGTGGTGGAGCGAAACCCGCCGGTTGTGCGTCGCTTAGCGACGGATTGGGTTAGCGTTATCCGCCTAGGGTTGACACCGATTGGGTTTAGCGTCGTTGGTTCGGAGTATGGTTTGTTTTATTATGAGATGACATTGACTTATACTACAGAGTTACAGATAGGGAAGACTCTTGGATTTATTCTATTGAGCCGATCGAATATTGCTTCTCGAGAAAGGAGGTGTCTGTCCCCTCCAGGCTTGCTATGCCTCTTCCTCGAATGTCTTGGCACCAGTGTTGGACCACGTGACTTATTCTTGGAGTCAAGATATGTTCGATAAGATATGCATGAGGCATATGGGGAAAGAAACAAAAAGGAAGAGAAGAAGAAGACGAACGAAAATATCGGTCCTTCATGTATATCCAACTAATCGTGCTTATCTACCCAACCCCTCAGGTATAATATATACACAAACAAAGCTCAACTACCTAGAATCGAAAGAAATGAAAACGCCGACTATCCATAGGGGTAAGTAAGTTTCGAAGGGAGCCTACGACTCCAACTGTCTTTGAGAGGTCAAGGCCCTGCTTCGTGTCGAGTGACCTCCTGAATCCACTTCCCACCCAAGTCCTTCAGCGTGGTTACCAACTCGTCGCTCTCGTCGAGCGCAGTCACATCGTCGCCGCCTCCGATGCTCTTCCCGTTGACCAGCACATTAGGCACAGTGCGACGACCGGTCTTTTCAGCCACAATAGTCTGCAGCTGTGGTCCTAGCGGGTGTTTGTCAAGCTCCACCACGAACGGCGCAGGCACAATCGAATATCTGTTCAGGAGAAGGAATTTGGCGCGTGCGCTAAACGGACAATAGGATTTGGAAAAGATGATAACTGCGTAGATTGCATTGTTAGCGGTCTAGAATAGTAATGCGACGGGGACGTGACGTACTGGGTGCTCGCTTCAGAATAGAATTGAGCTCGGTCTTCGCGTCGCCCTCAGGCGCGTCGTCCGTCTTGGGAGTATCGTCCGCCTGAGGAGTCTTGTGGTCCGCCTGAGTCTTGTCATCCGCCTGAGGATTACTAGGCGATTCCGATCCTTGCTGTACCGGGTCGTCCCTGTTCTTGGGAACAGTTATCTTCGTCCTCCCCGCGATGGAGATCTCCTCGGTATCATCCGGGTTCTTAGGCGTAGCAGGTCTCATCGTATCGTCATCGATCGGCGGCGGCTTTTCAGCGGGCTTTCTGTGCGCCGGTCGCTGTTTCGCTGCCGTCTTCTCCAACTCCGCCGCCTCCTTTTGCGCCTCGATGGCGGCTACAGTGGATTTGTAAAACTTCTGGTTCTGCTCCTGGTGACTGTCTCTCTGAGAGTGGGAATCACATTAGACGGCCGGTTTCAACGACGTATTTAAATGAGGGGGCCGGCTCACCGAGTAATACAGCGCGATCACGATCAACGTAAAGACGACGACGGCCAGCAGCCTCATGCGCCGTTGGGACAGCATGATGAACGGGTATTTGCCGAGGACGGTGTATAGTGGTCAGATTTCCTAGAGATTCAGACAAAACGGTTAGAGTGCGTCATCCCTCCTTATATACCATGCACGCTTGGGCCCAAAAGACAATACCTACCTGGTTGTTTCACGCATCGAAGTCGCAGCCTCGTGGGGTCGACAGATCATCGGCGCAGGCGGAACACCAATCACAACCGGACATGGGATTGCGCAGATGCGAAAACAGGATGGAAACAAAGAATTATAATATATATATAGATAGATAGATCGACAACTATCGTGATGCCTCAGCGGTACTCCCGCTTTTGAAGGTTGGGAGAGATTGAATCATTGATTGAATGATGGTCGCGCGTGGGGGTGGACACTGGACAACCCCGGGGAGCCAATGATCCTAAAAGGAGCGGCCCGCGTGTGCGCGCCTAGCTCGGCCAGGAGGTTTGCTCCGTAATTGGTTACGCCATGGATTTATTTACTCCTGCCAAGGTCAACTATGGAGATGGGATGCAGTGATACCCACCTACTTAATCAAAGGAATACAACTTCGGCTACTGAGTATTCTTCCTCAGTTTGATCATGCCGGACAAATTTAACTACTCTAGTCCCAAGAGAGATATGAAAAAAATCTTGATTATGGGTTATACTAAACAAATGATGCTCTAATCGGGTATTGCTAAAATGAAATGACACTAATAACGCGGGAGTTGTCATGGTTCAATGCAGGATTTAGCCCAGGGACCACATGTTTTGCTTGGAGCCACCGTCCATAGCATCGAATCCATGCCAGACTTCCCCAGAAAGAAAGAAAAAGAGAAAGAATCCGCAGAACCAGCAGCGGTGGAGCGCAGCGTCTGCGCAGCCTGCCATTCTGTATCGAGTCCAAGGTTATGCGGTTGTCCCTATGTTTGAATCATAAGGCCGGGTCGCATCCCGGTGGTCCCTCGGCGTCTGCCCTGGACGACAATCATCCAATCTTCCCACTCCTTGGCAATTTCCATCATCACATTGCCCATCACAGACGCAGACGCCATCAATCCGTGGCCCTCGTCCTCGAGAACCCGGACCTCACAGCGTCGCATGGTTTGGCCAAGCCATCTGACGTTGTCCACCGGGACGCGGGTATCCCTGCTCCCGTGGTGGATGACAACGTTTCGTGTGATGTCCACGTAGCGGAACCCAATCGGCTGGTGACGTTCCAGGCACACGAGCAAGTCAACTGCCGGGTTGGCATTGCTAGTGGCCAATTCCCAGATCTTGTGCGTCAGGCGATTGTCATAATCGGATTGGCGCTCACGCTCGTCGGAGACGTCTGCATTCTGGCCGAAGGCGTCACCTTCCTTGTCGCGGGCCTCGCTGGGTATATTTGGGGTTCGGACGTTTTGTAGGGCCTGGAGGTCGGCGCCCTGTTGATGGATCTTCGACTGGAGTTTCTGGGGTCCATTGACTTCGGGAGCCGCCGAGGCAGAGGCATCTTTCGCAGTCCCTTTGCGCTTTGAACGCCGGGGTGATTTGGGAAGACTGGTCGTTATACTTGCGCTCGTCGCGCTCATGAAGCTGGAATTGGCTACCTTTAAGAAAGAGGTCGGTAGCGCACGGAGAATTCGCTGAGAGTATGGCACGGCATTGGTAGGGGCGGGAGATTTCTGCGAGCCAATGCTCGACAGCTGCGACGGAGGGATCCAAGGCGCAAGGAGATGGATACGGCCGCGGATATGCTGTGGGATCCTCAAAGCCGTTGCCAACGCGTAGATGGCACCAGCAGAGTGCGCCAAGATCGAAAATTTAGTTACTTTGAGGTAGTTACATACAATAGCAACATCGTCTGTCCCCGTTAGTCAATTCGGAGGATGGACCAAAGAGAAGGTGGGAGAAGAAGAAAGAAAACAGGGTTCTTACCTGGCCAACTGAGAGGGTTCCCCGACTCATCCACACAAGGCCCACTTTCACCAACTCCGGGGCGATCCAAAGTGATCATTCGAAGCTTGAGGGAACGCGCCAGTTCGTCGTAAAAGGCCATCAAATATCTGGTTAATCCCATTCCAAGGCAGCACAGAACTACGTGCCCCCTAGGATCTCCCACCTCGGAGAATGCGATTGTACGGCCCGTCGTGGGATGGGGGACACGTTGAGTCAGTTTGGGAGATTGTATGTAGTCGAACACCAAGTGGTCGATGGAATCGGCGCTCGACGGACGATAATCCCCAGCCACACTCTGGCCGGCGGGAGTCGGTCCAGACGGCGAGCGCCTGTGGTTTCGTGGAGGTGTAGACGACTCCACGGACTGTCGGGCGCGAATCATACTAGCCTGGTCGCATTTATCAAAGGACCCCCTCGTCGCAAACGGCACGTTGGTTGGTTTCGAGACAAGTGGGGAGCTAGTTCTCGTCATGGATCTGCATTTACCAGTCATGACTGCTGGCGCTGGAGCGCTCTCGTCGAATGTGTATGAACGATTCCGTCGCGCCTCGGCTGGACCGACGCCAGCACCAAGACCGCCGGGGTTTTGCGGCGGTCGAACCGGTTTCGGAGACGGGAGGTGCTTTGCGGTGATTTCAGGACTATCGTCCATTTCCAGCTCAGTCTTGATTTTCTGCTGTTGATTTTTCAGTTCTTGGATCCTCTTCGTCACCTGTTCGGCTTCGCTTCCGACGCCAGCTATTCCGCTATCGACTTTGGCCTCCCGGTTGCTGCCTGCGGACGGCAGTCGACCATGACGGGAACCTTTGCGTTGCCTGGAGCCGGAGGAAAAGCTGTGCCGCAGCGACGATTCACGTGCGGGGATGGCTGCCCTCCCACTGCCCACGCCCCCGGGGGTGCTTGGCGCACTGTCGCATAAGCTCTGGAACGAAGAACGCTCTCTGTTAGGTGAGCTAGGGGGAGGCTGCCGCGATGATTCCGTGGAGTAAGTCTGCCGTCCTTCCTCTGCCACGTTCGCCATGGAGTGCATGGAGCGCAAACTCGCGCGATTCCGCGGGATGTTCTGCCTCAGGCTATCGTTGTAGCTATTCGACTTCCGTGGTTTCTCCGCCTCTTTATCTTTGCCGCCGCACAAGAATTCACGCGATGGCTTTTTGAACAAGCCCAGCGGGGTTTTCAAGCTTTTCCTAGATCCTGTCGAGGCGATACTAGCGGCGGTGGATGCGCGATGGCCTGGCTCCGTTGAGATCATGCCAAACGCGGTGTCTTCATAGCCCGCCTTGAACGAGGTGTAGGAACCCCTGGACGTCGGCCTTCCCGGGGACGGGGGCGCGGAGAAGGCTGATTTGAATCTGGGCGATTTGGGCGACTTGGGAGACTTCGGAGGGGGCGGCGCCCGGGCCATGCGAATGATAGGGGCAGCCGCAGCATCGTCGGGGTGCAGAAACGGACTATGCGGGAAGTCGACCGCCACTGGGGTCGTGGTGTAGGTCACGCCAAATCCATGCTCGCTCGGTGGCCGTTGTTGGTCGGGAATGGAATGTGGTTCGGGAGGGATATAGATGGGGGTTGTGGGGTCGGTTTCCGAATCAATGCGCGGGCCACTGTCGAAATGCGATTGGAGAGGGGCAGAGATGGTCGACAGCGAAGAGATCAACGAGGATATCACTTCGGGGGAGCCCTGGTCGGTCACCGGACTGATCGAGGGTTTTCGGGACGGGTTGCCCTTGCGACGACGCGACAGGAGGGCGGAAGATGCCTGGAAAGGGGCATCGAGCCTAGACGCCGACGAACTCTCCGCGTAATCCATGGGGTAAAACCCTTGACAAGGGTGGGATGCTCAAGCCCTGTCGCGAAAGCTGGCGCTCCGGCCGGAATCCAATTAATCACAGACAGTATGCGCAGGCGCTTTTACTGGACATTTGCATGGTCCAGTCCAGTCAGGATTGGGGGGGGGGGCGAGCGGAAATCGGGAGGTTGCAGGGCCGTTCGTCCTTGAGTGGTGGTTAATCTATAGAGGGTCGAGGGGGCTTCCTGCATGTGCCAATTAAGGAAAGCAAAATATTGAAACCAGGATCCAATCCTGTTGAGCCCCTTGCGATATGGAACGGGACTCCCTTGCAGGTAATATCTTCACTGAAGAAAGGAACGAGGGGGGCAGGGAGAGAAAAAGAGGGTGGTCCGTGTAGGAAGGGATCGCGCATTTGGAGGGACTAAAAGAGCGTAACGAAAAGAGGGAAAAAATTGATTGAATAAAATAGGATAAAACCAAACGGATAAAATCGAAAAAGGAAAAGGAACAACAGAAAAGGAGGGTTCTAATCCAAGATCGGCCGACTCAGTCAAACAGAGATAGTTAGTAGGACTATAGAGTGAGGGGCAAGGAGGAGAGACTAAATAACCTCCAGAAGCCCTTGAATCCGATAATTCAATGGGAAAAGAGAGCGAAAAGAAAGACAATCTAACAGGATACATAAAAGGAAGAGAGAATCACATAAATCAATATTATATCTAACCTGCTGCGTTGAAACTACCGAGGTTTAGTTGGTCTCCAATTATCCTCTATCCACATCTGTACAGCCGTCTTATACGCGATCCACCTGGGATATATATATTCATATTGGACTCTTCCAACCAGGGAGACCTGGATGCCAGTGGAATGGAAAGAAGAAGGAAAATACTCCGTAGAAGAGAGAGAGAGAGAGAAAAAAAAAAAAAAAAAAAAAAAACCGAAAAAGGTTCAAAAGGGGCCAGTCATTGCTTGATATGTAGGTCAGATATGGGTCACGGTGGGCTTCCCTGCCTTAGTGTCTGGCGGTTCTCTGCATTTGCATCCACTCATCGATCTCAGACCCAAAGTCTGACAAGAACTTCCCTCCGCACGGTTCGCAGATCCAAATCCCAAGGACTCAGGTTGAATTAATCTTACTCACGGCACGGACACATCCAAGCTTCCGATGCCAATTTCCACCAGGGATATGGTGAAACCAGTCTGCCTTTGATGCCTTTCGAAGGCAAGGTTCGTTTGGTTTGGGTCGAAAGTAGGTCATCACGGATGAGGTGACTATCCCATGACTGTATATCACCAATCTGCTGGGAAAAGGGAGTGGCAAGAGTTGACCCAAGGATGTCTTGTGATCAATTGATACATTGCTCGCTCAGAGCATTGAAGTGTGTACAAACTACACCAGATGGACTCGACAACTGATATTACCCAGATAGGTAACAGACTCGAAACCACAAATGGTATTATGGTAGAGGGACAGAATCCGATTCCACGCCGACCCACCCGCTCTATCTAAAACTCGGAAAGTTGGAATACCGACTACAATTCGATCGGTAGGGCGTAGACTGATGGACCCATTGTCCAATGAGCGCTCTCAGGTAGGGCTTTGTTTCTTCGATATCTCCGTGTTTCAAAGAATTCTGGGCCATACACGTAAGTGGCATGGGGCATGTATGATTACGTGGATGGGTCATATCTGAAGACCACGAGTTCAGTCTCTGAGAGGTTACCCAATCGTGAAAACTCAAAGTTGAAGTTTATGAAGAAGCGAAAGGGTATATATAAGTGTAAGCATTGTCCTTTTCTTTCGTCCTTGGGTGACATTGTTGTCAAGAAGGAGCATTAATATACGGCGGGATCCCACCAGAATGCAAATATAAGTCTTGCTGGCACGATGTATATCTCTGTAAGACCTGAATATAGCCATGTGCTACCAACACTTCATCAGTAGGAAGCCGCCAGAAATATAAAGATGGACAAGTCTCGAACGGCATTCCGACCGTCTGAGGGATCCACTGATACCAGTCTTGGCGTGTTTGGTGATAGCAGCATGGAAGCTAAACTAAGGATAATCGCCCAACCACCACGATCGATCTGTCTTCAACTAATTTGGGTGTGTGACTTGGCAACCAAGCACCTTCAACACCACCGCTGAATCTTCAGGAATTGCCCCGCGCACCCCAGGAAGCCTACTGCCTTTGATATTACCAATTACAGCCCTTTCATAACGTGTCTCGACCGGCTTCCGTCACCCTGCGGTGACTTCGGAGCTAATACGTCCCCCCGATCGATACCTAGGTATGCGGTGACTTGCTACCCCCCACCAAGGAACATTGGTCCGCTATGGACGCATATCCCGAGGACTATGTCGTCCACAATCTCCCTTTCATTCTCCTTTCGGGTCTCGACGCCGGTTCCGATGGGGACCAGCACTCCGACTATCCTCTTCTCCACAGGGGAGACCCCACGATCGATTCGGACTTCCCGCCCTTGACCGGACCGACCGCGGAACAATTGCGACAGGCCTTTTTGGAGGAGGACGCATCTCGAGCCCCATGGGAACGACGGAATGAGAAACGGGCGCCGTCGGCGGGGGTGGGATATAAGATCAAGAGTGTTGGACGGGTACGTGGTGTTGCATACATAGGTCTCCCAAACACATTGCCCCTCACCCTTCATGCCCTCAACATCTTGTTCGTTGGTCGTGATAGGTATCGGGGAAGGCCGACGTCCCTTTTCTTAGCCACCATTTGGCTTTGACTGTCCAGAATGCGATCCCTGGCGTGGACTCGAGTGCTAACGCCTGGATAGTCCTACAGACTCCCCCCGCGCAAAGCTGACCCGCCCCCTGTATCGCCCCCGACGAGCCCCAATGCTAGCCCCGACAATGGTGGTGGCCATGGACCACACTTTGTCCTCCACTCGCCAATCTCCCCGTTGACTCCCAGCTCCCCGACCTTCCCAGATGGGCTTCTCACCCCGCTTTGGGTCACGAAACACCAGGGCCTTGTTCCTGCTGTGGTGATCAATTTCTTTCCGTTCTGCCAGGATCCGAATATGAATTCGTTGCGAGACAATCAACTGAAGATCGAGATCAATGGGTTGAAGAAGCAATGGTCTTCGTCCGGGTACAAGACGCGGTTCCTTGTCGTCCTCTTGTCGGAAGAAAACAGCGGTGCCGTCGTCGAGGAAGCCGAGGAGCGGATAGCGAGTATACGGAGGGCAACAAACTTGGACCAGAAGTCTATCTTCCTTCTGCCGGCCGATGCCACCCCGACGGAGCTGAAGGAATTTGTGACGTCTCTCGAGTCCCTATTGCAACCAGTGGTGATGGACTATTACCGAGATCTGTCAAAACACGCTAGACGGAAACGAAACCGAAGCGCCATCCCACCCCCAACAGCGCCGCCGACAAGCGGAACGTCGCAAACGTTGTCACTCCAAGGGTGGAACGTCCGGTACGAGTTCAAGCTAGGTGTATTTGCCGAATTCCGCCAGGAGACAGATGCCGCCCTGAGGAATTATGAAAGCGCATACGAGACTTTGTTTGGCCAGGAGGTTTTCGAAAACATACCCGGGTGGAGTCCAAGGTTCAACGATGCGCGCCTGCTGGCCGACTCTCTGGCCCTAAGAATCATTCGCTGTTTGCTCCGCTGTGGCCAACCCGCCGCAGCGGTACGGTCGTGGAACAACCACCGCAGACACTCGCAAGGCGTAATCAATCGACGAGGGAAAGGAACCAATAACTATGGGTGGGAGGCTTGGGAGGCTCGATGGTCAATGGTGATGGCACAGCTCATCCACCAGGCCGAGATCTCTTACTTTAGACTTGGTCCATCTCAGGACCAGTCCAGCGAACAGTACTCGATCTACGTACCACGCGAGAAAGCCCAACCCCAGCATGGCATAATATCGCCCTGGGAGCATCTACACCACGAAGGATACTGGCTATGCCGGTCGGCGAAGCACACCATGTACAGACGGGAGCTTGCCGAGAAGATCCCGGTCGAAGATCGGATACCGCCGGGGCAGTCTCCAGCTTCCCAAATAGCGAGCAAATCCTACCTCTACGACACATATCTGGTGCCAGAGACCCACATCGAGGCACCCCAGGCAGGCGCAACTGGATTTGATCACTCGCCGTTGATATTGGATGCTTTGAAGGCAGCGTTGGAGGAGTTTTTAAAGCGTGGCCAGGTGCGGAAGACGGAAATGATCAGCTTGGAGATTGCGGAAGAATACATGCGTGCTGGTTCATGGGTCGAAGCATACGATATCCTGCGGCCTTTATGGCCGACCCTAACATGGCGACGCTCAGGCTGGTGGCAGCTGATGGAAAAGTTCGGCTGGGCCCTCCGAGAATGCGCATTCAGAGTGCATGATAGCGGAACAATCCTGCAGGTGGACTGGGAATTACTCAACCGAGGTACGTATCATCCATGTGTTGGTACATGTGTACCTCATTCCACCAGACGCACATCTCGCTTCGCTTGCTTTCTCTCCTTTCTCCCTGGCAACACAACCACCAACATCATGTACCGAGTTTGGCTGACGATATTTAGCTTTCCATGAAAAGCCTGATTGGCAGTATGATATCCACAAGAGTCTTGGGGATCTTCCATCGGTAAAGCCGAAGCCATCCATTGTCCTCAACGCAAACGATGTCATTCCAAGCGGTAGGCACCCTCGATCCAACTCTTTGCCCCTGGAGATAATTGGCTAATACACCTTACTAGTCACCGCATCATTTGTGTTTTCAAAGTCCGAAGGAAATGTTGGCGAGCCTCTACAGGGCCAGCTCACCGTCACTTCTCATACCCAAGCGTCTTCTAAACCCATTCGATTCTCCGAGGTTAAAGTCGTCTTTGAGGGGTGCCTTCGCCCCATCAAACTCCAGTCGGATCAGAATACAGAAGCCGACACAGCGACCCCCTGCACAATTTCTTCACCCACATTGCGGGATTCTAGCACCACGCATGACGGGCCTTTACAATCACCCACCAGTTGGTTAACGCCATTAGTGGGAATGGCAGATCTAAGCATTGGTCCATCTCAAACGAAAGTGTTCGACCTTCGGTGCATCCCCCGAGAAGCTGGGGACTGCAGTGTTGCATCCGTCACTTTATCCATTGAGGAAGATAAATTTGATCTTGCGTGTGCGATCACTGATCTCGCCCTGAGTGAATCCTACTGGTGGCAGCAGACCTCCAAAGGTCCAAGTCGACGAAGGGTGGGCCAGGAGCGTGAGATTGATCGGTGCAAAGTAAACCCTAAACCGCCTAAGATCCAAATCACGACGCCGAATTTGAAGGCCACTTACTATACCAACGAACGGGTTGTGCTGAAAATCGGCATCTACAACGAAGAGGAGGAGGCCGCCAATGTTCAAGCCGAGGCAAGATTATTTGGTCCCCCTGAGTCTGCGGCTAAAATCACCTGGCTTGATGAGGAGCCGTCCTCGGAGAGCGAGGATTCGGAGAAGAGAACCCTATCCGATAGCCTCTCGCACCTTGTTCAGCGGCCCATTGGCGTCATGGAGCGCTCGACCCAACGGGAATTGGCGGTTGTACTTGGCGACACCGACGATGCATCGGACCATGAGCTTGAAATATCGGCGGTGTACAACCTTGTATCCGATGTACAGACACCTGTCATTGCGACTACACGTGTCAAGTTGAGCATCATCCGACCCTTTGAAGCCAATTATGACTTCCTCCCCCGCATCCACCCGCAGCCGTGGCCGGACTTTTTCACTGCGAGTGAGGATCCGAAGTCGGGATCGGACCCCGCTGGTCTACAGCAACGGTGGTGTCTCAATTCGAAAGTGGTCTCTTTTGCCCTAGAGCCCCTGGTTATCGAGAAGATGACGTTGGTGTTACTTGGTGTGGGTGGCGGTGCCGTCTGTGATATTGGGCCTGAGGCGCTTGTCAGCCCGGAGGCATCGGAGATCCAACCGGAGGAGCTTCGGGAGTCGAATTTTCAGATGGACCTTCACAAGACAATCCTAGGCGACCGCCGAGCGACCGCAGTGAGTCTGCAATTGGAAATCCAGTGGCGTCGTAGTCAAACTGGCGGCACTAGTGATGCCGCGGATTCGTCAGACGACCAGGTTACGGCGACTTCTACCCTGGCAGTCCCTCGGTTTGTCGTCCCAGTGGGCGAGCCTCGTGTGCTCGCTTCGTCGACCGCCTCTAAGAACCTTCCTGGACTGATCCACCTGGACTACACTCTCGAAAACCCATCCATGCATTTCCTCACCTTCAACCTTGCCATGGAGGCCAACGAGAATTTTGCCTTCAGTGGACCGAAGACCGTGGTCGTGCAGCTGGTCCCACTCAGCAGACACACCGTCCGATACAATCTGCTGGCGTCCAAGAGAGGGTTGTGGATCCAACCGCAGCTCCTCGTCATGGATACCTACTTCAACAAAACGCTGAGGGTCCTCCCTACGGAAGATATGCAGTCCGACAAGAAGGGACCCATGGTGTGGGTTGACGCTGATGACTAGATAGAAGATCTATGCACCTAATTAATTGCAAGGACTACTCATACTCATCATATATACGCGACGTAGAGTACTGGTCCATCGACAGTAGTCTGCCCGTCCAATGCCCGCATCATCACGTGACAGACCTTATCACAGTGGCCCAAAGAGGACTAGTCGGACTCCGATCGCCGCCCGCAGCTCCTCGTTCCGTTAAGCGGAGAGACAATCAACTGAGTAACTCTACGGCGTTCATGCTGCGTTGCGCAGATTCATTCCCTCTCTTTCTCTCGTTTCCACCTGCGTGTTCTTCCCTTGTCCCTACACACTCTTCATCTTATGTGGACAAGCCTATGATCCGAATCTCCAACCTGATTAAATGACTTACCGCTGAAATCAAGAGAAATCAAATTGCCCCCGGAAAATAAACCTTTGCGGCCATCATCTTGTCCTCCATCGAACCACTATACCAACTTCCAATTGCCCATCCCATCGGCCACTATACCCCACATCTATCTTAGCTGGTGCTGTTCCAATTTCAATCATGGCGGCGCAGGCAGCCTTGATAGCCGACACGATTGTCGGCATGAAACGGGCTCTCCGAAAAGAGAATGACTGTATGTCTTGTCTACCCTTACCTTACGCTCTACTCGCGTCTGTCGTTGCGTCTGTCGAGCATGCGTCCTTACATTTACTTCTCTTATCAGATTCGGGACCCGATGACCCTATCACGCAACCGACGAATCGGGGCAATAAAATGCGAGCCAATGCAAAATATGTGCGGGAAGGGGCTCTTGGTTACATACATCCGGAAGAGCTTTTTAAACAGGTAATCTTTTCCTTTCCTTTCTGTTCCCTCGCCTCATTTCATTTTCCCATTTCTTTTGACAAGATCACTGTCTGCGCTGGGCATGAACACGCTGGTTGAAATGAGCGCTAACGGCAATATTTGCACTGCAGAAAATCGAACATGCTGGCTACACTCGTTACATTCTCCAACCCAATCCTGTACGATACGATTCTGAAGGTGATGAACTTGACGAGGATGATGAACATTCAGAGGCCGATGCGGCGGCTGCGGAGGAAAACCCGTTTTCTGAGATTGCGCTGGAAAGTGAGTGTTCCATTCCCCCGTTCCAACCTGTTCCGTTCCCCGACCTCCCTCACTTCTTTCCGGGGATTCATCTTCATGTGTGTATGCGCCTGGAACTCGGTGACTAATGGATTATGGCTTGCTACAGACTTCATGTGCCCTTTAAAACACCCATCAGAACTTCCCGTCCATCCTTCGCTATCCCACGCTTATAAATCCAAGGCCCTCTTCAACATGGCACAAGCAATAGAGGACAAACTTCGTCAGGAACGAGTGCTTTTATGGCGTGCCAGAAACCTTCATAGGCAATTCCTCGGCGATGAGCCGTGGATGCCCTGTGGCGCCGTGGAAACCGATCAAGACCGGCGGATCTTTGAGCCTCGGTGGCCACATATCGGGTCCACCTCACCAAGAAGTCAGTATGAACAAAACAGAGAAGCCTCCAAGTTGGTCACAGAAGGCCCGAATGCATCGGAAAACGGGATCCAGGAGACGAAGTCGGTTGCCGACTCTGAACGCGAACCTCGGCCGGCCCAACAAGAGGGGCGGCTAGCTGCGGAGAAAGATGTCAACATGACCGATGCCTCTAACGACAACACTGTACTCGCGAACCATGACACTGTAGAACTGGAGAAAGCCCCCAAGTCCGAAGAAGTCGATACCCCGGTGGCGGACCTTCTTTCGCACCGAGAAATTGGAGATTCGGCGCCACAAAACAGTGACACTATGATGGAGAATCCACACTTTGCGCAGGATAAGGTCCCAGAACCGGATCAGACTGTCGGCGGAGACGCAAAGGAGGAGGCCAATGGAGAACGTGGCGTGGAGAATGCGGGCGCCGAGCACCCGATCAGTGCGCAAGGGGACGAAATGGACCTGGACGGTGAGGCGCAGGATGGATCTCCCTTGGAACCCCCACGGCGCATGACGACTCGCGCACAAGCCAACGCCGTGAACCCGCATCAAGAGAACGGGTCACCGTCACCTTCGTCCGACACACTGAACAGCCTTCCAACACCCCATCCTCTCTTCCTCGTGCCGGACTCTATCCGACCCGACCCCAACTTCGGCCTCCCTCCCAACGAAGCTGAAGAAACCCGTCGACTGCTCTGGTCCTACGTGCAGAAACAAGAAGAGACCGTGCGCGGATTCGAACACATGCTGAACTCCCTCCTCCGCGCCTCGCGCATGAAGGAAGATGTCTACGAGTGGTGCAAAGCCGAAGGCCACGTGGGCGAGATGAGCGACGGAGAAGACTGGTACGACCGCGAGGCCCTGGGCCTCGGCGAAGACGAAGACCTCAAGAAGGGCGCAGACGAAGACGAGATCGAGACGGTCGAGGAAAGCCGGGCGGCCAACAAAAGAGGCAGACGACGGGCATGATGTGGTGGACAAGACATTATTTCAACTCTCCCTCTCTCTCTTGCTTTTTTTTTTCTTTTTCTTTTTTCTGTTGCCCGCCCATGTCTTTGTTCATATTTGAAGCCTATTTATTAGCTTTCTCACGTTTGGTCCACAGCGCAGCGCGGAGTTGGCGGTGTTTGGTTATATGTGCAGGCTTCTTGGATGTATGTAGTGGGAGTATGTATGTATTTTAGCTCGGCAGGTCCAATATATCTTTTTATCTACTTTTTCAGTATTGTTGTACAGAAGATATGTCCCACAAACCTGCGAAATTATAAAATAGAGGGAAAATAAAAGTCATCTTTGCATAAACGTCTTGAGTACGTAGCAGACAACAGTCAATGTTTCTTATGTATATTTCATGTTCATGTTTCACACCCAACACAATATGAATACCACTGGGCTATCAAGCCACGCAGACACACCTCCTTCTCCCTACTAATTCTTGTTGAATGTCAATCAATCAAAGGCTACCAGCTATTCTCATATCCTCTCCTCCCCTTTTCTTTACTAACCACCCTCTGTCCCAGTCTTCGGGTCGGATGACATCTGTCCATCAACCGAATGGGTCCGACGGATCACGTGGATGTTGAAAGTCCAGGTCTCCAGTGCCAAAAGGCGCTGCTTCTCATGCTCGCACAGACCACGTGTGGCCCCGAGCAGAGCGCAGAAGGGAAATCTGACCAATGTCGCTTACTGGGCCTTGCCGCCCCGCTTGGACTTTGCGCGTTCGCGCTCACGCTTGGCGTAGATTTCGGCGGTGAAGGGGCTGGGAGTGTCATTCGTATCAGCTATGAATGACAAATATATACATACATATATATATATGTATATATATCGCTGATCTCGTCGGAAGAGAATTGGTGCATAGGGCATAAAGCATAAAGCATGGGCATGGGCATGAGGAAACTTACTCCTCCCACTTCAGGGCGAACCAGTACAGGACAAAGACCCCAGCGGACAGAAGCACACCGGCGACCTTGCCCCTGTACAGAGCGACGCCCAAAAAGTTCAAGGTGCTTCCCCAGTACATGGGAGAACCGGTGACGTTGAAAGGAAACCCGGTAACCGGGGCATCCATCAAGATGCCAAAGTAGTCACCCAGGTAGGTGCCGGTGACGCCGAGGGCCCACATGCTGGAGAGTACGAGGACGGAGCCGACGGCGAACAGGGCGCCGCCTAGGATCGGTTGGTGCACAGGGTCATAGTAGGGTTGGTCTTCGAGGGCCAGTTGGTAGATATGGTCGCGAACGATGCCCAGAGTGAAGATGGTGAATGCGAGGAAGTAGCATCCGTAGTAAGGGTTGTTACCGAAGATACGAGTCAGGAAGTGATTCCGATATTCTACAAGACGATACCGTCGGTTCCTGGTATGAGCCTTCTTATATTGAATCGCCATTGACCGGGTAAAGGGCGGTCATCCGGAGGCTTTTTGGTGCGTTGGGAAATGAGATAGAGTGGAGACCAACCGGTGCGGGCAACAATGCTAGAAGCCCCGCTCGCGGGGGGACGGTTAGCCAGGGACTTGTCAGGACAGATATACTGGTTCCAAAAGAGTTTCGAACCCATTACTTACTTCCAGAAGATGGGATTGAATGCAATCGACAGCACACATACTGCAGAAAAAGGAAGAGAGAGGATTAGTGGAAGTCCAAGATTCACATGCGGGGAAAAGATATGGGTAATTAAATCAGATCAGAAAATGACGATGGAAATGTGTACATTTCAAAGATGGCTGTGACAGATCCACAAAATCCGTAATAGTGGCCATGGCTGGAGAGGACGAAGGGAAGATGTCGAGGAGGTGGAAGAGGAGAAGGAAGTGAGGTTGAAGAGAGAAAGAGGAAGAGAGAGAAGGAAAAACAACAACAAAACAGGTGAAGACACTAAGAGAGAATCCGGCATGACGTCTTCCTCTTCTCCACCGGCAGAAAACGAGTATCATACAGTACAGGACTGTGTTTATTGCTCTGTTTATTACAAGCCGTTAATTACAGCCGTGTTGTATACCTTTCAGTACCGTCATTACTACCCCAATGCGGCTCACCGCCCGCATCCCCAGACGATCCTCCCCTCTCCAGCTTCCCATCTTGGTATCTCGACATAAACTAACCCACTCGCCTATCTCTTCTCCTCTCACCTCTAACCTAGCTCAGGTCGGATCTTCGTCTGCATGGACCTGCTGTCAGAAAGGGAAAAAATATAAATCACATCATGTGTTTCTTGGTGCTCCCCTTGACCACTGTTATATGCCACTTGGAATCTCATTGATGGTCATGGACCCGTCCGTCTTCCCCACACTGCGAATGCCCCGGGGAGAATGGCCTTGAAACGTCGCGATCTCGTCCTCCTGGGCACTGGTGCTTTCATCTCGTGGGGCTTGGCCGTCAGCTGGCTCCCCATCCTTCGATATCTCGGCTGGGCCCTCGTTCTCGGAGTGTCGCTCTCTTCCGCGACGTTCCTGGCGGTGGTCGTCTTCAGTATCCGCTCGGCGAACGACCATGGCCCCGGTTTCCCTCGTCCAAAGAACCTCCCTATCGCGTTCGTCGCCCCCAGTCGGTGGCCTGATGAGGCTCGCGGGGTGGTGGAACGTGCCTCGTACAACCCCTCTTCGCTCTATCCGCAATCCTTTGTTGTATCGGAAGGTATTGATGAACTGCTGATGCTGGTCACCCGCGACTTCATCTCTACTTGGTATCGGAGCATCAGTCCGAATCCCGTCTTTGTGAATGAGGTGGATCGCGTGATCCGGACGGCTGTCGGCAATCTTCGCGACCGAATCCTCACCGAGGACCTCATCTCTCTCATCGTGTCTCGTATCTTCCCCATCGTGACGACGCACCTCAATGAGTTTGACATCGCGGAGCGCTCCGTCCGGGGCCGCAATCTCACCCGAAATGTGACCGAGTCTGAAGAGCTGGATCTGGCCATCGCCGCCAAATACCGCGATGGTCGCTTGCACCCGGCCGCAGCTCTCTCCTTGTCCGACCCGCGACTCGTCGAGCAGGAATACCTCCGGAAGATGTCAATGGGCCTGCTGCCCCAGTTGTTCCCGGAGAGCGTGCTGAACAGTCGCATCGTCTCTGTGCTGATCAGAGAGATCGTGTCCTGCGCCGTACTTTTCCCGATCGTGTCCCTGCTCTCGGACCCGGATACTTGGAATCAGTTGATGGAAGCTTACGGCCGAACCGCCCTCCAAGATCGCAAAACGGTGCGGAAGCTTCGAGCAGCCCTGGATCAGCACACCTCGCCAGTCCCCAGGTCGAAACGCGGCAGCTATTTCCCTCATCTCGCACCGAATGATTCAGAAAGAGCCTTTGAACGGTTTGTACGCGCGATCCGGCGCTGTAGCAACCTGTCCGACGCTAGACGCTTCCGCGCCCTCGTTGCGAGTCAGCTAAAACGGGAGACAATGGTGGAGGGACAGGACCCGACGTACCTGCGACGGCTCGAAACCGGAAAGAGGGTTTTGGATCAAAAAGTGACGAAGCTCTCCGCACCGAGTGGCGATCATGCGTCGCACGCTTCGGCGGTCGTGTCCCACTTCCGTCGTACGAACTCTTCCCCACCCCACGAAGGCTCATTGGTGGACGTCATGCACGACACCGCTGGCCTCTCCTACTTCATGGAATTTATGGATCGCCAGAAGCTCATGTCCCTGGTCCAGTTCTGGATCGTGGTCGATGGTTTCCGCAACCCTCTGGAAGATGACTTTGGCGATGAGGCCTCTCCGAGTGCCATCACCTGGACGGAAACGGACCGCAACGACATAGCCCTCATAAGCGAAACCTATCTCTCACAGGCAGAACTCAAGGTCTCGGAGGAATCCCGCCGAACAGTGCGGGCATTTCTCAGCGCAGGGAGCCGAGCCACGTCGGACCAGTATCGCAAGGCTCGTACCGTGGTCTTGACCACCCAGTCTGCAGTACTGGAGGAGCTCCAGGGAGTCTACTATCCCAAATTCAAACAGTCAGACCTATACTATAAATACCTCGCGTCCGACCATGTGTCCTATTCGTCATCACTTCCATCCGCAGCCTCCCAGGATGGGCCCCCAGTTCCCACGGAGGTGCCTGAAAGACGGCCGCTACCTCCCTTGATGAGTCGCACGCGCTCGCAACCCGTCACCAAATCTAAGGACCTGCGGCGCGCGGCGGTCTCGTCAAGTGATGTACGGAGCATGGGCAATCTCCTTGACGACGATGAATCGCCTCGACGCTCTTTCGATTCAGATCGATCCGGTCCCTTGTTCGATGACGACTATGATGCTGAACCCCTGGCGGCGTCAACACAGAGTCTCGATCGAGACTTGCAGAGTAGCGAAAACGACCCGAATCAGAACCAAATCATCGAGAACATGGAGGCTGCATTGAACGACATCATCGTCAACGTCCCGAAAAACGGGAGAATCGAAGACTTGAAAGGGGGGGACAGCAATGCACCCACGTCCCCAGGCAATGAACGCAATCCCACGTCTGCACGCAGCTCAGGGGAGTCGGCCCGCGTTGGCGCTCGCATGGACGATAAGTCCAAGCCGAGTATCGCCTCGCTAGGGTTGGTCGATCACCAATCGCGTCTTGGTGTATTCGACGACGATCTCTTCGCAGACCAGCAGAAGTTCATCGAGGATGAATACGAAGAACCCGTCGGTATCGGCGACAGGGACCCGGCTGACGAAGTACACGAAGCGGCCCCTGGCGACCTTGGCTTGACGGAGGCCGTAGAAGCACTTAATGTGGAGATCGAAAAGCTTGGATCCCAGGATGCGGTAGTGGACACGCTGACTCGAAAGGCGGAGCTCACGAACAATACAGCGGAACTGAGGATTCTCCGGAAGTCAAAGGCCAGCATCCAGCGGGAAATCCATCGCAAAGAAATGCAACGCCAGCAGTACATTATCCAGGAGAGTGACAACAGCTTGTACGGACGGTCGTCTATTCGAATCCAATCCATCGTGGTGGGCAAGGAGGAGGACGGCCGGGAGTTTGCCATGTGTACGTGACTTCCCCCTGAATCTTCGATTTACGGCCGACTAATTTTCTCCCTTTAGATGTGGTTGAAGTGCACCGAGACGCTGGAGAGCAGATGCCCGCTGCCTCCTGGGCGGTAGCCCGCCGGTACAGCGAGTTCCACGAACTCCACCAAAAGCTGCGCATGCGATATCCGTCCGTCCGTCACCTCGAATTTCCCCGCCGGCGGGTAGTGATGAAACTGCAGAAGGAGTTCCTCCAGAAACGACGACAGGGGCTAGAAGCCTACGTACAAAAGCTACTGCTTCTACCCGAAGTATGCCGGAGTCGTGATCTCCGTGCTTTCCTCTCCCAACGGGCCATCATCCCACGCGACGAGACAGCCCCTCGCGAAGGCGACACCAAAGATCTCGTAACCCGAATCTACAACTCCGTCGCAGACGGCATGGACGACTTTCTCGGCAACTTCGGTGTCCTCGATCAGCTCTCCACGGCGGGACAAAATCTCATATCCGCCGCCACTAGCCACCAAAACCCCATCCCCACCGCAACCACAACCACAACCACCACCGTCCCTTCCACCTCGGGCTTCACCACCGAAGACGCCGTCACAGCCGCCGAAGCCGAAGCAGAGCTCAGCGCCTTCGAAGACCGCGAACTCGAACCCTTCATCAAACCCATCTGCGACCTCTTCCTCGAAACCTTCGACCTCAACAAAGGCAACAACTGGCTCCGCGGCCGCGCCGTAGTTGTCGTCCTCCACCAACTCCTAGGCGGCACCATCGAGCGCAAAGTCCGCGACGGCGCCCGCCTCCTCATCCAAGACGACTCCCTCCTCCGCTACATCTCCCTCGCAAAAGACACCCTCTGGCCAGACGGCCTGCTGCGGGAGAATAAGACCCGCAGTGTCTCCGAGCGTCTCAAGAGCCGCACGGAAGCGAGCCTCGTGCTGGCGACGCTTGTGCCGGAGATGGCGGGGAATGTTGTTGGACGGGCGAATGCGCAGGGCGCTGCGAGGAGGATCTTCGCGACGTTGAATAACCGCCGGTTGAATACGCATTTGGTGTTTACGATCTTGGATGAGATTGTGTTGGTTTTGTTTGGGGAGGGGGGGAGGGGGAGGTTGTGATTATTAGTTGATGGGGGTGTTCGAGTGGTCTGTGACTGGAGATTTTTGAACTATGGGGGCGGGGGCACGGGGCCATGTATGAATTATGTGAATTATGTAGTCAACACGCCCGCTTGATCTGAATAGTGTAGAATTCTGTACAGGACAATCCCTTGCATTTATTGCCTACCTCTTTGTTGATAGGTTCGATGGAACTATATTGGCCCCAGAGTATCTACATGCTTGATACTAGGTACGGTTACCATATTGGAATGTGGTTTCTTGAATGCTGGGTACATATTAGAGTGAGTGGAAATACACCTGGAAGATAGAGTCCACCACTGACAAGTGAACCTCCAGGATACTAGTGGGATAAACCAGGAACAGATGACTGCAGAAGAGCCTGCGTTCTGTTCGAACCGGCCAGAAGGTGGTAGAACTGAAAAGAACAGAAAAACTCCGGAGAAGAAATGACAGGCAAGACGAAAACAACACCAGCATCCGCTCCATGCTATGCTTCCCCTGACGTAAGGCCGTAGCCAGGTAGGAAAGGCATAGTCAGGCGTATGAATAAAGTAATGACAGCTTGAAAGCGATAGTCCGATATCTCGGATGCCAGTGAGAGGAAGCGCTGCTTCTATGCGTCACTCTTCTTCTTCTTGGACTTCTTGCTGCTCGTCTGCTGAGGCGGACCTTGCTTGGTCTGATGAACGATCAGGCTTGTCCAGGACTCATCCTTGTCCCACTCGAAACCAGCGAGGTAGGGCTTTTCCATTTCGTCATCGGCCTGTTGGAAGCGTGTTAGTGATGATCAATTAGAAGACAACGGGCTATGGGCTAAGGCATACCTTCTTCTTGTATTGCTTGTAGATCGCGTCCAGCGCGTCTTTGACGGTGACACCTTTCATGTTACGAGCCACTACGGACAGCCCTAACGGGAAGTGCAGGTCGATCTTCTTGACTGGCGGGTTGACAAGATACAGTTTGAGAATGTCCCTGTCCTCAATTGTGCTGGGAGATGTGTTGAGCTTCCTGGAATTGGGCCGTCAGTAGGTGCCTTCAACCCATTGAGAAGGTGAGCTTACCATCCTGTCTTTTGTGTCTCGATCGGCAAGGTCAACTCGATCTTCTTCTCTTCTACAAGCCAGACTCGCATTAGTAGGGATTCGCTGGCCAAGAAGAATGGACTAACCTAAGTCCTTGATGTTCCAGATACCCCCCGCGGCAGCCGAAGAGGTACGTCGATGAGACTTCTTTTCTACCTTGTCTGGGGCTTTTTCGTCCTTGGGGGATATCGACAAGCCAGCGATGGCGGAATCGACTTTTGTGAGTTCAGCAGACATGGTTGGATGAGTTGATGGGTCTGCGTTCAAGATGTGAGTACTACAGCAACTAGGAGATGAATGATAGACCGAGATAGAACCAGAAAGAGATAGATAGATGGAAGGATAGAGGAAAGGGGTTGATGTCAGAGAGCTAGGTGAGAGATAGATAGGTAGATGGTGATGAAGACAATACAGGACAGGAGATGGTAGATGAAGCTTACTGGTTTAGACAGTGATGGATAGCAAGTGGTGGTACGAATGGAGATGGATTCAGAAGTAGAGAAGTGAAATGAAGATGAAGAGAATGATGAAGAGGAAGAGAAGAGAGGAGAGAAGAAGAAGAAAAAGAAGAAGAAGAAGAAGAAGAAGAGGAGGAGGAGGAGGAGGAGAAGAGAGGAGGGGAAGGGGGTGGGCAGGTGACCTGGTCTGAATGGGACAACCAGTCCATCCATCAATGGTTCAATAATCATTCCATGCGCGGTACCACCTCTGCTTCCTTACCTACTATCATCACTCTACCACTGTCACTGTCTATTGTTACCACTAGATCTGCTACATCTCTGAGGTTTACTAACTAGGTATTTAGATTTGCTCAAGAATCAAGTCATCTGTCTACTATATTGATTGAATCCATCTCCATCAACCCATAAAAGTATACAGTTCAACACCTCCTGATGTTCATATAGGACAAACGTACCTAGGGCGGGGTTGAGACCTCATGCATGGACCATTTTGTTGATTGGACAAGGCCAGACTGCGATCATCCAACCGATGTAATACTTCCGGAAAGGACGCATTGGGTGATCCGCCTTGTCTCACTGGAGAGGCACCGTGATGGAGGGTAGGTAGGGTGGGATCTCCGCATTCACATCACATCGAATTGACAAGTTGACATCACCAAATGTTTCAACCCCATGTCACTTCTCCAGCTACAGGTCTACATCGGAGGAAGCTCATTAGTCCAGACCAAGATGGGTTTAGTCTGAGAGGCAAACATTCCATCCGGGACAGCCGGATGGGGAACCGAACCGATCACACGAGAAGATTGACGTCGAAGGAGGTGCTTCCTGTTGGCACTAGGAGAAGTACAATGGGGAACTTGCTTCTAGGCGGCCCACTCAGTGGCACTCACTAACGCTGCACCCCGCATTCCCACCCGGATCCACCTTGGGGCTTCCGTCTCTGGATCAGATCATACCAACCTCTACCCAGCATGGTTGCTATGACGGAGTATTTAACATGTTGAGAACCCTAATAAATTGCTTTCAAGCTATCTGGTTCCGGTCAATCTTATACTCTCCTTCTTTTCCTTTTTGATTGAAGGATTGTGTTAGATAGAACGATAGTGATGATATCATAGCCCTGGATGGAATTCCTCCCACTGATTGGCGTGCAAAGGCATCATCTCACGTGCCCCTCCCTCCTTGCACCTATGTATGTCCACACGTGACTGGGGAACACGTCATGTCTGTCATGCCATACATGAGATGCTTGTGCGATCCCTGCTCTCTCCTATCAGACCATGTCATGTCCGCTCTCCTGCAATCGACCCTCCCGTGTGAGGAACCCCTCAAAATGGCCTGTTCGTGGTGTGATACTATGTGTAGAGAATTATTAACCGACCATGGTCAAAGGGGTTGATGGATGGAGGATGGCCTTTTTTATTTATTTTATCAGTAGTTATGTATTATTCATTTATATCTGTTCATAACCCTTCATAGCCAAGATCACTTCTTTATAGACAAAACACTCTGTATGGAATCGATAAGCAGACCTCGAGACAGGCACTGATGGAGATGATGGTGTTTGTCTGGTTTGTCTGGTTTGCAAGCGGTGAGGGTTGATGCCTGAATCCTAAGGGTTTCAGAGCCAAGATAGGATAGAGAGTTCATAATAAATGTGCTAAAATGTGCTGAGGCTCCAAGTGGTGCCTGCATTTCTCGAGCCGCGTGCCTTTCTCTCGCTGTCGCTGGGAATCCCTTCACTTCTCGCGTCTCTCGTTCTGTCCGAGCGAGTGTTCCCTTCAATCCAATCATTCCCCTTTCGTATTTCGCTTCCTCTTTCCCCCTTCCTTCTCCCCTACCAGTTGCCTTTTTCCCGCCTCATTTTTTCCTCTCGGATTCGCCCTGAATCCCACCTTATCATATCCCTCCCGGCTGTTGCGTCTTCTAGCCAACCACCGTCACAGATAGCCCAAGAGCTTCCATTTCAATGTCCGGTCTCTTCGGCTCCGTCGGCGCCGCGTCCACGACAGCCGGTCAGACGAACACCACCGGCGACATCTCCAAAGATGTCGCCCTCAACACGCCTCCCGATGATAGCATCTCCGACCTCCGATTCTCCCCCGCCAGTGATCATCTCGCCGTCGCCTCGTGGGATAAGAAAGTTCGCATCTATGAAATCAACGACCAAGGTCAGAGTGAAGGGAAGGCGCTGTTCGAGCATGAGGCTCCTGTCCTCAACTGCTGTTGGTCTCCGGTGAGTTCATCCCCCATAATGTGATGCGCTGTCCACCTTTCAGTCAGTCGCCTTGCTCCGGCTTGACCCGGGTTGCTGATCGTCTCGCTCTCTAGGATGGCACGAAAGTGGTAGGAGTTGGCGCCGACAAGGCCGCCCGCATGCTCGACCTCGGCGCCGGCGCGACCGCGCCCGTGCAGGTTGCCGCTCACGATGCCCCCATCAGATGCTGCGACATGATCCCCAACCCGGCCGGAAACAGCCCCCTTCTCATCACCGGCTCGTGGGACAAGACGGTCAAGTACTGGGATCTGCGACAGTCGACCCCCATCGCGACGGTAGAATGCCAGGAGCGCGTGTACACCATGGACGTGAAGAATAAGTTGTTAGTGGTCGGAACCGCGGACCGGTACATCAACATCATCAACCTCGATAACCCGACCAAATTCTACAAGACCATGCAGTCCCCCCTCAAGTGGCAGACGCGGGTAGTCAGCTGCTTCGCTGACGCCACGGGCTTTGCCGTCGGCAGCATCGAGGGCCGCTGTGCGATCCAATACGTCGAGGAGAAAGACTCCAGCTCGAACTTCAGCTTCAAATGCCACCGCGAGACCCCGCAAACCAACGCGACATCAACAACATCTACTCCGTCAACGCCATCTCCTTCCACCCCGTCCACGGCACCTTCAGCACATCCGGCAGCGACGGCACCTTCCACTTCTGGGACAAGGACGCGAAGCACCGTCTGAAGGGTTACCCCTCCGTCGGGGACACCATCTCCGCCACCGCCTTCAACCGCACTGGCAGCATTTTCGCCTACGCCGTGAGCTACGACTGGAGCAAGGGCTACTCCGCCAACACCCCGCAACTGCCCAACAAGGTGATGCTCCACCCCGTGGCCCAGGAGGAAGTGAAGCCCCGACCAGGCACCCGAAAGAGGTAGATTACACCAAGCAGATGGGGGAAATTCAAAACACTGGCGCAGAAATGGACGGTATGGGCTTTGTGACGGGGGAAGCTTTTCACCCAATTCAACACGAATTTGACAAATTTATGAGAACGGTCTTTTTAAAACTGATCAAGATGGGACTTCCACTCTATTTCACCGTGCCCACTGTGAATGGGGCTTCCTTCTCATGAACTTGACTTGTCTTTTGTAATACATATTATCTATCACCTTGGGAATGCATATGAGCGAATTCGTTTGTAACCGGAGTCTCTATGTTTCTGCAAGCCTATGGATGGGAACGAGGAGGGGGAAAATACTGAGAATGATGGATATTTCCCAAGTCAAGAACAAATACTTGGAACACGGCAAATCTGAACCACTGTTATCAATAGAGAAAGTAGGTAGTAGCTCATGAATCAGTCAACTTCTTCGGGTTGTTTCCTTTCTCCAATGTTAGATTAGAATCAACGATGCAGGGTCTGGAGTAGCTGTTGTATGTGCAGTATTTCTAAACTGTTATCTTTGTCAGGTTCTTCTGTTAAGTACGTTCTTGACAATACGATGATGAACCCTGGATAAGGCATAATCGTCACTTGTAACTTCATTTATCGGTCTATCGCACCTACGTCGGTCGTATCTCATGCCCGCCCCTTGTATGCATAACATAAACAACCGTAATCCAAAGAATACCAAAAAACAACACAACAAAATAGGATAACCGAAATATGAGAAGAGAAAAGAAAAGAGAAGAAAATAAAATAAGTCATCACATCGCTCTGGTATCGGGTCTAGTAGATCTCCGGCCCCCAAGGTTCATCTTTCCCAACTGTGTAGCTGTCTAGTCCTTCGGGAGAGTGACTTGAGCAACACCGTCGGTGACGTTCTTGATCGCTTCGTCGCTCGGGGTCGGGGTCGGGACCTCGGTGGAAGTGCCGGTCGACGATGCGGCTGCGTCGGCGCCCTTGTTGGCCTTCTTGTCCTTCTTCTTCTGCTTGGCGGCCTTCTTCCGGGCGGTCTCTTCCGCCTTCTTGATCCGGTCGGCCTGGGAGCCGCCGAACAGCTCGCGCCATTCCTCGGCCTTCTTGGGGTCGATGCGCGAGAACAGGTACTTGGCCTTGCCGATCTTGTGGCCCGGCTTGAGGGCCTGCGGCTTCCAGCCGTCCTTGATGTCGTCGAGGGTCGGGATGTAGGCGAACGGCGCGTTGAGCTGCTCGTTGATGGCCTTGGAGGTGGCGGGGAGGTAAGGGGAGAAGACGCTGGCGAGGAGGTAGATGAGGTTGAGCACGGTGCCGACGACGGCCGCGGCGCGTTCGGGCTCGTTGGCGATGAGCGAGTTGTCCAGGCGGTTGGCCTGGATCAGGAGGTTGCCGTCCTCCGCGAGTTTCATCGCGGTGTTGACGCCCGCGCGCAGGTGCACGCTTTCCATCTCTTCGATGTACTGGCGGAGGTGGGTGGTGATGTCGTCGAGGTTGGGCTGGAAGCTCTCGGGGACGGTGAATTCGGGGATGGTCGAGCCGTAGGAAGCGGTCACGAGCTTCACCACGCGGTTCACCAGGTTGCCCAGTTTGGCCAGCAGCTCGCTGTTGTTAGCCTCGACGAACGGACGCCACTCGAATTGGGTGTCGCCGGTCTCGGGACGGTTTTTCAGAAGGAAGTACCGCCACACGTCGGGAGACACGCCCGTCTCTCTGGCGTTGTTTCCGAAGACACCAACCCCGCGGGACTTGCTGAACTTGCCGCCCTCGTAGTTCAGATACTCGGTCGTGCTGAGATGGTGGAGCTTAGTCCACTTCTCCTCGGACCCGATTTGGCAGCCGGGGAAGATGACACTGTGGAAAGGCACATTGTCCTTGCCCAGGAACTGGTACAACTGGACATTCTCCGGGTTACGCCACCAGAGTTCCCAATCAGGCGTGTAGTTCGCCGTGATCGACGGGTATCCGATACAGGCCTCAAACCACACATAAAGAACCTTGTTCTCGAAGTCAGGCAAAGGAACCGGGACGCCCCACTTGAGATCTCTGGTGATGCCTCGGTCCCTGAGACCCTCCTTCAACCACGACTCGGTGATGACCCGCGAGTTCTTGGGCCAGTTGCCCTTTTCGGATGACTCGCGGAAGAACTTGTCAATTTCCGGCTGTAACTTGTCAAGGAGGAGGTGGATATGTTTCGTCTCGCGGCGAACCGGGGTCGCACCATCCAGCTTGCACCTCGGCTTGATGAGATCAAAGGGATCGAGAAGATGACCGCACTTGTCGCACTGGTCACCACGGGCGTCATCGTAATGGCAACGGGGGCACTCGCCCTCCACGTAACGGTCGGCCAAGAAGGACCCGTGGGCTTCGCAGAAAGGCTGCTCCGCAGTCTTCTCCGTTAGGTAGCCATTGTCGTAGAGCCGCTTGAAGAGCGCCTGCGAGATCTCCGTGTGCTTCGCCGTAGGCGTGCGTCCGAAATGGTCAAACCCGATGTTGAACCACTCGTAGACCTCCTGGTGGATTTTGTTGTATTTGGAACACAGCTCCTCCGGGCTCATCTTCTCCTCCAAGGCTTTCGTCTCCGTCGCCGTTCCGTACTCATCCGTACCGCAGATATACAATGTCCGTCGCCCACAGGCCTTGTGATACCTATTGAAGATGGTCCGTTAGCATACCGCACTCTGCGATCAGGAACGGTCGCAGCCCACCTGGCGAAAACATCGGCACTGAGAACCGATCCGACGATGTTGCCCAAATGGGGGACGTTGTTGACGTATGGCAGAGCACTGGTCACGAGAACATTGCGCTCGCCATCCTTGGGCAGGATCTTCTGTTCGGAAGCCATGGTGGTCGATTCGAGATGGCGGGGTTATGGAGGGGCAGGAAGATGGTTGGGTGCGGAGTGTCTTTTTTTTACTATTGAGTTCCTTAACAAAAGGCCCGGATGATTCATCGCTCGGCGGTCCCGCTTCAACGCTACGTCCGCATGGATTTCTACTCTCCCCCACGATCACCCCGATCTTCCTCCAGCCTCATTGCATAGTACAGGCTCGTCTTTGTGTCATGAGATAGATCTCTCCGAGCAAACGATTTGATTTCTTCTCCTCTCCCCCTCCATTGACAGCCGTGATCTACGTCGAAACTCTCCGGTCATGGACAGTAATCTACTTGAAAGTCTCCTCGACTTGGAGGAACAATTCTACAAAGAAGGATATGATCTGGGCTCCGTGGACGGGGCTCAAACAGGGTACACGGAGGGTAGTGTCTTTGCGGTCGAAAAGGGCTTCGAAAAATTCGTCGAGCTGGGAAGACTCTATGGCAAAGCCCTCGTCTGGGCTCAACGACTCGCGGAATCGAAGAAGGGCAAACCGGACCACAAGACCACGGAGACACAAACTCGATCTACGCCGGCCGGTGGACAGGAGGATGCGATTTCACTCGATCCCTCTGTCTGCGCGAGCATGGCGAACTTCCCGCCCAGTTCAAGACTAGCTAAAAATATCGACACGCTCCTCGAACTGGTCGACCCTGCGTCCTTGCCCATGCAGAACACAGAAGAAGCGGTCACAGATGTGGATGAACGCTTGAAAGGTGCTATAATCAAGGCGAAACTGATCCAGCGCGCTTTGGGCGAGCGGGAAGATGTTTCCGATCTCCATCCCGATGCAAAAGAAGCAAAGACATCTGGTGATGGAACGGGGAGCATTGAAGACATTAGCGCGCTGAACATTCGCCATTGAGGATTTCCTTGGACGATCATTTTCCCCTTCCTTTTCGAAAAGCTGGAGAAACACGTGCCCAATCTCGATTGCAAAGTCTGTTCAAGATCTCCAGCGTGGGGCATTCCCTGCACGTCCGTGGAGCAATCTCGAGCAAGGCTGCCAAAGATAGCTCAATCTTCTGGCGCACTCACGATCTACGATTCAGCCACAACACATCGGACGATCACTGGTCCGCGAGTACATATGCATACTCGCCGACGCGGCCGCAACCAGGGACATCCATCATCGGCATAGCTGATGCTTCTGGGACTTTTTACTGTTAGGGTCAGTAGAAGAAAGGGCTCCGGATTTGAAGCTAATCGATAGTCCTGCTTATTTCCTTGTCTTGTTCGAGTGTACTAGGTAGTGTGATTCCTCTGAGGGATAGGAGTGTTGGACGCGTTCGAGTGGAATCACGGTCTTTGCCACCGTTGTCAGCCTCTTGCGCAATGGCTGGTGCAAGGCTCATCCGTCGCCAAGACACCCTAACTACAATCGATAGAGTGGTAGGAAGACATCCATTATCCAAGTTCAAAGCAGTAGTGTGGCGTATATATAGAGATCAATAGGAATCGCGTAAGTCAAGGCTGACCGCATGTTGACCTCTGGAACCGACGTGTTTCACCGCCTCGGATTTGTTTATTGTGGACCAAAACAATGGCTGTGGAATGACGATGAGGGGTTTCAATGATGACCATGATATATAGCAGTAATCAAATCATGTATCAAGTAGAAAGGGCAAAAGAAGAGGATAGGGTCAAGAAAAGTAGCCACCTTTGGACGTTCCTGATCCATTCCCTTCTTCCTTGAGACCCTGTTTTATTCCTTGATGTCATTGTGTTTATTTGGTCTGGTCCACTGTTGTTCCTGTAACTTGGTCATTCCAGTTGAGGTCGACCTGAACTGTTGATCGGGGTTCTGATCGACAAAGAATAGCCTGTGAGAGTAGAGAACACGTGAAAATCGCATCGCGTCCCACCGCTGAAAAGAGAGAAAGACAGACTGAGATAAGATCTCAACTCACTCTTCTCTTCTTCCCCTTCCATCCTCCCCCTCCAAGACACGAAATTTTCAACAAATTCAAAGTCTAAGAAGCGGCAGAGCAAGTCAAAGCTCTATTAAATTTTCATATTTCACCCCCACCCTCTTTTCTCCACAACAGAAGTTGGTTTTCCTGTCTACTTTTTATCTTCCTTCTTACCTACCGACCTGGACTTCCCATGCGCCCTGATTATCCTTATTGAGTCAACCCTGTTTTCTTCACCGATCGATCTCTCTTGAACCTCCCACGACCATCTTGGCCGTTTTCTGCTGCGCCGCCCGATTCTCTACGAAGTTCTCTCGCGTCTTCTCCGTGCCCAGCTTTTCCGCGCTCATATCGCCCAATGTGGCTCTTACGGGCCCTTTCCTCGGCCCTTTTTCTGACCGTCACCGTTTCTTCCATCCCTTTGGCCTTTGATGTGGGTGGAAAGACATGCGGTCTGGCCTTTTCACTATCGCTAGCGACCTTCTATTTTCTGCTGTCCGTCCTGAAACTCACCACGCCGACGCGCTCATGGTTCCGCTCCTCCTTCGTGTTCCTCGTTCAGTCCACGCAATGGGTCTTGGTCCCGATCCTCCTCATCTGGTCGCTGAACCGCTTTTCGGTCGATGCGGAGAACAACAGTGGGTGGGTGGAGCGTACGTTTAGCGGGAAGAGAGCGCACGATTCATCGATCCAGGACTGGGTGTTTGGTCCCGATGGGTTGGTGGAGTCCGTCACGCTGGGGAACTGGGATAAGTTGTTGAGATGGTCGACTCCGGTCTTCCAGCTGGTCGAGGGGTTTTGCAGCTTGTTGGTCATTCAAGCTGCGGGACAGATCACTCGCTGGCTTGTCAATCGCGGTGGGCGCAGTGATAGTTGGATGGTATGTACAGGCCATTACAATATGAACACGTTGCGTGCGCTCAACCAGCTAATCATATGTTTTCATTAGATCGGTCTCCTGGTATTATCTGCCTCCGTCATCTCGAGCTCGGTATACTTCCTGTGGAGGGTTCTGCAGTTCCCCGAGATCTCCAATGTGGACGCTGCTCTGATTGGCGTGTCCGTGACATGTGCGGTGATTCTTTGCGCATGGGGCATTGGCAGCGGCCGTGGCAATCCGGTAGAGAGTTCTCTACTGTTTGCATACGTCGTGCTGTGTCTTTACCAGATCTTCACCGATTATAAGCCATCGCATCCGATAGAACAGGTCCCATCCCCTTCCCAAGCGGGGGATTTCCCTCCACTGCCACCAATCATCATGGCGTCCTATGGCACGCTGTTGCATGTCCTATCTCTGCTGCCCTCCATGATCCACGCGCTGTTCAATGTGATCACCGCGGTCTTTAGTGCCGTGACGTCATCCGTCCTCATCTCGCTCGTATACCGTATCTGCGTCCTCTATGCGTCTACTCGCATCATCCCGGCTGTCCGAGAATCTGGCGCGCGCGCTCTTTCCCAGGAAGCTTCACTCGATGACTCTGATGCAGCCGGTCAGCTGCTCGGCCTCCTGAGCTACTTCGCTCCGTCCATCCTCATCTCCGTGTACACGAGCCTCCTGATGCAGCATTTCGCGACGACATCGCAAGCAATGGGCGGCAGTGGGGAATGGTGGAGCAGCCAGGGAGGTGGAGAGGGGAACCTCTGGCGCTGGGTCAACCTCGCTTGCACGATGGCTTTATATGCGGTCGAGCTGTGGCTCGGTGAAAACGACGATCTGGATTCGGGCCTAGCTGGCCATTGGAAATCAGATTGAACGCCGTGGCAAGACCTTTATTATATGGCGGCACCAGCTGTGTCTCAGCTGCGCGAAACTGTCGCCATGGCTCAGGATGGAAGGCACCCTATACTCCGTCTAGCCTGCCAGAGAAGATGCCCTTGGTGGGGCCAATTTGCCTATCATTGCGAGTGGTTGGTTGGATACTCAGCCTTCACGCCGGTGTGCCAATCGTAAACAAGGCATCATCATAACCTTCCAGTGCCCTCGCTCTGAACCCAGCACAGTATCGACCCTTTGCTGTCCACGAATTCTTGTCCTGCCATTACGCTCGTCCGGCATCCGGCAACCTCTCCACACGCCTTATAATCCAGCTCGTTCCCATCGACTGCCATTTGGAGACCAGTGCGGTCGATTACCCGTCACTCGAATGGATTGACTCGTGGACAATCTACGTTAGGACAGTCTATCATCTCCAACCCCAGACAAATATGAATCCCAGGTGCCATAATCTAATCACGATACGATCTGCATCAACGGACCATATATTCAACCCTACATCATCTGGCTACTCCCTTATGCTCGCTTTAACCCCAGTTTGACCAAGTCTAACATCAAAATCTCCTTTTTGTGCTTTCTTGCTTGTTTACAATGACTTACTTGACAGATGGACACATCCATCACTTTGCCTGTCTTTCACTTTTCCTTTTCTTTCCTTTTTCACCCCCACTTATTTGATCCAGCGATCCCAAACTCGCTGTTATACCCTTAGCCGTACATTGATTTTGCCGAGTTCAATTTACAATACCGATGTTTACCATCTACTTTACCAGCCTACGCCCTTGCATCCATCTATCCGTGCCTGCCAGTTACTATAATACCCAGTCGTTCGTGATTGCTGTCTTTCTATTTAGTTGTATTTGGATCTAATACCGGATTAATGAGGGGTGGGGACGAGGATTCGCAATACTAAGTCGGTAATAATTGCACCTTTGCTGTGGATGTAGCTATGCTTTGTAAAACGCTCCTGGTGATGTATGTGGGCTTGTTTGAGTGAAGGATATACATAACCTCCGTGAGTAAACGTCTGGCAATCATCAACTAAGTACAATACACCTAGCCTAGCTCCTCCCCTCACCATTTTCGAAACTCAAGCCATACGAAAGATAGTTAAGATATGTAAATGCATATACGTAGTGGTTAATGTACTTCCATAAATACAAGATTCACATATCATAAACCATGAACAATAGGTAAATAAATATATATAAAGTCAAATTGCAAGCTCGTAAGAATTGGGGCATCACACATTAAAGTCAAAGTCAAGTTGGATCGTGACTATAAAACAAAGAAAGAGACGGTTTGCACGGTTCGAGATAATTGACGTGTTTTTTTCCCATAAAAGGCATTCTGGGAGATGATGGAATCTTGATGAAAAACGATAGAGGACTTGAATATGACCACAGAAGGTAAAGGAAGAGAAACTACATAACCACAACATATGGAAATAAGCATAAACACATGATCTGACTCAAGACAGACTTGGCTAAAGGATTGATGGTTTGGTTCAGCCCAGAAGCGGCTCGGAATCGCTTGGATTGTTGTCAAGCGCAAGCAGTTGATCTCGGTTGTTATCTTGGTTTGCTCCGTCCTGCAGAACACCTTCCCCGGAATAAGAAAGGAAGAGATAGATTCAGAGCGCCGGGCTGTTTGGACGCCACTAACCACCGGATGAAGCGGCAAGACAAATTCACAGATCGAATGGAAAAGCGAGATAGAAAAAACGAGATAGAAGAGAAGAAACACAATAGAAGAGAAGAGAAAAGAAAAAGACTCCCACAATGAAGAAAACGAAAACACACGACCAAATGAAGATAGGAGAAGGTTATTTTGGGAGGGTTCTCCTGGACTCGCTATCGTCGAATGGGAACGCCACCACGAGCAGGCGGCGGGCTCACACTGGGATCCTCTGCGTCCTTGTCCTTGTTATCGCTCTCAAATCCTTCGGCGCTCGTCTCACGCTGCAAATAGCTGCCCTCCTTGGCGGGGCTTCTGCTCTGGAATCCCACGGAGCCCGGATGACCGCTAATGCTGCCAGGGATCTGCTGTCCTTGGGCACTGGTACACGAACCATTGCTGGCCGCAGCGGGGTTGTTGGCACCGGGCGAGGTGGCGGTCAAATGAGGGATGTTCTCGGGGACAGGATGCTGGGAACCGATGTTGGTGACGCCGACGTCGGAGGCTTTGCCGGCTTTGCTCAAGGCATAATCGCCGGAGTCGAAGTATTTACGCTCCTAATGACCAACGTATGTTAGAGAAGTGGAGGATGGAGGAGGCGGATCACCCACCTTCAACTTGTTCTGAAGGAGGTCCTTCTTGTTCGGCATCTTGCCATACATGCGCAGGAGCCGTTGCTCATCTGGGCTCAGAGACTAGACGTATTGGTCTGATGTTAATCCAGGTGGTTCGAGGCGAAGACCATGATCAGGACAGAACGTACGCTGGTGTCAACTTTATTTTGCTGGTGAGGATTCATTGCGAGTAGTCGTCAAGCGGCAGTATTGACGAGAGCGTGTAATGGGAGAAGCCAAGAAATAGGATATGAGAAAACAAAAGGGTGCTAGAAAGACCAAGGGAGATCGAGAGGTTGTAGTCCCACTTGATGTGATAATAATAACAATAATAATAGTAATAGACAAGGCGGGGAGAGGTTGAAATTGGGTGTCGTCAGAGAACCCCACCAAGGGCGAGGGGCACCAGTCAAGATATCCGAGGGTAATACAGCAATAGGATCACAGCCTTCAACCAGAGACCGTTCACAGCTGGATATTTTGTGGAGATAGTACTAGGTAAATAGCAAATGATGATTCGAGAAAAGAATGAGGTTGCAAGAGGAAGAAGAGAAGAAGGCGAAGTTGGGCTCATGATCTGTAACTATTGGTACGTAAGAGGAGTGACGCATGATAGAATACGGTAATTATACTTTCATTACCGACCTGTATTGTATTCTATCCTTTTTAGTCGATATGCAGGAATTATGGATACTACGAATCCTATATTAATTACTGGTTGGTTTTCCTCTTACCAATTCTCTGTATTCTGATTCCCTGTTAGATCTGATACGCATGAAACATATATGACCGGGTCCAATACACGTACGGTCTGATACCGCATCTAAAACTCCATCCGTCACACATCATATTCAAGTCTCCAACATTGTATAAAATCACTTCGTCTTGAAACCTTGAAGCTTCAAATTCTTGACGGTTGATTTGAAGCCCTCCCCCCTTTATTTCTCTGTCTATTGCTCGTTTCTTATTGCTAGGGACCGGTATTGAGAATTATCAAGTCGGTTGGTCTTTCTTTTTCTTCTTCTTTTTTAGCCATTTTTTTCTTCCTCGTGGGACCTACCCAGGAAGTCTTTCCCTCGGGTTATATCAGGTCTCCCAACAATCTAACAGCACCATTGGAATCATAGTTTAGATTGACTTGTGATTTGGGTGGATATTGATTTACCTGTAAAAGGCTCTCTGTATTGTTCCTCCATTCAGTTCAACCCCCATTGCGTCATGGTTGCTCAGGAGCCCGTGACCATCGTGGTCGAGCACCTGGATCCCGAGTTGGGTATCTGGTCGGCCCTGGAATATGGGTGTATTGCTCGCGAGGCCCACGCCTCTGGTAGCCGGTTTCTTCTCAGCTCCGTTCCGTCTTCCTTGCAGGTGCCGGCCGACCTGGCGGCGACCCAAGGATTTGGGATCGAACACCGTAGTGTCGAGGAGATTTTTGCGGACCGTAAGTCCAAGGTCTGCCTGCTGGACCCGTCCGCAGACACTGAGCTGAGCCCTGCGGATGGGGATAACTTCGAGGTGTTTCTGTTCGGAGGCATTCTTGGTATGTAACCTCAGCCCTTGACGCTTACATATAAAAAACTGATCTGACTGTTTGAAGGCGACGATCCTCCCCGCGGTAAGTATCACGCAGGCGCATGTTTCCAATTGCAGTGCAATCATTGACTGGAGTACATCTTAGACCGCACATCGGAATTGCGGAAAAAGGGCTACGCAGGAAGGCGATTAGGCCCCAAACAGATGACGACCGACACCGCCGTGCGAGTGACGCGCATGGTGGTCCATGAAAAAGGTCCCAGAGTGTCCAATTCAAACTTTTATGGTTGCGACTGACAAGCTATAGTGCCCCTCGAGGAAATCCAATATGTCGATTATCCTGAGATCCACATCAACGAGCATGAACGCACCGAGATGCCGTTCCGCTATGTCCGGGGAGACGATGGACAGCCCATCATGCCAACGGTGTGTTTTGCTAGATCTCCGTATTGGGTCATGAACACTCGCTGACAAGCTCTAGGGGATGGTGGATCTGATCAAAAAGGACGCCGAAAAGAGCATTGACGATCTGTTCTAGTGATATCGCAGATTGAGTGCGTATGGTCTCCGTGGCATTAGAGGAAGCTGCAGTATGCCACGGATCTATCCCAGTTGTTCGAGTCATGATACTGAATGAAAGGAGACCTGAATAGAAAACAAAGAAGATCCACCGCAAGACCTAGATCAATCAATCCCATCCATGAAGATGTCCGTAAAAGCGCTATAGATACCCCGAATCGGCAAGGATGAGCCGCCTCAGGAGACGATTTCAATACAATACCGCCCAGTCTGCAGGAGTATTGCCGAGAGTCCTCACAGATCTCGGCTGGTGACCATACCGTACACGGTACATGGGCCACGCCATCATTAATTAGGGAGATCCATCACTAATTCATCCTTATTCATCCTTATTGTCCGCAAGGGGTTTCTTTCCTCTCTTCTCCTTCTCCTTCTTCTTCGCAGTCTCTTCGATGGGAAGTTCTCCTCATGACTGACTTGACTGTCTTGATTGCTGTCTCGTGGTTGATTCAATCTGGTTTATCCCTTTAGTCACGGACTGTCGCGTTTCAAATCCACTTCCCGATCGGCACAATTCTGGACCAGGATCGACATAATCAATGTGTCCTTGAGCATCTCCCAGGACCCCTTCTCGACTCTCTCTCCTCTTTCAACCCTCCCTTCTCTTCCGCCGACTCCTACCTCACCTCCTTCGTTTACACTCTACTTCCGGCCTCTTCCTTGGGCCGCATTGTGGTGATGGTTAGGAAAATGTTCCCCGTACCGTTCCGCGGGGCTTCGCGGAAACAAAAGACCTCTACATCCTCTTTTCCCTCGGCCGGCCTATTGTCCTGGACGGCGTCATTACTACTCCTCTTGTCAATCCCGAGCGTGGTCGCCGCCAAGTCGGCTAAGTCGGCGGCCGACTACTATGTTCGCTCACTGCCAGGTGCCCCCGAAGGGCCCCTGTTGAAGATGCATGCTGGGTAAGAACAACATGGCCCCTCCCCGTCCTCGGAACCTCGTCGCTGACATGAACGCCTGAAGGCACATTGAGGTAGATCCGGAGAACAACGGGGACCTTTTCTTCTGGCATTTCCAGAACCGTCATATCGCCAATCGTCAGCGCACCGTCATCTGGTTGAATGGAGGCCCGGGGTGCAGCTCGATGGATGGCGCGTTGATGGAAGTCGGTCCGTATCGACTAGAGGACAACCATACCCTGACGTACAACAACGGTTCGTGGAACGAGTTCGCCAACCTGCTGTTTGTCGATCAGCCCGTCGGGACGGGTTTCAGCTATGCCAACACCAACGCCTATCTCCACGAGTTGGATGAGATGGCCGCCCATTTCGTCACCTTCCTGACCACGTTCTTTGAGCTGTTTCCGGAGTATGAACGCGACGACGTATGTCATCCTGCCCTCCCTCCTACCTTCCCCTCTATACTACCGATCTCTGACTTCGTGACAGATTTACTTGTCGGGCGAGTCTTACGCCGGTCAACATATCCCTTATATCGCCAGGGCCATCCAAGAGCGCAACAAAAATGCCCGCTCCTCCGCTCCATGGAATGTCAAAGGTCTCCTCATCGGAAACGGGTGGATTTCTCCCGCCGAGCAATACCCTTCCTACCTGACCTTCGCGTACGAGGAAGGGTTGATCACAGAAGGCAGTCGGGTCGCAAAGAACCTCGAAGTCCTTGATTCCGTTTGTCAGTCCCGCATGGAGGCCAAGAAGAACAAGATCCACTATGATGACTGCGAAACGGTTCTGACGGAGCTGCTTGGGAAGACCCTGGACTCTGACCAGCAGTGCTACAACATGTATGACGTTCGTCTCCGTGACGATGCGGAGTCTTGCGGCATGAATTGGCCGACCGATCTGGAGGACGTGGGGCCTTACTTGCAGCGCTCAGACGTCGTCCAAGCACTGAATATCAATCCGGACAAGAAGTCGGGCTGGCAAGAATGCTCAGGCGCGGTCTCCAGGACCTTCCTGGCAGAAAACTCCGTGCCCGCCGTGAACCTCCTTCCCGGACTCCTTGAGTCCGGCATCCCCGTCCTTCTCTTCAGTGGCGATAAGGACCTCATCTGCAACCACATCGGCACGGAACATCTGATCAACAATATGCATTGGAACGGCGGGACCGGATTCGAGACCTCGTCCGGCGTGTGGGCGCCCCGTCATGATTGGACCTTCGAAGACGAGCCAGCTGGCATTTACCAGTACGCGCGGAACCTCACCTACGTGCTGTTCTACAACGCCAGCCACATGGTTCCTTACGACCTCCCCCGGCAGAGTCGGGACATGTTAGATCGGTTCATGAAGGTCGACATCGCCAGCATCGGCGGCAAGCCCGCGGATTCGCGCATCGACGGGGAGAAGCTGACCCAGACCTCCGTCGGCGGCCATCCCAACAGCACGGCCGCTGAGGAACAAGCGAAAGAGAAGATCAAGGAAACAGAATGGAAGGCATACGCCAAGTCCGGCGAGGCGGCCCTCGTAGTCGTGATCATCGGCGTCTTGGTCTGGGGATTCTTCATCTGGCGCAGCCGGCAGCACCCCCAGGGCTACAAGGGCGTGTGGCACAAAGATATCAGCGGGAGCTCCTTCCTCGAGCGATTCCAACACAAACGCTCGGGACACGATGTCGAGGCGAGAGACTTTGACGAAGCCGAGTTAGACCACCTCGACTCCCCCGGGATCGAAAGGGAACATTACGCGGTGGGCGACGACAGCGACGAGGATGATGCTCACAGACAGCATTCTCGGCAACGCTCGCGGGGCGGCGGATGATTTTTATATAGTACATGTCATTAATCATAGGCTTACTAGCTGCATGCCTCGATTACTTTTATTTTAGCCTTCTTCATTTTCGGGGTCGGATTTTGCATTGAGTAGGCCCGCCCACTCATCTCATCGTATCTTGCACGATTCGAGACTTGCGTAACAACAACCTTCAAACGCTTCTTGGTTATATACTATGCACTCGGGCGGAGATTGAGTAGAGTAATCCAACACCATCCCATAAATGTAGAATAAGAAAAGAAGACAGCCACCCCATTCTATCTGCGGTAAGCATGAATCTCCATAGACCTGCGTATATAGCTCATATCAATCGTGTTACTCAACAGATACTTCTATATCCTGGTGTTCTAGGTTCATTCACCCAATGCCCAAATCTTAACGCTCCCATCATCAGCCGTAGAAATCAAAACCTCTTCATCTTGACCCTCCGCACGGCCTCGGTCAGCGCGCTTCGCCCACGCAACATGGTTGATCTCGTAGACGCCGTGCGCGCCGTCCTGGATCACAATCGCCGTCCACTCCGTGCGAGGCCCAGGGGCAACTCCATCGCTGGGAGCAGTACCGGCATCATCGGATGTCGGCGCATCAGTCACAAACCGCTCTTCGTAGACGACGATACGGCCGTCCGCGCCAGCCGACGCCAACAGACCAGTCCGCTTGCTCCACGCCACGGCGTACACAGAGAGATCGTGCATCCGCGGAAGCACCGTGTCCGCCTCCCACGTCTCGTCTGTCCCCGTCGGGCGCAGAATGCTAGGCACGCCCGTCCCGCCGAACGGAGCTTGCTGCTGCGATTCTTTCGGCTGGCGGCGCCAGATACGGACCGTGCGGTCATCGGAGCAAGAAGCAAGACGGGGCCCGGACAGCGCGTGTCTCTCTTTCCACTGCGCGGCCAGCGCATCGTCCGCCCCCCGCGGCACATTCTCCACAGCCTCCCAGTCCAAAAACCACACCGTCCCCTCATGCCCCCGAATACAAGCCACCTGGCCCCAATCGTCGATATCCTCCCTCCACAACCGGATCGTGTCGTCGTAGCTAGCGCTCGCAAGACACTCCTCTGCAGGATGCCACGCCACGCACTTCACGTCCCCCTCGTGCTCCTGCATCACAGCCACCGTCTCGAAATTGTTGTCCCCGTCGTCCAGGTCCTCCCAGATCCAGATCGACTTGTCGCGCGAACATGTAGCAAGCAACATCCCGGACGGGGACCACGACACGGATTTGACTTCGCTGTCGTGGCCGTCGAGGAGGACCGCGAAGCGCCATTCTTCTTCGTCGTCGTCTGCTCCCTCGGGCTTCTTCTCCACTCCATCATCTCCATCACCATTGGGCGTCTCCGACCCAGCATCACCGTCACCCCCAGCCTGTCCATACGCATCCCACCGTCTCCAGATCCCAACCGTCGCGTCGAAACTCCCCGTAGCGAGCACAGACTCGCCGCTAACGTGCGGTTTCCACGCGCTGGTCCGGACGCTGCGCTTGTGTCCGCCGGAGATGGTCGACAGGAGACGGAAGTTCGTGAGCGAGTACACGTGCACGGTCTTGTCGCTGCTGCAGGTTGCGATGATCGGGAGGGTCGGGTGCGGGGCTGTTAGCCAGGCGCGTTCGAGGGAGGGAGGTGTCACGTTTGATAAGAGGGTTAAGTTGGTTCTTGGTGCCATGGTGGTGGATTGGTCTTCTTCCGCTTAGGGAAATTGGAGAGGGAAAGAAGTAGAGGAAGAGAAAAGGGAGGATAAGGGTTGTCTAGATATGCTCTTTTCTTGTTGGACGCTTATCTCTTGAATTGAAAGAATTGCGGTGCTCACTCTATCTGGTGGGGTTGTGGGAGGGGGAAAGAAATTCCGGAGCTGGTGCGGAACTGAGTAATGAGGAAAGGTACGATGACATCATGCAGGTACATTCACCTATACTTATAGGTGGTGATATTACAGATGAGACGATTGGAGAAATGCAGCTTTGGCTGTAAGGAACTCAAAACTACCATTGGCATTATTCAGCGGAAGTACTCAATGGCGTCGCAAATTGAAACAACCTGATCCCATACACGCGATACGTTGGCTGTATCTTCAAACAATCAGAGACAGACACAACACCGTTATAAACAATAAGCCAACATGATATATGCTAGTATAGTAATTAAAAAGCCTCCCTAAGTACCTAAGAGTCCACCAACCACATCACGCACCAGGCGCCGGGGAAACTCCATCACCCAGCACCCGCCCATACACCATGCCATGGCAGAGCCAGTCTACTTCGCGCACTTTCTCCAACTGCTCAGTCAGCTTCCCAACCTCACTGACGAATTCTGGCATCCCTGCTCCTGCCAAGCTCTGACTGGCAGTGGTTGTCGCTCGCACCCGTTCGCTGGCACTCGACGCGTTGAGTCGAGACAGGACATGCGTGCGCAGACGGGACAGGATGAGTCGTGCAACGGGGTCATTGAAGCTGGAAGCGTTCCCCGCAAAGGCACTCGGGCCGGCATGGCTGCTCGGATCCGCCGACGCTGGATCTTGCCTAGCCCCTTCACTCGGCACCTCGACAGAAACCTGCGCGGCCGTGGAGGGGTCGGTCACGGCACAAGCCGCGGCAACGGGCGCTAAAACTCGCCGGATGGTCGCCGCAAGTTGAGCACTCGCGCTCGGTGGCATCGGATGGGTGGACTCCAAGATCGACTGGATACGGTCGGGTCGGACATCGTTGAAATCCAGGGATAATATCCGGTCAGCCTCGGCCTTCCAGTGTGACCGCACATCCCTCTTGAGCAGGTTCTTGGCGGTCAGAAGAATGGAGGCCGTGGCAACAATCCGGTATGCCTGCGCGTGCAGCTGCCGCAAGCGCATGCGATCCAGCTCGAGGGTCTCGGGGATGAGATCGTCAGACACCGGTGCATTGCTCAGGACGAGATCCACAAGGCCGTGGGCATAGATCTTCGCCGCAGGCGGTTGAGGCTCCCCGTTGATATTTTCTGGGTCCCGTTTGCGCAACTCGTCCACAATGATTTTGCGATGCGTCCGCCAAAAGCGTCGGCTCTTCCCCAGGGTCATCGATCCATCTTGGAGACCCTTTTCGAATGTCCTCTGTTCGTAGCCAGGCGCCTCCTGGATGAGTTGGGGCGCAGCGACCTGGATCATGAAGTTCGTGTGATCCAGCGACAGAAGGTCAATAATCCCCATGAGCCTTGCCAGCCGGTCGATGGCGTCTCCGGATTGGTCCTCGGCAAACTCTTTGAGCACGGGGTCGCGGTAAGGCGCGCAAAGCTTCGGGAGGATGGTGTTCATGAAATCGTAGAAACTCTCATAGGAAAAGGCGCCAGCCCTGCATTGGCTCTCCACCAGCTTCGGATCAAGTACTTCGCTGATCAGGATGTAGAGGGAATTCCCGGGGCGAAGTGAGCGTAGCAATCGATCCTGGATTACAGTGGCCATCGCCACAGTCCAATTGGTCCCCATGCCAGCATCGACATCCCTCCGCATCATGTCGCATATGTGCGACATGACCTGCTTGCGTGGCTCCGTGTATTGCGTTTCTTCGAGCTTGAACTCCTTGTTGATGAGAAGTTCATGGACCAACGCTCTGTTTTCCGGAAGAGCAGTCAGTATACGGGTGAACCGCTCGTGTGGGGATATCCGCTGTCGGTCCAGCTCTTGCAACGCAGCACTATCCACATTATTGAATGTTTCGCTGATCGGCGAGGCCACGCTGTCGGTCAGCGCCTCGGTCGACGCCGGGGCAACTTCCGCGGATCGTGGAATCGCCCGTTTGGAAGCATTGCGCTTCTTCTCTCGCTTGGCTTTCTTCAGAGCGCCCCGGACCATTTGCATCGCACGGTCGGAGCCGGCCAGCCGTTTCAACCGGGCCAAAAGCAGGATCTGGTTCTGTCGGATACCTTGCCAATAATCATCGGCCGCGCCACCGGCCCGGTCATCTTTGACCGTTTGCCAGATGAGCTCCAGTTCGACGAACTGCGCTAACATGATCTCCACCAAGACGCTAGAGTCATGAGTCTTCCAGGCGTGAAAAGCAGAAAAGAAGACATTGTAAGCCTCCCCAAGCGTCTGGAGCTCGGTCGAGACGGCCACGGATTGGTAGTGGCCGGACGTGAGCAACGGCATGACTTGCTCAAATGCTCCAAGCAACTCGCGAGCCTTGGCGATCAGGTCCTGCTCCTGTTCGCCGTTGCTACTCAGAACTTCGGTGGGGTGCGTGACAATCAAATAGCTGCTGAGGAATGTCCGGACGGCACCCCTCCCGCCCATGGTCCCGCTTTCCATATCCTGCAGCCCGCAAAGCTGGAGGACCCGGGCGGTGGTGGCCAGGACTCCTTCATCGGAAAGGAGAGCTCCTACATCCTCAAATGACATGTCACGGATTCGGTCCAGCGTCAAGTTCAGACCCCGGAACTGCCCCATGACCATCCTGGCGTAGTGCGCCCTCCACACTCTCTGGATCGTCCTGGCGGCCGCATCCTGGGTGAGTGACCTGGTCACCGCCTTGGTCATCTTCTTCTCCTCGGTAGCCGGCAGACTACTGGTGCGGGTACGACGGTGGCTCTGGTGGTAAAGCACACGCCTCTTCTCGGCTTCGGCGAACTTCTCCGCCATCTCCAGGCGCAGGCGAGCGTGTTCCGCTGCCTTTTTCTCCCGATTATCCTCGGCTTTCTGCTTCGCCCGACGGACTTCCTCCTCGCACTTGGCAGTAATCTCTGCCAGTAATCGCTCCCGAGCTTGGTGGGCCGCCAATGCTCTCTCTTCCCGCTGTAGGTTCTTCGTAGCAGCCTTTGTGAGGGCAGCGCGCAACCTCACCTTCTCGGCATGCAAGGCACGGTCAGCAAACCTCGCTTTCCGGCTTTCCAAGATGGAGGTCCGCCGGAGGTGTTGCGCGATGTGGTCGGTAGGGGACGCGCCATGGGAAGACGCGTTCGAATGATGGGAATGCAGGGATGAAATCGAGCTGCGACGAGAGGATGCAGCAGAGGATCGCCGGGCGACACTCGACTTGCGCGAGAAACGGGCGGCTAGGTGGACTGGTAGGCTGAGAGGCAGAGTCGGTTCATCCGACAGCATTTCCACGTCTGGTTCCGTCAAGGGATCGGTCGCGATGGCCGGACCAGCATCGGGCAGCTGGATCTCAATGTCTGAGTTGCGACGGATCATAGTCTAGCGTTCTGGAGGTGCTTTCTTGTTGTGGCGGGCGCCCAGCGTAAGGGGTTTCGGACAAAGGAGGGGAAGTTCGCGATGGTGTCACTACCGCGAAAGCCAGAATATACGTATTGTTCAGGGGGCGGGAGAAGATCGAGTAGGCGAATTCCAATCAAACGAACGAACGGGTCTCTTCTATATTAGTGACCTAGCTTCGCATCCATGAATGTGTGGTGGGGGATGAAGGGGCGCAGGCAACTCCTTCAGTAAGAGGACGAGGATTGAATCATAGGGTCGGCGGGGAGATCCGTGCTTCGTTTCAGAAGAAAGAGGTGGAAAGTGATAGGTAGGAAGTAAGAGTAAGGCCACACAAGATCCCCAACGGGTTCTTTCTTCTCGGGAATGTCTTCTATTGTAGATATATGGGTTCCATCAACGCAACCAGAGATCGACCTTCCCCTTCCCTTCCGACTAATCTCCGAAGAAGGTAATCGAAGGTCCAAAGAATGAGAAAGAAAAGGGAAAACCCGCAACCGGAGAGACGCTTAGATAAGCGTTGATCAGCATGTACTTGATCAGTATAGAAAGTATTCACATTCGTACTCCGGACTAGGTCAATATATACTCTTTTTCAGTTGTCTGGTTTTTAGGTTTGTTATTCTTATTTTTATTTTATTTTATCCTATCTGTCCAATCCAACAAGCCACGGCCCAGACGGTCTGACTTATGAGGCAACCACTTAAGCCATCCTTAACCTTATATGAGGGATCCCGTTATACAAAGGTGGAGACCTGGAGGAACAAGATCAACCGAAGATGAGGGGAGTCTGTAAGAATAAAGTCGTGAGAATGTCTTGCTTAGCTCTGCGGTGACGCTAGAGGCGTTCCTGTCGACATGGACCACGGATTCGTCCAAAGTTACATGCCAATGCCATAAGTCTAGAATGATGGATGGTCCATGAACACATAAGCACCACACAGGCAGTATCTCGGGCTGAACCTGTCAGCCTCGCTTCTCCTGGCCGTGGGTATCATTGTAGTTCCAAGTGTGCCGGCCCTTGGGCTGGATGCAAGTTATGTTTTCGAAAGCTTTCACTTTCCCCCATTTCATGTCTGGTCATCACCGGCCGGTGATGGACGACAGTTAATGCCCTCGAGACCATCTGAAGGATCGAGTGAGGAATCCGTGCAGGAGAGGTTTTCTTGCGCCTGATTATCAGCACGCAGGCTTCCATCAAGTACAATCTGCTCGGTTACCGGTGTCCAAAGATATCAATACTCTCGTCGTCGTCGTCGTCATCGTCGTCGTCCACGGCTTTGTCATCTTCAGTATCACTTGCCTCGGATATATCGGTCTCCTCTCTCCCCCCGTCGCTATCGACTTCCGAAGTTCTGTCGGCTGTCTCATCTCGACTGAGGAATCCATATTTGTATTTGAATCTCGTGCCCCAGAAACGGAGCTCACCGGTGTCGTCTTTCTCGGCGTCGTTGGAAGATCGTCTCCCAAAGATGGACGCTGATTTTGGTCTCTCTGATTCACGTTCGGGAGGGATGCCAAAGTAGTTGCTGATTACGGGCGAAACGGCTCGGTCCCGGGTAAGGCTATAAGAGGCGAACTGCCCACTCGGCTCAGCGGATAAGGGAGCACTGGATCGTTGTTCCGGACTAGCTCCAGGGACAGGGCTAGTACTAAGCCGGGACGGTGTCAAGCTTGGTGAACCGGCTTGACCGGCATCGACCGGGGAACTGGCTTGCAAATTTGATAGATTGGCACTCTCGACTTCCTGTTCAGAAGACTCAAGGGCGTCTCCATGTAATAGTCGAATTTGGGCGGTGTTGTAAGATTCACACCTAAACACTCGTCAGCCAGGTTCAATGCCTAAGGATGTCAAAGTTGACTTACATATCACACTTGAGACCCAACCAATGATACTTCACGACAGATTTCGCACTGCAGTCATTGCAATATATGATGGCGCTCGTGTCTTTGAACTCGGCAGGCATCGGCTGGCTTTCAATCGTGCGGTCTAGATTCCGAAACGTGGACTCCATGTTGGTGATTGTTTTGCTGCATATCGGGCAACGGTAGGAAGATTTCGAGTGCTCAGAGAGACATTTCTGATGAATGCTATGGCCGCATCGCATGAAGACCACCGTCTCGGGAGACGTAAACATGTAATCTCCACAAATTGGACAGTCACATTGGGTTGAGCGCTCAATGCATCGGTGAGTATTTTCAATCGATATTGGTAAACAGACACTGCACCTCTAAGGTTCTGTCAGCTTCAAACCAATTTCCCATTTCTTGATCCTTTGCTTGACAACTCACCTTGCAATGGAAGAAATCCTTTCCCAGGCCTTGTCCAATGCGGCAGATCCCGCAGTCATTGCAGTGGTATATGCTCTTGCTGCAGTCGTTATCCCAAAGTTTGCAGGTACTGCAGTAGTACAGTGCAGCTTGTACGCCACATTTTGTGCAATCCTGGGCGGCAGGCTGGGGGTGTCCACACAGCATGCATAACATATTTTCTGTTTTGGGTCGGTCGAGATGGTGATCTTCGAGACTATCGTGGCAAAATCGACAGGGGTACCATTTCTTGCAAGTGTAGCATTGAAGCTTAACGTTTCTCTTATAATGTTGACAGCCTAGGGAGGCATCTTCGAGTTCTTCGGTATCGGCATCATCGGCATCGTCCAGGGGATAGGCCGTTTCCACCTTAGGATAAAAAGTCGGCTTCAAGTCTTCTGCTGTCAAATGGTATATTATATCCTGTGGAGCGTCCGAAGCTTTAAGGGCTGGGTGTAGAGACGGTTGATCGAAGGGTTGGTGGCTCCCACAAGAGTGCGTAACACCGGGATACGCTGCGCTCCGTAGACCATATGGTGACTGCGCCCTTTGCGACTGTTCATCCCCATCAAAATCTCGAACAGCATTATAATTCTCCGTCATTAGTTCGTGGACCATACGTGCTTTCGCAGCGCTGCTGGAGTGTAGGTCTCGAATGGCGTGTATTCTGCTTCTCAAAGCACCCATCCCATCATCCTCTGGAAGAAGATAATGGCCACTGTTGTTGCTATCTCCATAACGACCGTCTGACCGAGTCCCCGCTCTTTCCATCGTTGCATCGGTCTGTCGGGGCGCATTTCGCATGGAGGCGGGGATATCGATGTCATGGTCTAGTCTTGTCGAAACATTCGGGTGTGTCGCATCTGAAAAGCCGTCAAAAGGTTGAGCAGACGCATGGTCAAACACACCCTCGGTATTTGTAAATGCCGAAGACCTTTCGGTGTCATGATCCGGTCGGTTGTTCGGATTGAACCGCGGCGAGGTGACCAAGCGGTAAGCGCCATCTTCGGATCCCGCATCACCTTGGCGCTGGCCTATGATCGGGATCTCCTCTTGTCTGGTGTTCGAGGCCATGTCAGTCATGTCCTTAGCCTCATTGTTATCATAGATATGCGCCGAGGAGTGGTCGGTATCGATGCTCGAATGGGCGTCGGTTTGATCATGTTCCAAAGGCCGCGGGGAATCTGTTGGGTTCGATCGAACAGCAGGTTCGACTAGCAACGAGTTACTGGGCTCGCGCATGGACAGCTAGGGTGCACATTTGACGGGGAAAGGGGCACCGAGGGGTTGAAACTGGTCGAGAAGACTTCCCAACTATAAATAGGAGAGAGTGAAACCGATGGGTGGGATGATCGGAAGCCCACCAAAGGGCCGGAATGGGAACACTGAACCCTCGACATGTGACTCGATCAGACCCTCCGGCCTTGGCGAGCCCGAGGATTTGCGATTACTTCCATCATAATGTCTTTAATGAATTATAAGGTCGTGATTATAAGGCATTGGCTGCTACTAATTATGAACCAATCTGAAATTGACTATGCACTATAATCGAAGTCTTATCGCCCTAACAGACGGGCTCCAACTGGTTAAGAGAACATTAATTGATTGATGGATTCAACTGCTAGAAAGCCAATCAAGCATTCCTCGGGCGACTAGCAATAACCACACCCGGCCTATTTTCAACATACGGGAAAACACCATCCCAGCTGTCCATCATTAAGGTTAAGTAATATTTTAAAAATAGGGAGTAATACACGCCCGCGGCTACTCCTGATGATCTTCTTCTTCGTCATCCTCGCTGTTTGGGCATGCGAAATCATATGCGCGCTCAACAGCGTCATCACGAATACCATCAAGTAAACAACATCGAAACTCCTCAAGGTCCAAATAGAGCTTCCGTGACGCATCGAAATTCGGAAAGCTACCCTGGCAGGATAGAGGGATTATATCGCCAGTATAAATAGGAGGCAAACGTCCGGTCAGCCCAGGGAACACACGCTAATGTTATTATAGTCAGCTTTGCTTGCAGTCATAGGGAAATCATAATGGGTGAAATACTCACAGCACGGCCTCTTCTATAAGGTTCAGAGTCCTTCAGAACCCAAAGTTCCAAATCAGCAGTAATTGGACCAATCCAATCCTCCACTTGCACCACATCATCAATCTCATGATGCAGTCTTTCAACCAGGGCGGAAATATCCCTGGCTCGGTCTCCCTGATAAACACGATTATCCGCCATCAGAATCTCGGTATGTTTCCTTCTTCCAAGCGGATTCCCGAAATCTTTCAGGACTTTAGCAGCATGGTCTCTGAAGGTTTCGCTCTTCTGTTGTTTCAAAAGCTGTTTCTTGTCTTCGTTGATATCCGCCAGGATGACAAGCTGGACTTCGCCACGACTATGTAAGAGCCATTGTTTCATATCCCGTACCAGATCGTCATGTGTTTCACTGAAGCCCGCTTCGAAAATGACGGTACGATAGCGGCAGTGGGTTTGTGGATCACGGAAAAAAAAAGTCTGATCGGGGGTCTTCTTTGATGCTTGCCGCTTGGTACCCTTACCTTTGATTTTGCCGCTAAGACGAAGTGAGGTAACCCCGACTTCGAGATTTCTTGCTTCTTCTGGTATCAGGATCTCATTTTTCAAATGGTTGAGACATGAAACTGCAAATATACCCAAGCTCTGATGAATGGAACTGGGCATTGCATAGATAAACAGGATATCTTGGTCGTCGATGTCGTATCTCACACCAGTCCTGTCAAGAAACTGGGTGACCTGTCCGAAGTGTCTCGATTTATGATCGACTTTGATTCCTATACTGGATTCACGATGTCGGCTTAAGAGATGGGCCTTGATTATTCTGATGGTCTCGTCCAGCTCCTGTTGGCCTTCGCTGTCGGGTTTGTGTGGTCCAGTAACAATTATAGGTGCTTTGGACGCCAAAGCTCGAGATCTTGAAGTAACCGACATATTGGGTGGTGCTGATAAACAGCGTGACAATGTGGACTTGGGAAGAGACATGACAGTCAATAATCATGATATACAAAGGTGGAAGGCACGATAGAGGCGGACTTGGTGTGAAAGTTTTGGAATGTAATCATATGACATTTAGAAGTGAGATCATATAGGGATCATTAGAAGATCATAATCCGCTTGTGACTTTGCTCTTGTAGGTTTTAGATATCTCCGACAAAATCTAGCAAACGCCTACAGACACACGCCAGAAAAAGAATCCATAGGAAGAGGGTAAAAGATATGACTCATGAGAGTACATGAGAAGATGATAATCAAGTAGGAGTCTGTGGTTGCAATCTTGCAGATGAGGGATGGTGAGTCTAGTAGATAGATAGTCTTCGTAAAGAGAAACAGAAGATTGCAGTGAAGCGCTAGACCATACCCAGAAGAGCAAGAGATGAATAATAAACCTCATGATAAAAACTCTGGCAAACAGAATAAAAGTTAGCTGAATACTGCAGAATAATCATAATAGTCAAGACTCAAGGGGTGCTTTGAAGTGGTACTGGTATATATATATAATACTCCGTACATATAGTTATATAGCAGATGGTTTACTTAGAGCAAGCGATAACTAGTTAACTGTTTTATCCTGTTTATCCATGTCTGATGTTACCACTTACAAGTTACTAGCACTGATGGTGGCTCTGTGATATTACAAGGTGGGATAATTCAGTGAATAAATGAGACTATGGGTTCTTTACTGTCTATTTCCCATGAGTCAATGATGTTCATCAAGTTCTGGTGTTTGTACTTTGTAGTGGTCAGAATGTTATCTGATAATCTAATTCTTATTCTAATATTTTGCAAGCAGTAAGCCTCCTAGAATAAAATCATGTCACAATATAAGAAGTGCATAAAAGGGTACCCACAGAGCTCAGAAGCGCCTAGATATCTTTTATAGCCGAGTGGTATCCTTTTCCACAGACAACAACCCCGATGTCCCTTCCTCTAGTGATACACCTAGAGATTCTTCGAGTATCGATTATGGGAATTTGGTGATCGGCGTCAAGAACTCCGCCTGCACCGTGGAGGAAGCCGGGAAGTCTCGGTATAACGATGCGCACCGTCTACTCATAGTCCAAATTGTCGTGATAAACTATTGACATGGCGGCTACAAGAGTCTATTACTTTTGACTAAACACTCCTTCTTTATACTAGCTGTGATGCATCTTTAATTTTATATACTTGATTTGCACCGCCGGGCAATCTACTCTTGTCAATGTACTTGTAACTCCTCAAGCCCGAAAATCCTCCCCGATCTTTGCAAGAATCCCATCAACATCAGTTTCCGTAACTGACTGCGCATGTTCCAGCGTCTCGCGATGCTTGACACTTCGAATACTCAACTTGGCATCGAAATCACGCGGGCTAGAGGTGAAAGCGTGATCGATATCCCAAAGTGTCACCTTCCGCTCACCATGTGCAAATTCATACCCCCATAGCATTCGGGCAATGTTGATGAACAAACTATCCATACCGATGAACTTACCCGGGCATACGCGCGGGCCATAACCAAAGGCCGCACTATTGGGAAGCTCCGGGTTCTCCAGCCACCGCTCCGGAAGGAAGTCGCGGGCATTTTGATAGATGCCCTCATCGAAGCCGATGGCCCATGCATTGGCGAATAGCATCGTGCCCTTGGGAATGCGATAGCCACAGTACTCATCGTCATCGGTGGTGCTGTGTGGAAAACCGAGAGCTAGCACGGCTTGCCAGCGGCAGCATTCATTCACGATACCGTTGATATAGGGGAGGGAAGGCTTATCGGAAAAGGAGGGAAGACGGTCGGAGCCGACGACTTGATCAATTTCGGCTTGTGCCTTGGCCAAGCTTTCCGGGTGGAGGAGCATGGCTTTCACGAAGACACGTAGGATGGAAGGAATAGTTTCGACAGCGGCTTGCAGAGCGGTTCCAAAGAGCATGGAGAGCCCGTCAGTCGACATGTTCTTTGCTTGAGGACGAGTGAGACTGTGTTTGACCCAGTTCCATGATGAGGTGGACTGGGCTTTGAGTAGGTTTCTGGAGTAGAATGAGGTTGCTTCAGTGTAGTATTTTTTGCCGAAGGCCTTCCAGGGTGCAAGGAATCCCAAAATGTAGTCGAGGATCGGGAAGATCTCGACCAGTGCAAAGTGGAAATCTGCCACAATCACGTCCACCAGCCGGTAGGCCAGTTGTTCAGCTTCATGGAACTCGGCCTCGTCATCGTGGGTAAGTCGACGCCCGTAGCCTAGGGCATTGGTCACGCTGGCGCCGTACCGGCGGAAGCTCGCTGAGAAGTCGTCCGATGAGAGGAAATCGATCATCACCTGGAGGCTTTCAACCTCCTCTAGCGGTCAGTACTTGCGGGAGGCATTTTCCGTGGTCAGGGATGCGAGGATGCGTCTGTGGGCCTGCCATTGCTTGCCAGAGGGCATCAACGCGATGTGTAGGCCTTTAGTGGCGTACCTACCCGCAACCACAATGTCGGGACGGCTGTTGTAGAGAGGACCTTTCCGCACCATCAGATCCTGGCAAACATCGTCCGAGGCGATGCTGATCATGAGTCTGTTGCCGGATTGGAATCTGACCAGGGGCCCATATTTTTGGTGCCATTCAGATAATGCGTCGGGTAGAGGCTTTGAGAGAAGCTGATGGATGTTTCCAATGATCGGAAGCGGACACGGGCCGGGGGGGAGTGGTTTGTTGGCTGCCTTGCGGAGATATAATCCACCCAGGAAGAGACATGCGCACAGCGACAAAAGATACAGCGAGGAGCGCGAGGTATCTTTCACAAGACCAGACACCAGGCCTGGGGAATCCGCTGGATTATCGGATATACCGATATTGAACATATCCATGAGTAATGCGGGTGATGTTGTTGGTTTTGGCACCAGTCCTGGCCTTGTTTAGGACGATCATCTTTGGCCATGTTTCTTTTATATCTGATTTCAACGTTTAGTATTGAAAGTGTCTCACAGTAGCATCTCACCTAGCCTTTTCTTTCCCTTCTTCTATGCTGCAGATCCAACTTCCCTGTTGGTGAGGGCCCCACAGCGACATTTCAGCCACTATGGAGCATGTCTTCAGCTCCTGGTCAGGACCCCACTGCATGTATAGTCCACGAGGCACTAGTGTGAGTATAGTACCAGATCAAGGATCCATAGTGAGGTTGCAAAAGTTTTGAATATGAACGGATGTGTTCGGCGTTCGAAGGGGCAGTTGCCAAGGCTGGTTGCGTCTGAAGAAACTTACGACGGTTGAATCTATGATCGTGGGGGCTATCGCCGGCAGCGCAACAGTCCTGCTTACTAGCCCTATCTCAATAACGTGTAAAACCATGCTAAGATACCCATCTTCCTCTTCAGTACAGAGTAACAGTATCTAAGCCTTCCATGCCTAATATCTTGTAATTACCACACCGACACTTCTGCCCCTGTGGAGTATATCTCTGTCAGGACCCCACTGCGTATGTGGGTGCAGGTCAGCTAACCCCCCCCCCCCCCCCGCCCCCGCATGACTCGCCCCGTAGTAATGAGGTCGCTAATTCACGTCATGTTGGCACATATGTCGAGCAGTTGGGGCTCAACTTTTTGCGACTGTTGGATCGCTGGAAATAATTTAGCATTTTAGGGGTGCCTCGTCGACTCGAGTAGTCCTGATACATGCCGCTGTGACCGATGGTGCTTCGTCGCTGCCTGGTAGGGCGCCTCCGAGCAGATCTTGGACCGGAGACTGCTCCACATGGCGAAGTTGGAGACCCAGCAAGATTTCGAAAGAACTAAAGCCCGATGACATAGCCTGGACCGCAAAACCCGACCCATTCCAGCCTAAGCCTCGGGTGCGTCAGTGGCGGCTTCTCGTAAATGCCGAAGGAACTAAACACTGAACCAACCTTTCAGCCAAACCGTTGGACCATGCGGCCGTGACAGGGGCCTTGACATGCTTCACGTCGAGCTTATGGAGTTGATTCTGGAACCAGGTACCTGTAAAATATATAGGTACCGTTGTCCGTATACACTGCCGCTGGCCACCCGACAAATTGGGAGACATCATCCCGCAGGAACTTGAACGACATTTTGCTCTTCGCTTTTGAAACCGGGGCGCGCAATAGTAAACCGGTTGAACTAGTCGGCTCTCACCAAGTTGGACCGATTACCGATGGCGGAAGTAGGGCTAAAAGTAGTCCCACTGTAGATAGTCCACGAGGCAATAGCGCGATCTTAGTACAAGTTAGTGGAAGGATCTATAGTAAGGATGCATATGTTTCGAACACGCAAGACCACGCTAATTACACCACTTATAATGTTGCCAGATGAAATCACGTGGGCACGGTTGGCTTCATATTTTCTAATTGCTCCAGAGTATGCTTATTTCACACCTGAAGATTAAATTATGTCCAGTAGACTGATAAATGTTCATTTAAATGCGGTAAAGGCGCGCAAGTCATCTATACTTTCAACAATCCTTGTCGCCAAACAATCAAGCATGATATCCATGCTACACACTGTGGAAAAGGTGTTAAGCAATTAGGGTTTGATAAGTGTCTAAAACTTATTCCTTTAGAGAGAGATCCTGAATCTGCACGTGGAGAAGTTACTACATGGGTTATCGCTCATGTATATGAGACATGGCTCCCAGGGCTAGTGGGATCAAGTGATATACTTCTACACGTTAGGACTTCTGTCCATACTACATGTCTTAATATATATGTACTTGATAAGATGGGTATAGAGGTAATAGTAAGACCTCCATAGTCGCCTGATCTTGATCCTGTCAAGAATCTTTGGGCACTTATGACAGCAATAATTTACACACGCTCACCTGGGGTTGAGCGGGCGTCTGATACACAGGAAACCTTGGATTGCTTGGTAGAGGCAGCAAAGAAGGCCCCTTAGCTATGAATGAACGGGTTCTGCAGATTCTATCAAATGACGTGCCTCATCGTCTTCAGGTGGGCCGCACTGCGAAAGGCTAGTATACAAAACATTAGGTATGAGAGATTTAGGTACTGTAATCTAGTACTAAATAGGAAGACGGTCATTTTAGTATAGTTCTACATATTGAGGAATATTGCTACCCCACTATAGATCCATTTCTTGTACTAGGATCGTACTATTACCTCATGAACTGTATATACAGTGGGGTCCTGGCTGGAAGGGTGACGATATACGTCGACTCATGGGGATAGTTACCTTTCTGCAGTGTCCACGGGCAATTCCCTTTTGAGGAAATGGATTTTCAGTTGGTTCTTGTAGCACTCGGATGTAGTGTCTCGATGGCCCCGAATTTCTACATAAATTGAGGGCTTCGAACTCCCAAAAATCCCTAACCCTATTCTCTCTATCTTTGACCTTCCTCAAACACAAGATTCCATTCACCCGAAGAAGCAGTATGACTTGGCCTGACAGTTTTTTCCCTACTTTACAAACCCAACTCTGTGCCGCTCAGGATCTGGATTCAGTGCGGTCAGTTGTGAAACATGCCCTACCCGAACAGCCAACGCCCACCAGATCGGGAGTTCACGTGGCTTTGATGGTAGCTCTTCGGGTTACTGAGCTGGTATGCCAGTCAATTGATCGTCTACTCGAGCAGCCAGCTAGCCAGTCTAGAGGGGCTTTCCACGATACTGGGATGTATCGTCCTTGTCGAGGGAACAGGGAGCCTCATGGGCCAGCGGACAAGAAACAAGGGTTGCAAGAACTCGTCCCCATGATCGATGTGGCCACAGACTATCTACAGAAGCTGAATGCATTCGATTATTACGCCTCTGTGGTTACTGGGCTGGTGCAGGTGTCAGCCTTCCACCACGACAGCGATGATTTGATTGTCCATCGGTGCCTCATCGCTGCGCACGCTCTGTCCGAGGGTTATATCGGGGCCAAACAGAGTGAACTCGCCTCCGCTGATTATCCGCATGGAGTCGAGCCTGTCCGCTATCCCAAAGACGATGTAAAACAAGACGTGCTGCGGACAGTCAAGGGCCCGATCCTCGGACATCATCAGATCATAACATGCAATGCTGCCATGTGTTTTGATACTGCGATGCATCCCAAGCTGGCCTTTGTCTCGTACAAAGAAAATTTGTGCTGGTTGGTCGACTGGGCGCTAGCCCACCGTGAAGACAAAGATATCCTGGCCAAACTCAATACCATTGTCGACTCGAACTCCACCAGCCCTCCTACGGCTAATAACGGGGACCTCTCATATCAAGAATCGATCCCCACCCAAGGACTCGAGCTTTCTTGGAGAGTTCGCAATGAAATCGGAAATGAATTTACCCACTGGCTGGCCAAGATGGACGAAGTGGTCAAAGAATCCACTGATCCCTCACTGCTTCACACGGGTGTCCTCTGTACCACAAATACTTTGGTTCGGAAGGTGCTCGTGGCAAGTGTTGCGTACGGATCCTGGCAGTTCTGGCCCACCCCTCGGCCCTTGACGTTTGACGACTACACCGAACTGGTTTGCGCATTCATTGGTGCGATGGTACGCGGCTGGGCCGTCGACCACGATTCAGAAGCTTCAATCAGGGAGCACAACTCGCTGAACTGGGTATGCAAAGACTGCTCGACGGCTCTGACAAGCGAGGCCTTGGGTCCCGCCAACGCCAGAGCCACCCGAGATGATACTATTATGCGGTATGCCTGGGGTCCACAGACTTATTTCTTTGTTGCTATGCGACATCACGGGTTCGCACGTCGGGTAGACAACCTCCTAGAGAAAAGCACCGACCTAGCATATCATAAACCGGCCAGGCAGATCACTCCGTACTGCGCTCCCATCGTGGCCGGTGATAACGTCCCGATCATCGTCACCAAACTGCTCGCCTTGTGTGGCATCCAACTCGACGATTCCTACATCGACCTTGGAGAGAAGGAATGGGACTGCCAGCCCCGAATGTGTTCTGAGTGCCAATTTGACGGCTACCAAGCACAGTTGTTTATGGTCTCTGTTGGCACGGCTCGGTTGGCAGCGAGAGTTCTTGATCATGAACAACGCCAGCGATTGGTCCGTTTGATAGATACCTACGGCTACCGACTTTTCCCTGCAGTTCAGACTAGATTAGTTGTGCTGTGCCCTTGTGTTCCAAGGTGGACTTCGGATGTCATGAGTCAGGCGTATGCAGAAGCAGGCACATCGTGTGGTCAGAGTGATTGTTCAGTCCCTACCTCCCAATGTTATAGCAGTGGACTGCCCGTGGCCGACGAATACAACGGGGTTCCATTAACGGAAGCACTCCTATGTCAAGCTCTCGTCGAGGCCGAGTCTTATTCAAATGAAACGGGGCAAAAAGACTGGTTTGATTGTGTATCGAAACCCCTCAAAATCTAGTCCATGACATGCTATCGAGCGGACGAAGGTTTGAGTTCCTCCACGGATATGTTACATGTCGTGCCTTCGGTTTGGGCGCTGACACTCGAGAGATGGCGGGCATTCTCCATGTTTGTTTTTCTCTCTTATATGTATTTCAGATTAAATGCATCTTTGGTTTTAGGTCGTACCTTTTTTTTCCTACATTTACCGTGTCCTCCCTTGGTCTACTCGGCATCACGGTGCCATTAAACCCCTGAATATTTGTGCGATGGTTCCGATAATTAGACAAGTACGATAACATCTGCTGCACCCAAAAGACGATGCATGCTCAACAGGCCTTCCAGAGCATATGTTGGGTATATCAGTCAGGTTAAGCCCTATACCAAGCGTTGGTCAACGTTTTGGTCTAGTGGTCTTGAGAGCATATGTGATATAAGAAGTAAAACGTGACGTGTTGCAGAGGGGCACGGAGCACTGAGATCATGCCCCTCAAAATAGGGTAAGCGTCAAAGTGAGGCTAAGGGGTAGTACTAGGCTGCGGCATATCGAACGACTTGGATGTGGGTACCGCAACCACGTCCGCAATTTGCGGATGTCGATAATCGTCCCGGTACCCAAGGCCAACTGCCGATATCCATTGGATACCCAATGGTATATGTTGGATACCCAGGCAGCGGTCTATCGTAGTATCAGAACCGTTCACTTGGGGACAGGTAGGGGGCACACACGCAACTTCAAACGATTGAGCTAGAGCTGTATTGCACTTCTAATTTTTATAGGCATAGGTACAGCGGTGGGATTGGAATTTACATTTAAAATTCTATGGTAAGCGATAGAAAGCCCGGGAAGTCTGGGAAGTCTGGAAGACTTTGTAGTAAACATGCATTGGTTCAAAGCTTGGAAATCTATTTACTCTATACATAGATAACCAGAGCTGAATTTTACATCCTTACATGAAAGAAAACTAAATTAAGTTCTAAACAAACTATCTTCTCTACAACACCAAAGCATGTTATTCTGTAACCTAGTGTGGAAGTGTTTGGAAACTAGTCTAATTCTCTTATTCAAAATTGTTTCAATTACAATTCAGATATCTTGAGTATTAAATGAATTAAAGAATGAAATATAATTTTATCATGCATAACTATTCTAGGAAGATATATGAAAGCCCTAATCTTGATGTCTCTTTCTCTAGTAGTACGCCTAGTGATTCGTTGAATATTGTTTATAGAAATCCGGTCTTTAGCGTCGAAAACTCCACCTGCACTATGAAGGAGACCGGGAACTCTCGGTATAACAATTGCTATTTCATCATGGTATTATCATCCCAATCATGGTTGTACATCAGTCATCCTGGGGTTGATACTGGTATCTTGACATGAACAAAATTCTCATGTCAAGAGAGCCACTTCTTGGTGTGCAAGACTTGTATTTCACAAAGGAGTACTCGCTAAGAATAGTGACTATATCTCACATACCCGGACAGAGGCAAAATCCGCATAGAGAAAGATGTCAAGGCTGTGGAAAGATACCGTATCTATAATTTGGCGCGGATAGAGGCAGTGACATCTCCCACAGTATCAATTTTCTAGAGACATTCAGCGTCTACATCTGCTTTGAGTTGACATCGATTATGCGTTCGAGAGTGATCCTTGCCCAGCTCTCACCTTGCTTCTCACTAGCTAATATGGAAAGTAGGCACACGTCTTCACCCATAGTTTACTACATGTAGCGACCTGCTCCCATATAATCATTCAGCACAGTCTTCAGGCGAGTTTTACGCGAGCCCAGTATTATATTCGCTGGCTCTTTATTCATCAATCTCATCACTATGACCGCAACTATCATCAGAAGCTCAGACCACCGCTTTCATCAACTATACTCTCATAGTATCAAGACCACGGCTTTTCTTTGAAGGCACTACCGTGAAGTAAATCAGGAAGAATAGTCTCAACTCTGGGCTGACACTTCTTCAGCACTAGCCTGAAGGACCACTGCCAAAATCAGCCTTGCGAAGTCCTCAACATCCTTGCGTCTACTGATCATCCATGGTCCCCACTGCTTAATCCGAAGAAAGTTCTCCTCGTTACTTGGCTCTTTCTTGTCAAGCAGAAATTCATGGTATTGGTCATTCGGGACGGTCGCCGCGAAATATAACAGGTCACCATCCTGGGATATTAAGAACGCCCTAAGCTACAAATAAGCACTTGATCTCTTTCTTATAGTAGAGATGTAGGATTGCAAAGTAAATCAAATTACCGGCTCTTTTTTAGGCCCTTCGGGGGCGGCGTGCGGAGAGCAGCGACCAACACCGCAGCCTCCTGCCAGAATACATCGGGGGCATGATTATCACGGCGTTTGGCCTTCGCTTCCAAGATCACTTGTGTCTGGGATGTCAAATTCGAGTACAGGAACCCATCCAGCTTGCACTCCATGGTGGCTTTCCGGAACTCTGCAAGGAGGCTGGCACGCCGGGGCGTCCATGTGGCTTGCACTTTTGGGTGCTTCATGCAGATTGCCATGAGAAAGGAAACGAGCGAGGCATTGACGACTTCCTCGTTGATTCTCTTCAGGCCAACACGCTTGGGTGCATCGGAAAAAAACCTCCTTACCTCGCGCTGTTGGTAGTAGGGAATCTCGAAAATCCCCATTTCGGGGCTGGGCAGGGTCAAGTCCTCTAAGTGGTCTACATATGTTTGAAATGGGACAAATGCAGCCAGCCAGTTGGCAGCCTGATGATAAAACTGGCCAAGATTGAGTTCATTCACAGCCCAAGCGCAAGGAAGTTCCACATCCCAGAGAACCTTCAGTAGAAGATACTGGTTGCGATCAATCTTAGATCCCGAGAGCAACCTTGCTCGCTGGAGAATTGAGTGTGTTGCTATCCGGAGCTTTTGGGCCTCCAGATCCCATTGTTCCCATGTCTGTGGGACCGCCTCATCTAGCTTGAGGGTTTTCTTTTTGGGGGGCATGAAGGATGAGTGCAATTTCAGCTGTGAACTGACGCCCTGGAGAGAGAAAAAACCGTGGTAGGTTGAGAAGAAAAGGGAAAAATTGGTGTTTTGAAAGGAGGCAAAAGATATTACAGTACTATCTTAGGTATCAAGACAAGAATCACTTGCCCCCTCTTGGCAGGAGCAGGGCTAACTTGTTACACTACAGTTCTTGATATCTAATTAGATCTCTTGATCTAACATCATTTCTTTAAAAGATGGCTGCAAAATAAAACATAAACATAATAGAAGTCAAACATATTAGTAGGGCCATATTATCTCCATGTGAATCAATATCCCAGCCTCCACCAAAACATTGAGATGACTGGCCTATATCAAGATCCAAGGTGAAGCGGCAGAGCCCAAGTTCGAGTCCTATCCATCAAGCTTTTGTATAGACCAGGCATTGTTTGCACCTTCTAACTTGATGAGGTTGTGGTCCACAGGGCTAATCCAGGAATGGACTAGCTCCCGCTGTCACAGTTAACTCTATTTACGACCTAGGTAATTACCCGAACTGTCCGCTCTTTCACACTTCACCTCTGCCCTCAATCCTAACTCGATTCCTCTCTTCAGTCAATTTCCACAGCTTCTCTTCTGCTCTCAACGATGGAGCCACTGCCTGACGACCCCGCAGCAACCCGTGCCTCCCTGAGGGCCAAGTACGAGAAAGCTGTCTCGGACCTCCTCAAGGCACTCCGCTCCGACCCAAAGCTCACGTACTCAAGCAATCATCTCACAAAGCTCCGGGTTACCCTTGGATCCTTCGATCCTGAGGATCAAAATTTTCTCACATCGAATACCTGCCTCTTTAAACCTATGTCTTCTGAGCAGATCATGGAGTACTCTCTAGACGTGTCGAAACAAGCTCAAGGCGCTCGCGACTTATGCAACAATTATGACGAGCTGTATCAATATCCCACGGGTGCGATAGGCCGTCATCTTTCCGATATTATGGACTACAACACAGAAATCACTTTCCTTTACCTGAACAGACACTACCAGAGCTCGTATAAGAAGACCAAGCGCTACCCCGAGTCTCTTGCTAAAACCTCGAAGTGGGGCCAAGTTAGGGATGGCAACTCATTCTCAGATATCCCATTGGGACTACTCGGGGGCTATTCCTTGACTAACCAGATCCCACCTTGGGCCGTCAGGGCTGATTACGAGTGGCAAGATGACTACCGTAGCCCAGAAACGATTTGCCCGCACATGATGCTCGTTATGTACACTGGTGCAGTTGCTATCGAAGGAGAACTGCTTTTTTGCGAGCTAGGATGTATCGCGCAGGTGATTCACAATCGTTTACAACAGAAGGAATTCGAAAAGACCTCGCTTTTCCCGGTATGACATCACAGGTCCTACCGAGCTTTTGCATACATACTAACCCAGTGCGCTGTTGAACTCGACAGGTGTTGATTATCTCGCTATTTGGACCGCGACACGGACGTCTCATCCAGGCTAGATTTAACAAGTCTGGTATCTTGAAGGTCAGGGCCTCGCCTATCTACAGTTTCGTGCGCAAGGACGAGGCGCCTTGGAACCTTTTTCTACGATACCATGCCTGTGAGCCTCGCGATGGGCCAAATATAGAGTTTTTTGACGATGAGGGTGAATTTGTATACCCGCAGGCGCTCGAGTATGTTTCCCCTGTGACCGGATCCAGCAAGGAGACAGATGCACCTGCCCAGGTCCCCAAGCACGCCCCCAATCTACTGGAATTCGAGAAAGAGAATGCTCCCCCTAAGGAAGATGAGACCCTATCAGCCAACGATGTTTGAGATTTGCATTTTCCTGTATTGACAAAATGCTCTACAAGACCAGGTCGGCAAAGACAACTTGCGCTTCGATTACGGCCTCGACAGCTGAGAGGTTAGCGGAAAATTATGAGAGTGTCATCTTGGGTATCAATGGTTTCTTTTAGGGGATGGAAAATATGTATTCGACCGGAAATCTAGGTGCTGTCAGCGTAATTGCTCTGCCGCTTGCTATTCGCAGGACTCTCTCATGGTCAAGCTCGTTAAAGCACATGGTGATGCTATCTGGAATAGGGGTATCCAGGGATTTCTGCAAAGATGGCACAGGTAATCGTCTTAGATTAGGGAGATTTGTTGATTTCTGCAATGAAATCCACCTTGCGTGATTCACCGTTACTAGATTATACGGAGTATATAGCTGGTGTTATGCAACTATGTAACAAGAAACCATGTTATAGATTGTCAGATGTGACTGTGATTCTCAGGTTTTCCTTTCTTCTATAAATTATCATTGTCATTGTCATTATTTTTGATCCTGATGAAGGTGGTTTGGGAGAATATTTGCCCGCAAATTCTACTTAGGATATGTGTACCTAGCCCAGCTACTGTTCATCATATCTCCATCATTCTTCTCCCTTGTTTCATTTTAAACATGTCCCTAGACTTTCATTGAGAAAGACTAGCGTTGAATTGAATTGCCGGATAATATCTCTGCGAAGAGAAGGTGATCGTTGATCAACTCCTAAACCCTTCAGACTAATGCAAAAGTCAGTTTGGCTCCAGTAGCATGCTTTCCTGGTTGCTGGGGAACATACAGTCGCAGGTCTTTCCTCAATAGAGGCTGGTCCCAATATCGAACAATCATCAAGTTCTTCACAATCTTATGCTCCATGCCCGCCACGTCCGATGCTCGTTGGAGAAAGCGCACGGTGTTCTCTATTTTCTGAGGGTCATAATCCTGCCGATACGAAGTGCGAAAGGACTTGCGCAAGTTCCGAAGAAGGACATGTCGCGAAGGAGTCGAATAATTGATTGCTTTTAATCCTTGTCGGTAGAGATGACGGTAGGCGTGGATAACTTGTTGCGGGGCCAGCGACTTGACTTGAGAGACAGCGCTCATCTTGATAATAGAGGTTAAAGACCACCTGGGCGATCAATCAAAAAGAGGGTGAGTTCGTTTCTAGTTGAGAGCCATTCGGAACTGGATAGTTAGTCTAAAGCAAGGCAATCATTGGGGGTAGTAAACAGTCGCATACACTGTACAGAGTACTCTTCTCTCCCGAAGTTATCTCCGGAGAAAAAAGGGCTTGGCGGACCATGAGTCAGCTCCACACTCCTCATCACTTCCTTCCTTTCATCGACTCCACCTTAACTCCTCCCACGAGGAGTAAATTAACCTCCGTAGCCCATGCGTTAGGCCGCAAATGATCAACCCGCCTTTGGTGCCCTCCCATCTTTCCATCAACACAGCTCTGGTTCTCTTTCATGCTCTAATCGATTCGCCATTTAGAAGCTGCTTGCCTTTGCGGTTCCATCTTATTGATTTGTTCTCTGGATGCCGACAAAATAGTCCGGCCTCTAAATTCTCCACGGAAGCTGCTGGGTCCAAAGTCGGCTGATATCATCTTGCCCTGTCGTTCTTCGTCTGAACTCTGCTTTCGACTAACAAGCTTATGCGTCCTCTGTGTAGAACCTGCATGCGAACTGACCGCCTTAGAATCATGGTATATCATTGATTCGCCTTTTCTTTGCCCCTCTCCCTTCGTCATCATCGGCATAAATCTTGCTTGGGAGAGCTAGTGATCTGCTGCGAACTGTTTCTTCGAAAATGAGCAGTCGCTGTCTCGACAGTGTGACCTAAAGGGGTGCAACTATTTCAAAACTATGGCCAGGGTATCTCGAAGGCCCGTCTCGGCCTTTGGCAGTCGGGCTCATAGTCGAGCGGCTCGAAGAAACACTGGGAAACATAAGGTCGTTTTGGAGTCTGTGACCCAGGAGAAAAGGAAGCTTCGGAGTGTTGTATGTCTTTTAGGACTCTATCTACATATGGACTGCATTAACGGTGACGGTAGATCTCGTTCGAAGCAAATGCCCCACCTGGATACACATTTATTCCCGCAGGCAATCCCCAGCTTACAACGGCGTGCAAGGAGTCTTGCCGGAAGGATGGATTGAAGGTTTTTGCGGTTACGGTAGGCTAATCCTTGGCTATGTTCTCGTTCGACCTGATCGGCCACCGTCTCAGACTATCGTATCACTGATATACATGATTCTCTCTCCCACATAAGACGACCCCGCACATGAACACACACAATCTTTCTCAGCATGTGCATAGGATAGGGTATCATTTCCCTAGCGCTGTTGTAGCCTCCGTCTGTATGGATTTGGGTCTATACCTCACATCGATGGGGAAAGCGATTCCGTTTCAAGGGTTTGGTGATGTGAAACGCCATGCCCGAAATCTTTCTGGGATTTCGCAGATGACCATTGACAGCGAAGCGACGGATGTGCTAAGGGATCTTTTCCCCAACATACCAGATCATGATTTGAATCAGATAATTAAAACAGCATTTCAAAAGGTACGTGGATTAGCGAAAAACCTGGGAACCGAACTCAAGTACGTTTGACTAGGGTCAACGCAAAGTTGGCACGGCCGTGGAATTGCCCTTGGCCCGTCGTGCGCAACTAGCGGTCGTAGCACATATCCGACATATCTACACGGATTACGATCGTCTTCTGAAAACCACCTCGTTCCATGAAGCGAGAAGCCTCGTCGAAGAATCCACTCTGGCCAAATTAGTAGAGTGGAGGGGAGACGATGAAAACGGGAAGACAGTTCTCGAAGATGTTTTTCGTGAGGTTATTGTCATATCCGACGATGAAGAGAGTGAGGCAGAGGAAGCTCTCCGGTCTGATGATCGAGATTATAGTGTGGAAGTTGTTTCGAGCCACCCGCGAGCCGAGGAGCTTCGGACAAAATCTGTTAATTATGCCACCCACACTCAGGAATCCCAGCTGGATCTCCAGGAGGATGAGCCGCCACCAGGCTATCGGTTTGTCCCAGAAATTTCCAGGAAGGACAGGATCGATCGCCGAGGCTTCAGCAGATACCAAGCCTGGGATCGTGCCATCAATCGGTATAGGGGTATAGCCAACGAGGCCAGCCAGCGCAGAGTGGGAAATGGCCCGACGGGCCCCCGCAGACCCTTGGACCCCGTGCAGGAACATGCACGCGGTAATATCAATCTTGAGTCACAGTGTTCTTCAAGCCGGACTACACAACCCCATCATGTGTCCATTGCGCATTCTATGCCTCATTCCAGGATTTCCAATTCCGGTCTCGGAAGCTCCGTACCCAGTCCACCAGTCGAGCGTTATGTAAATGTCCGGGGAATGTCCTCCTACCAGCCATCCTGGCCAAAACCAAGACCCATGGATGAAAAGGGGAGGTATGAAATTCCGCCCACATTGACTCAGGCCGATCAACAACATCCATTGGTTGAGCCGTACAGGCAAATGAGGGAGGTGTTCCCAGCCGCCAGCATCACTACCACAGATAAGTCCCTTGCATCACGACCAGAGAAATATACTATCCACCAAGGTGGTGCTCCGGATGCCCCTGTGTTTGTTAGCGGCCCAAGACAGCTTCAGGAACGTGGTGACTTCATCGGTCATAATGCAAGAGCTCCAGGTCTCTCACGCACCAGGACAAATATGGACCCCCAGGATCATGTATTACCATCTATCGAACCCCCCTATTCTGCGGAGTATCAGCGCGCACAGACTGGCCAAATAGAACAACTGACCCGAAAGATGTCTGGAGAATTCTCTATCCGCTCAGAAACGCCGCACTGGGTTATTCATGACAAGCCACGTCAGCCCATGGAGTACAATATCCAGGATCATGCCCCTAAGCGTAGGCGTGTGGCTTATTGTGAGCCTTTATACCTCGACAACAGCCGACAGGATGTTGATACTCTTCCTGTTGTGACTACCCGCGCAGGAGAGCATCATGTTCCGCCGTCCTATGTCCCTCGGGGCCAGGTCTCCTACCGAGATGACCCTATCCACCATCAGAGGCGCGTTCCTCAGGCGCCACCATCCTACGTCATGGGGCAGTCTTTAGAAAGTGGCCGAGAACCCTTCCTTCAAGACTCTTATGCACAGCGGGAAGTCGTATTACCCCGGACCCAACGGGAAGATGTTGGGGGCCAGTCGATCACACAAGAACGGCGCCCTGATCTTCATCCCTATCACAGAATTCCAGAACCTCCCCGCGTCTTGCCTGAAGCTAGACATCCTGTTCCTGCAAATAATGCCCACGATCGATACATTTCTATTCGGTCTCCGAAGTCTGGGAAACACACATTTTACCGAAGTGATCTTCGTTATGAAGTCGGCGCCGTCGAAGCGCCTGAAAAGCCACAACCATATGAACGAGCCCAGCACATCAGGGCCAACGTTCCTACCTCTATGTCGCCCGAAGTCCATGAAAGAAGAAGACACTACGCCGACGATTTCGTCCGCGGCGTTGACCTGCGAGACTCAGCCTCATCTAGATACATCCCCCAGCATCGTTTCCCGCTTAGCAACACTGAAACTCATCATCAACCGGTTCACGTTCAATTTGTGGAAGAACGTCAAATAAATATCCCCCCGGATAATACAGCATCAAGGCCGCCTCAAGAGCGGACCTATTCGGATTCCCACCTTAGGCATGCTGGTCATGCATATACTGTTGTACATGAACGAGATGCAAATAATCGTGGCCTCAGGTCTTTCGAGGCGTCTCCTGCAGGTCACTACCACGAGAGAAGAGGCGGGCCTCCTCTTCAACCTGTACGGTATGGTCATGCCCACAATTAGTTTTAGTCCTTCAGCCACATCCCCACCCCCAACCCTTGTTGAACGCTATATATCCCCGGATCTCTGCTGATGTGACATAGGCCAACTCACGAGCAACCGCAACCGCCGTCTGGAAGAGATCAACTTCCGCATTTTTACTCAAGGGCAAGCGAGCATCCTACACGGAGGCTTTTGGTCCGAGATCCATCGGTTGTCATTGTCGATTAGCTACATCTAAATGGCCTTGGGGGTGGCATTCTAAGGAGATGATGAGCACATTCTTAATGTCATCGTATCGGTACGGATTGTGAAGGAGGCGTATCTCATATGCACGCACATACATAGAAGTGAGAAATACAAACTTCTTGCATCCCCACTTCAGCGTGTCCCGGATTCTGTGGTATCGCCAAGATATACAGTATTTGGGACATATAATGGCCCAACAGTCTATTCATATCTAGTGATGTATGCAAGGTCCGTCAATACGTAGTTAGATGACAATAGTCTATGCAACCGCATTTGTTCACTTCAGTTGATAATCACGAATATCAACGCTTTCAACAATGCCCTAGTATATGCAATTCGGCGCAGAGGATGTGGACTAGCTATGGTGTAGAATCAAGACCCTCCAGTCCATACCGGCATAAGGGCAGGTGCATGCACTAGATGCAGTGAGACAAGTCGGTTGAACCGCCAGGGTTTGCAAAGATAAGACCAAAAAAAAACGAAGAAGAAGATAGAGAACATATAAACAAGAGATGTCGTCCCAAGCAGCCCAACTAGAACAACCCGATCGATCGATCCCTCACCAACCTCCGTCTGGGTCACCATCCATGCCAAACAGACCCCTCATTATACGTGAGCCCCGCCCAGCCCAAACTCAAGCTGCGACTCCCCGCGCGGGACACAACACACGGTAGTAGGTATCCCCACTACCTTCTCTAGAGGATAAAAGCAACTCGCGAGCACAGTGGGTAATAGTAGGCTGTTGTCATCGGCGCATGCATATCCATCCATCCATATATCTATACATCCTTGGGTTCACCATCTGCCTCCCCGCTGTTGACAGTCTTTCCGGTCTTCTTGATCGTAGCGAGGACGGTGTCATAGGAGACAGAAGGCTCGGTGACGACGTTGGCGGTTTGGGATTCTAGATTGACGTCGAGGGATTTGACACCTGCGGTTTTGGAGACATTCATTAGTTATCAGTGAGCTGACTGACCGCCCGGTGGTGTGAATCATCAATGAGTTCAGAATACTACTAGACAGCAACGCACCTTCCAGCTTCTTGAGAACTCGCTCCACGGCGCCGGAGCAGCCGCCGCAGCTCATGGAGATGTTGAAATTGTATGTGTGGTCGGACATTGTGAGAGGTGGGGTGGTTGTGGGCGCAAGAGGGTAAGGAACGGAGGGGGGTGTATTTGGAGGGGGAGCGGAGGGGAGCGGGGAGGTGCTGATATGATATGATATGGTTGATGGGGATGTGGGGCCTTCTCGGGCTGTTACTTATACCTTTGGAAACTACGCATTAATCTCTCACCCCTGCTAGGGGATGATATACCGCGCGCAAATCACGCATTGTTTTTAGTTTTATAATGTCTGATAATTGAAATTTTATGCTTGTCTTGACATTCCTTGTCGCTTGTGCTTATCAATCAGAGCGAAGAATACAGTTAACAGTGGGTGATGCGCAGTCTTATTATGTCTTATAATACATCAATCACATCATCATGTCCCTCTTGGAGTCAACCCTAGAATCCAGCAGCTCTCTTTTTCTTGCGCGCCTTTGCAGCACCCCTTCTTTCAGCGTCGCGACCCCCAAATATACCGCGTTCCATTTGAGTCATTGGGAGATCTTCCTCCATGACTTGACTACTTTGAATGGCCCTGGAGCTCTCGCCTGCTTGGGTCTGACTACCCCAAACCCGAGGTGTAAACGTAGCCGGAGGCTCGTTTGTTGCGGACGATTCCAAACCAACCCCTTGTCCTTGAATCTTCTTCGGCCGCGGCGTCGCTTTTGGGGTCGTCGATCTAGCAGCCCGGTGCGGCTCTTCGACGTCCAGCGTTGATGCTATCTTCTGCCAGTCATAAGTGGCTGGGTCGGCGCCGGTGGGCCAGTGGCCGAGTATGCTCGCCACACTTTGAGGGGGTGTCCGTCTGTCGATAGAATTTGTATGAGCCGATAAGCTGGTATAGATACCACTAGTCTCATGAGTTGCCGTCCCACCCATTTCCGTTCTTGCGCTGCTTTGTGGCGCAGTGCCACTGATAGGTTCACTGCTTGGATTCCCTACGGTGCCATCAAATACCAACGAGTCGCCTCTTTGGTTCGATGCGCGCCTTGGGTCGGACTCATCCAAGCCATAACCTGATTCACGCGCCATGATAACTCGTGTTAAAGCGAGATCACCTGTAATGCGTCGAATTGTTTTTTCTTTCATGATTCTAGTTCGGCCTGGTATGTCGTGGGGCAAAGCACTTAGCCAAGTGTTCACCAAGCGGTCGTAGGTTGCTATCAAGTTCCACTGCAAAGTATTAGGTGGCTGTTTAGCATTGGACTGAAAGCCGGTCACGGCTTGTAGTTGAGAAACTAGTCGGCATTTGCTACCAGGAGAGTCGCATTCGAGTTCTGAAAGCAAATCCTCAAGGCTCCGTTCATTTTGGTCAATATCGCCCAACAACGAGCCACTTCCAAGGATCTCAAACCTGCGATATGTCAGTAATTGATCCCTCGACGAGAATGGGGGGCATTCGTACAACGTGGGACTTGTTGAATGACGAGTGGAAGACTGGTTCACCGTTTTATCCCTCAGGACTATAAGAGAATCTTGAAAGCCCCTTTCAAAAAGTTCATTTCCAAATTCTTCCGGCACCCTAGTTGATTTCCCTGCAGCAATTGCATAAACCTGTGTGTAATCAATGGCCCATCGAGGGATTGCAAGAGGGGCGAGAAGAGATATCCCGGAGTCCGGTGCCACCAATGAACCGGGGCCAAGGGCGGATTCGTCCCCGTCGTCGACTATAAAATCGTCTCGGGAACTAGTTCCTTGAGGTGTGTGAAGTCCGGTATATCTCTTTTTCACATGAATAGCATCCTTTCCAGGTTCCGGCTCGCTCGCCGCACTATTAGTTGGGGATGCAACGTATATTGATTCACAGACAGAAAGGCGAGAATCTAAGGTGAAAAGTTTCACGAGTCTCAAAGTAGGTTCATAATTCTCCTTGCTCATAGATGACGGAGAATGAACGATTTCCCTGAAGGCAAGTGACACAAACTGCGTGAGATCGGAAGGGACTTGAGCCTCCCCGGGTTCATCGGACGCCAATGGAACTTCAATGACGAAGGGGTCCGGAAGGCTTGCCGTGTTGGTTTGTTGTCGAGCAGAGATATCAAACACCAATGCAAGATGACTGAGGCGAGAGTACAATACAATATAGAAGTCTGGATAACACCTTGTCAATTTGGGTAACTGGATACCGATATAAATGTCAATTCCATACCTTCTTGGAAAGATAGAGGCGACAATTGCAATGTTATGTCCTCTGGATCTCGATAGTGCTGCCAAGAAAGCAGGGGATAAAGAGAAGATCGTTCTTCACCCTTTGCTGGGGATGGGCCTGGGATCTCCAGCCAAAAAATCCGAGACGTCGTAAGGATGAAGGCGTGTGACACGTTGGAAGTACTTCGTTTGACATCCAAGATCCACTCTGATTTTCGTTTTAAACCCAGTTCTATTGGATATGTGCATGTCTGCCCATCCTCTACCCTGTACAGCATGGGACAGCGTCGGTCAGAAACTATAAAAGTGTTGAAGTCTCCAACCCATTCAATGACGGCCCAGCCGTCATAACGAGCATGATTAATCATATCATGACCAACCTCAGGATCAACCGACGGCAATGAGCCGGATCTGACGCATGCCGCAGTCCAATTGTTCCTATTTTGTCTGTGACGTCCCGTTATTTCCCAAAGGCTCCAGTTTCCTCTCTGGTCGACAATGGCAAGCTGTTTTTGGTACCACGGATTAAAGGCGACATCTGCATGAGCAAACCCTCCGGTCTGTGAATTTGATATCTCTACCAACGGATTCGCTTCGAGGCGGGAATTCTGAGCGCGTCTCATGTGCATTTGGTCATTGGAGAGGCGCACGGGTGTCGGTTTTCTGTGATAGATTGGTCGAAACACCACAGTTGACTGGTGGAAACGGGCTGCCACCCAAGTAGCCTTTTCTTCCACCGGACGTGCAAAACGGACCTGGCGAACAGGCGCGCCCCCTGCTAACCATTCGATAGAATCCGCCTGGCCAATTGTTGGGACCCGCAGCGAAGTCGTCTTGTCTAAGCTCAGCTGCGTGGTACAGTCGTCCATTCTCCGGAAGGAAATGGCATTGCCGCATTCTCCGGACGCCATAACGGCGATGGGAACAACTCGATTTCCCGAATCATCATTGTCAAGATCCACTGCATATCCAAAGTCGAGAAGTGAGGAAACCAAAGGATCGCAAATCTCACTCGTAGATGTGATGATATGAGAGAGGGACTCGTTGCTAGCCAATGGCCAACAGGCGGAAAGTTCGGGATATACTTTCGGTAGTATATTTTTGTTCTCGATCAATGAAGATTGGGGAGCGGTAAGAGGCGACTTCACAGTGGTGGTCGTGTTCCCAGAGTAGTAGATCGAAGGCCCTAGAGAAGAAAATTGTTGTCGTCAGTACACACTTTCTTTTCAATTGTGATGCCCCGCGGCTTTGCGGGCAAAAACATACGGTGACCCAGGACTCGAGAAAATGTCCATGTCCGACTCTCTGGTTGATAGATGACTCTTCCCAAGTGCCCATACTGCAGAGAATTTGAAAGATATTCACCCATTGGGGCTGCCTTTACGCCTTGTGAAATGATCGACTAAACCCTTCCTTTTTAGCATGTCGAGAGCGATAAGTGCTAGTATGCTTCCGGGTTAAATTGAAGCAATTCGGTCGGAGAAGACAAGGACGATAAGCGCAGTAGAGGATCAAATCGTCTCCCTGCAGATCCAGGTGCTTTTTAGAAGCCCGATATGACGATACATATGTAGGCGCAAGAATTTGATTTCAAGATGCGGTGGTGTATAGTTCCGCCGGAGAAAAGCACTTTTGAAGAACAGATGCCAAGACTTTTAGTCACCTCCGGGTTGCGGCGCAACAAAGGTTGGTTTTGGGGTACGAACTTCGACAACAACTTCAACACAGTACAGCCTTATCGCAATTCAATTCGAGCCTGTGTCCCATGAAACTCTTTCTCTCACACATACCTGAACACGCGCAACATCTAAAAACTTGAGATTTCCTCATTCAGAAACAACAGGGTCTCTTCACCATGAGTGCCTTCGAACCCTCACTTTCAACAAGTGGCATGCGACCACCACTGACTTCAGCCGACGCCCCCTCCATGGCTGATTCGCTCCCCAGTATTAATTTCGGATTCGAGGACTTGCGCAGTCGCATGGCGCAGTTCACCGCGCGATTTGATGCATTTATCGAGCGGGGGAGAAAGCAGGTGCTGGAGGAGAGAAACCAGTTCAAGATAGGATTGGTGGAGATGCAGGGTACGCGATAGGACACCCCCATACGATTATAAAAAGAGCCACGGCTAATTGGTTTGACAGAGGACGAACGCATGCGGCAAAGGGATATCGAAATCCTCAATCTCAAGGCGCAGACCCACGAACAAACATTGCAAAAGGAAGCCGCCGAAGCCGCTGAAATGCATGCCGCTATTGCGTCCGTGGAAATGGAGCGTGCTGCTCGCCTTGCAAAGCGCGACCGCCTCAAGCAACAAATCGACGAAACCCAAAAGGCTATCGCCCAAAAGACAGAAGCGCAGAAGGCTCATTCTCGTTATCTAGATGCGCAGTCGCGTTTGAACGTACCGGAGCTTGACTTTTGGCAGGACTATTTGTGCATGCGCATAGAAGGTGCTGGGAGAGAAGATCGCTTGAAGTTTGTGTATACCCATTTACTGGAAAAGGATTGGGAGGCCGAGGCCTGGTTCGAGCTTGGAACTGCCAACCGCGACTATGAGGTGTTTCATACACGGCCAAAGGTCGACCGGGACGCGTTAAATCGGGAACTCGACCTTGTGAACGAGGATCGTGATTTTGGTGCATTTCTCAAAAGGATGCGCAAATTGTTCGTTGAGGCATTGAAATAGGAATAATCACGACATGCAGTTACGGCAGAAGACTCACACCCGCCCTTTGAAAGGCATGTTTCATAGTAGCACAGACAAGTAGTTCTGTTGATGTCCGAATCGATAGTCTAGTGGATTATTTTCTATAATTCATTACACCTTCAAAGGCAAGACTTGATCGCCAACTCAGCCACCGGTGGCCTCCCGATAGAACGATATGCTACGGCTTGCTCCGCCCGTGGCGAATCCTTCTGATCTCCCGACTTTCGGTAACCATTTGACACTCCATACGGCTTTCTCGGTCTCGGAGTGGGTTGCAACACAAGTTTTGGTGTCAATTGACCACACTTTGACTTTCCCATCAAAAGAACTTCCAGGCTGTCAGTCTCGTCAAGGCATGGGTCCCGGGAGACCATGGGGAAGGGGTAGTAAAATATAAGCAAGAGACTCACCTGCTGAGGAGATACTCTCCAGTATAGCTCCAAGACAGAGACAGGATCCAAGCGGAATGGCCCGTAAGGCTTGCGACCTGCTCGCCGGAAGAAGTGTCGTACAGTACGATGACTTTGGAATCACCCGCAGCGGCGAGGAATTTCCCTCCAGGAGAGAACGTAACCGCTCGCACGGGTTTCACCAGTCCTATATTGAGAGTCAGACACACCTTTACCCATCGATTACGAGAGTGGGAAGGGAAATGTACCTGATAGACTGAACGGCATGCGACCAGATTCGGTGCTGAAAATGTGCACACTACCATTCTCGTGCCCGCTGGCAATAAAGCGGCCGTCCAAAGACTAGAGGCACTTAGTAGGTCGATTAAGAGTCTCGAGGGGTTTGGAACTGCTTACCAAATCTATACAAGTTCCAAAGCTCCCTTTGGTTTCGTAGTCACGGATCTGCTCAGCATGGCCATTTAAATCCCATACCCTAATGTGTCCGTCTTGGCTGACTCCAGCAAGATATTGGCCGTCTTCGGACAAGGCAACCGCCCAAGTATCGGATAGCCCTCTCCCATCGACGGCTAAGAAATAAAGAGTCAGAAAATCTTTGCCTTTGTTGATGTGTAAAGCATGAATTACCTGGGACGTTGTCATCTTTGGACCAGGTTCCTTCCTGGCAAGACCACACCAGAATTTCTCCCCCAAAGCCAACACTCACGGCCCTCGACCCTTTCCGGTCCGTCACTACATGATGACACCCGGCTCTATGTGCTCCATCTATGGACTGCACCAGTGGAAAATCGGGGTTTTTGGTTGAGTGCACCTTGATCGCGGAGGCTCCCGAGACAGACAGGATTTGATTCTCGGTGACGGCAAGCGAAAAAATATCAGACGGATGGGCTGCAAAAGGTGTCAGTGCCACTCAGGTAGATCGGAAGGAGAATTTGACTGGAAGGCAGCTGGGCGACCAGCACGTACCATCGTCCGAAGAGCCGCAAGAGAGGTATTGTTTCGACTAGAATCAATTGAATTGCCAGATTAGTCTCCTACCAGTAGCCTTATTTTACCTCCGATAACCCTGCGTCTTACCATCTCTGTATACCGTATGCTTCCAATGGCTAGTTGCGTCCCAACCCGGTGGTTTTTGGTGATGTTGTTCCGCCGCGGAGGAGGGGAAGGATGGCGGGACGAATTGGAGAGTGAGATCATCTATGGGGCCGAAGGGCAGCCAATCCAACCCAATGCGAAAGCTCCGTGCTTCTAGCAGCAAAAGCACAAGATATTGAATAATACTCCCAGAGAATGTAGTAATACACATGGCCTCATTTTATTCTATCATTTAATTTGGAAATCAAAGGTTCCAATACAAATATCCAGGCACAAAAGCTTCCCGCCAGAACCAAACGCCCAAGTTCATGCTCCATATATATTCTACACTTACAACCCAGTGAAAGATACAACTCTGAGCCAAAACCGAGCCAGCGACCTTTTTCCTGCGGTGTTGATCCCTCTCTCTGTTGCTTTCGTTCATTTATATGCCGAGGTTCTACTCAGAGTAGAGTCTTGTTTTTTCCCTTTAGGCTGTTTGGGTCTTCCCCCACTGTTTCTTGATACCTGTCGAGGAAACGATTGTTAGTGGACGAAACATGATCACCAGGGACTCCATGCCATAGGTCTGCATACTTTCAACGCAATGGGGACATAACGTGTGGGCACGCTTGATCTGGCCACATCCGGAGCAAGTGTTGAGGTTCTTGACATCCTTCAAGGCTTTTCCGGCCATCTGCCTGTGACGCTTCTTCATGTGGGAAGTCTTCTTCTTGGGGACAGCCCGCAAAACCGATTCCCAGATGTCGCTCAAGATTCCCGGGATTTGTAATGAGATCGCAGGGCGTAAAAAGGCGTGTGGGGCGATCGAGGCATTCTGGAGAAGTTGCGACCATTGGCCTGGGATAGAGGCCGAACTGCGGAAAAGACGCAAAGCCATTGCGGTGGGGGGAGATGGGTCGCAGGGCGGTGATATAGATTTTCGGGATATGGAAATCTTCCTGGGCGGGGGGTAATCAAAGACAGACGGGTGATAGTCTCGTCACAGCGTCGGAGTTGGGGGAAATGGGCATCACTCAATGAAGCTTTTTGCACCGAATCTGCGGTTTTGCTGCTATTTGGGTCTGGAGAGATGGCGCTACGCCCCAACCGGTTAGCGTCCCCCTGAGTCGCGACAGCCTCCATTAAAGGGGTCCAGATGAGCGATCGATGAACTGCAATCTCTCCTCTTCTGTTAGACAATCCGAACTTCCCTGGGGTAGACATAGACAGCAGGTCTCCATTTCAAACCCTAACGCTGTCTCGGTAGCCTGTCTCGTATCTATCTCTCCTCTTCGATTCCCGGTTTTTGTCCACTGTCCACCATCATCAGTCAATCGTTCCCACCACTCCACTTCCGACAGATCTAAACAAACCCCATCAAGGCATTGATTCTTGTGCTCCACGATGGCTGCTGCAGCAAGCTCGACTTCGGCCACGGCCGCCCCGGTTTTTCCCCATAGCCATGTTGGTTTCGATAGCATCACCTCTCAGATCGAGCGGAAACTCCTCAAGCGTGGCTTCCAGTTCAACGTCATGTGCGTTGGTAAGTTGACTCATGATCATCGGGTTGCATGGGCCAGCATCATTGACACAGACGCATCTAGGACAAACCGGTCTGGGAAAATCGACTCTGATCAACACCATCTTCGCGTCGCATCTGATCGACTCCAAGGGCCGCCTCACCCCCAACGATCCCGTGCGCTCGACCACCGAAATCCAAACCGTTTCCCATAGTACGCGACTGTTGTGGCCCCTGCTCCCGAGCTTTACTGACTAGATTATACAGTCATCGAGGAGAACGGTGTCCGCCTTAGACTGAACATCGTCGACACTCCGGGGTACGGTGATCAGGTCAACAATGACAGATGGTAATGAACACCGCGAGCACCACGAAGACCTATGTCCTCCAGGCTAACGATCGGTTTTCAGCTGGGACCCAATCGTGAAATATATCAAGGACCAACACTCCGCCTACCTTCGGAAGGAGCTTACGGCTCAGCGCGATCGCTATATCCAAGATACCCGCATCCATTGCTGCTTGTTCTTCATTCAACCCTCAGGCCATGCGTAAGTCGATGGATGTCAACATTGTGTCATCCAGGGCAACGCTGACTGTGTTTTGATACCTTAGTCTCAAGCCGATCGACATCGTCGTCCTCAAAAAGCTGTCTGACGTCGTCAACGTCGTCCCGGTGATCGCCAAGGCCGACTCGCTTACTTTCGAGGAGCGCCAGGCATTCAAGGAAAGAATCAAGGAGGAATTCTCCTTCCACAACCTGAAGATGTATCCCTACGACAATGAGGAGCTCGACGATGAGGAGCGTGCAGTCAACGTCCAGATCAAGGTACCGTTTGCGTCTATGCTCGCCGTGGGCCGCTTCTAACTTCCTCCAGGACATCATCCCCTTCGCCGTGGTGGGTAGCGAGAAAACCATTGTTGTCAACGGCCAGCAGGTTCGCGGTCGCCAAAACCGTTGGGGTGTGATCAACGTCGAGGACGAGAACCATTGCGAATTCGTCTACCTGAGGAACTTCCTCACCCGCACTCACCTCCAGGATCTTATCGAAACCACCAGCCAGATCCACTACGAGACGTTCCGTGCTAAGCAGCTGCTGGCTCTGAAGGAGAGCAGTGCCGCTGGCGGCCACAGTGCTGGAAGCCGTCCCATCAGCCCCTCTGCCGACCGGGAGCTCAGCCGCAACTCGCAACGGATGACCATGAATGGCTATTAGACCACACACAAAAAAAGCAAATGAGCTGCGGAGAATGCGTTGCAGTACCGAGCGAAGCGAGCGTTAGGTACAGGCTGTTTCTTCATGGAGAAACCAGTGAAAAATAGCCTTGGAGACCCATTATTTTCCCTTTTTTTTTATTGCCTCTTTACCACCAAGTTCATACCAGCACGTTCTTACATATATCCTTTTAACTTCTGGTTTCTTTTTCGTTCTAGTCTTTTTTTGTCCTCGTTTGATTTCATCTTATTCTCTCCTAGTTCGGGAGTGATTTGGGCTTGCCTCGCCTCGACATGATATATCCTTATCACACAATCCAAAGCGAAACTAGCGGCAGAATCCTGGTGTGACTTTTTCCATGTACTTAATCTCCCTAATTCTCGTCTGTTAGGGGAATATATTATTCAAATGCGACGAGGAATCCCACTAAACTCTCTGAGATATCTATATACTATCGCTTGCGTGGTGTTGGAATACCCTCTCGTGTCCATCGTGACTGAGAAATGGGAAGAATATACATGTATTACTCCATATATGGAAGGTATAAACCGTATAGGCGAGTCCTAACCCACCTGATGCCTTCTGTCTGTTTAAGGAGTACTTGTAGTCTATTGCAGTAGGAAAAGAATCAGATGCAAGAAGACACCCGCAGGGTCTTTCTATTTAAATGGATGGATTATAGTTGTTGATAAGGTCCTGCTTATCATGCGGCTTCTAAAATGATCTGCTCGGTCAAATCGCACAGACAGGATGAATGAATGAACGACGTAACGTAACGATCGCCTATATATCGCTAGTCTGTGGTTATTGCTTTGATGGTGGATCCTCATGTGCGGCTTGTGACTCCTGTTCGAGGAAGTTGGACCATAACTCCGCCAGCGACTCTTTACTTGTGTTCCCGTTGTCCATAAATTCTGTGGCCAGTGTCGACGTGCTAGGGGTGCGATGGACTGATCCTGGGATACGCAGTTTTCCAGAAGAACTCGATGTTCCTGGGCGTGCCAATCCTGCCTGTTCACGTTGCTCTGTTATATGTTGTCAGTGTCGGGTACTATGAAAATAGGTAAGGTACATATCACTCACCATCATTCCATCCTAAAAGCGCTGCAATAAGTTGGAGGATCTGGAATTTCTTGGGATCGGACCGATCAAGGGCAAGGAAATGCAGTAGATGATTTGTGACAATATGCCTGTGTATATGGTTAGCCATAAGACGAGATGGGAGAGGTAGAAGTGCCGGTAATGAACACAGGAGCGGAAGTATGTCCAAATTTATACATACCTGTCAACATTGTCCTCCGGTTTCCCTTTTTTGAGGAACCGCAGAGCCTTTGTCAGATGATCGTTCAAGGTCACTGCCTCGTGTCTAAGCTTCCCTATCAAGAGATTCTTCTCCCTAACTTCTTTCTCAAACGGTCGGACTCTCTCTAGCTCACTTTGGGCGTTCGCGAGATCTTTATCGGCCTGTGATGCCTTTGCTTCCGCGCCATTCAACGACCGTTTCAGTTCCTCAAGTTGGGCATCAGAACTCTCCACAAGCTCACGGAGTTCTCGTTTCCGTTCTAGGTCCAGTCAGCTTTGATGAATCCCAGGACACAGTGAGGTAGGCGAATTTACCTGTTTGTATCTCCTGTAGAGCCCGTTGCAGTCCATCCACAGTGGCCAGCTCTGAATCGCGTTCGGCGGAAGCTTTTTCGTAAGCATCTTTAAGACTGCCGAGCTGTTCCTCCAGATCTATCACCTTCTCGCCGAGGTTCTCTCTGATAGACCGCTCTTCCATTGCAAGGATCTCCCAATTGTGCATGGCTTCCTTCGCTTGATCGAATTCTGACTGGAGGTATGATTCCTGCTCGAGGAGCTCTTCCTTTTCCTTCAGCCAATTCTGCTGCGACAAGTTCGTCCGATCTCGTAAGGTAGCAAGCTCCTTCGACTGCTCTTCATTTTCGTTTGACAACCCTTCCATCTCGGATTTACTACCCTGTAGCTCTTCGTTTAGGGCCACGTTCTGTTCTTCTAGCTCCTCGATTTTCGACCGCGCTTGAGCAAGCTCCTCCTGTACAATAATTAGCTGATATTCTGGATTGAAGTCGGGTATATGCAGCACGAACAGCATCCTCTTTAAGTCTTTCGCCTAGTTGTGACTTTATGACATTCACCCTCTCCAAAAGTTTCTGGAACTGTGTCTCTGCTTGCTCTTTCTTGCTTTCGGTGTCATCCAGCTTGTGCTGCAGGGCTTCCATGTCCGCACGGTGCTTCGATTGTATTTCCTCCAGCGATTTGCGCATATCTGTGACCTCGGCGCGGAGAGAATCTCGGTCTCGGACAAGCGCGTCAAACTTTTCTTGGGATTGAAGATTATCGGGGGAGGACGCATCGGCCCCGTCGTTCACGGGCGCGGTGCCATCAGGATGCGGGGGCGTCTTTTCCTCGTCGCCTTGCTTATCCGGTGAACCGCCATCTGTGTTGTTCTGTCCCTGTTTCTCCGCTGTGTTGTCCGAGGACTCGGGCGCTTTCGTCTCGTCCGGATTTGCCTGGGCGGCCTGTTGTTAATCATTTAGTATGGAACGCGATTGAACCCCGTGAGAGTCACTTACTCCGGAGTCCAGGGTTGTATCATCTGTTGGCTTTCCGGGTGACTTGGAATCCTTATCATCGGGAGGTCCGGCCTTCGTGACAGCCTTGCCCTTTTTCTTGCTCTTTGGTTTCCCGCCTGCTCAAGAATGATCAGCAAAGACAAGGTCTTGTTGACGTATCGTAGGATTGCAGCATTGCCCACCTTCAGGCATATTTTTGATTGGATACGACTAGAGGTTGTTCGCGCGTAAATTAACGATGATGGTTATTGTCCGGAGTTAGCTAGCGGGTGGTAGGTTCAAGTCCATAGTTGTCAACAACACTAGCGCTGTTTGCATTCGTTGGGTTGATTTCCTTGCTTAGTACGCAAATTCATTTGGTCAACTAAATAAATGCAACTACGCAGCACCATTTGATTCAATCAACTACTGGGGGTTCTGAGACTTCTCTCTTTCTTCAAATATAAGTTCTTAGTAAAGGTTGCTGGTCTAATGTGTTTATACAGACCTTGGTGTTGTTGTCACTGCCCTATCTTCCAAGGCGCGCCATCAAGAGTACAACTTCCATTTCTGGACTCATTTTTCATATTATTCCATGAGATTGAGAATATAACTTCTTTCATTATTCATCATTACTTAATTGTAGAACGTCGGGAGCACTATCAGCTTTTCACCGCTTGAATGTGACTGACCTCATCCGTCAAGTCAACGATGAAATGTCACACTCGTCCTGCCGCGTATTGCTGACAACCATATACCATGGTAATTTCTTGCAGTAGCAAAGCAGACCGAAGCTTTCCACGGGGGACATCACATGAAATCGTCGAGGAAATCAGGATCCCGGTCTTGGTTGCTACTTGCTTCGAGATTCTCCTCAGTCATCAGATCATCATAGGCGTGGTCCTTCTGCCACTTCAGTTGCTGCCGTTCTCTCTTTTCCTGCTTCTCCCTAGCCATCTGCTGATCCCTCGTCTTCCTCTCGTCTTTCCGCTTCTTCGCCAGATACTCTTCTTTCTCCGCCTTGAGGTCCGGGAACTTCTCGTCTCGGGTCTTGTTAAGTCTGTTGACGATGGCGTTCTCTCGTTCCTGGACAAGGACCTTTTTGACCAGCTTCTGGTTATGGAATGAGACCTGTCCAGTCGCCATGGAGCCGTCCTTCTTGAGATTCGACCATGGCGTATAGATGATTGTGATGTTATCGCGTTTGTTGCCTATCGAGTTGTTTAGCCGCGGGGCATTCCCTCCGAGGAGTGCGACAGGCGAGCTCTACCGTCTATGGAATTCGCTTTGGTCAATTGAGCGCAATCCTCTAGCAGCGGCTCCGGGATATTATCCCATGTCTCCCCTTCGCGCATGCGGAGGTAGACGTGGGCACTGGATAAGTTGTCGACGTGGAACTGAGGATGGTGTTAGATGGTTTTGTTTCTTCCGTCGCGCGAAGGAAAAGGCAACGAACCCTAAGGAATCAATACAGGCGCCATCGTTAAGACTCGTTCAGTGGTAAAGCGACGGAGGAGTGAAATACCAAACATCCTTCTCCAACCCATGTTTTATGAGATCCTCATCTGGCAAAGTAATGTTAGGTCAATACCATAGACCTTTGGATGAAATGTTGGTAACCATACTCTCGAATTTGTCCTTGCCGACGTAGATGAACGCGGAAGGTTCAACGACCTTTGATGTGAAATAATACACCATCTTCTCTGTGCTTGTATTCCTCGGTTGTAACTCAACCAAACAGCATCAATCGCCTCGGGTCAACCTGTTGAGTGTGCAACCCAGGAAAAATTTGAGCTCCAGGTCACTAACTGCAGCATTTCGATGGTGGGGAGGGACACTATGTGGGGATTTAATCTGTGCCAATCTCATCCTAACCTCGTTTTCAATGAACTGATTAGTCATTATGCTGGAACACCCAACATCCATCCAATAAAGTACCTTAGCAACTCAACTACCTACGGGGTAGTACTACGAGTAGGTACTCTTTGATTGATCGAGGACTCGAGAGGTAGGGTATGTTATCGACATGGGTAAGCGGGTATGTGCCTCTGAAACAAGCAGTTGAACGCCTGGCATATCCTTAACAAAACGAATGACCTCGGGGAATACCATGATGCTGTGTCTCAAGACCAGCAATCCCTGGTCATAACCGATGTGTTTCAACGTCTGATCTGACCTCATGTACAGGGGGGTATCATTGAGAGATCGAAAAAACTTACAGTGTTCACAAAACAGGTAATACCCTGTACTATCATGTACCAACCGGATCCTCTGCCTCCGAGGTACAACCTCTTGGCATTACAGACAGACAGCCTAGTATTAAACCCCGATCCAACAGTCAGTTATCGGGCCATCATTGTTTCATGTTTCAAGTGGTTCTCCAGAGTGGGTCATGACACCGGGATTGTATACTCTTAACAGTTAACAGTGGTCCCCCGAGATGACCAGGAGAGAAAAACCGTTACACTTAACCCTCTAGGCTCCCTGCGTATACTTCGTACGGCGGATGAGCCCGTCCAACCGCCCCACCGTCTATCCATCATCCTACTCTGTGACTCGCAAGGACGCCGGAATCAAGAATGACTGCCCCTTAAGAGGGTCCGGGAAAGAAGGGGTGAATTTTTGGATTCCTTGTCGGGTATTTTTAGTGTATATAGGTGTATACTTGGATTCTCTTGCTTTCTCGTACGGAGTACTAACCACTGCACTAGATATGAAGATGTATACAATAGACTCAGGTCATTAATGGAATAGACAAGTATAATATTTTGAATCGATCACAGCCGAAATGCGTTTGGCAGGAAAAAGATAAGGGCCATCAGGTATCATTAGTACCTAGCATCCTATCAGGTTACTACAGGCTCCAGGGTACAGAACTATTAATATCCAGAATACAAAGTCCTAGTCAGGTAGTATCTCATAGTATCCCCATTACCTGAGTAATTGAAATCGGTTATTATATGCATACATCCCTCGTCGTCCTTCATCATTGTGCTCCATCACCCCTCTTTGCTCCACTCGGACGAGACTAATTTCAAAGGGTTCGGAGCTGGTCAAGTTCAGATTACAATTTATTTAATTTTTTTTTTTTCTTTCTTTCTTTCTTTCTTTATTCTCCCTTTCCCCTTCTTCCTACTGGGGTCTCTAAAAATAATATAATACATATATATATATATCTCTCTCTCTGTGTGTGTAATTATATATATCCCCTCTCCCTTCTCTCCTGGAAATGGATCATTATCATGACCGTTCGACTCTTCCCATCAAAATCGACAACTCCGATTTATGAAAGCTCCAATTGATGCATATCACCAGGGATTGATTTTCACTCTCATTTGCATTCTCAACAAGAAAAAATAAGAAAACAAAATCCCCCAAACAACCACACCCTCTCAAACTCAGTACCAAAGTACAGCCTACACAGAATGCCCAACTCAACTAATCAAATGGGCTTCCGACAAGCACTAGAAGAAGCCCGAGACCGCGACGACGAAAACATCCCACCCCACATCAAGAAAGTCCTCGAAACCGCCATCGACGAGCTGTGGTCGAGAGTCCAGAGCCAGCCGGACAGCTACGTGCTCGATCGCGACGAGTTCGCCTTGTTCAACTACCACCGCGAGCGCTTTCGAGGCTCCGTCATCGCCCAGAGGGCTGTCGCGCGGTTCTGGGATAATTATCGACGGGATAGTCCTAGCCAGAAGACTTAATCAATGAACTTTGATTTTGCTTTCTCTTGGCTACTTCGCTCGCTTTGAACGCGCCAGACCGAATCCTTCGATAACTTCGATACCCACCCACCCTCAGATTGTTGAAAACAGAGCGAGCGAGCGCATGAGAGCACCCGACTAGGTCAGGCTCCTTGTATATCAAAGACAGGAGCTAGGATCTCGATATTCTATACTAGCTCGAAAGGCAACGACAAGCTTCTAGTCTCCGGTGCCTAACCCCACGCGCATATCTGGGACAAAGACACGGAAGGTCGAAGGAGATATCAATCAGCTGTCGCAAATCACGCAAACCATGGCGGAGACACGTCTAGACGCTCGTCTCATACAAACAAACATCTTCCTGCTGCGCCATGCCCGAGTCAACGACTAGCCACGGCAATCGTATTCCAAAAAAAATGATGATATGGGGCGTTTTGGGCGTTGGGTGGTTGGGTGTTGCGAATGGCGCAGAATGTCTTCTGGATTGGATTATCATATGTATATGTGGCTATTATATTGGATTAAATACACATATCTCCTGACAGCGGTTTCATGATACTTTACTGAGTGTTTTCAAATCCATGTAGTGGACCATTATATTGCAGATTCCCTGACAATCCGCAGCAAAGAAGAGAAATTGTGCCATGTCTTTGAATTACTCTATAGTCATACATAATCCTCTAATACAATGTACATATATATATATATATATATTTATATAACCCTACTTGTTCGCGGGGGAATCGGCGCGCATCTGGGGAGAAGCCACAGACTTCATATCCCCGCTGAGCATGTCGGCCGGGGGATCTAGAGAAACATGTTAGTCTCCTGAACGACACATGTCACGATCTTGTAAGCTTACCAGTACGGGCAAATTGCTGCGTGGCAATCTCCGCGGCCTTGACCTTGCCAGCCTCAACCTCGGCCCTCGTCAGGCCAGTCAAGGCCTGAGGGAGGCCCATGGACTTCAGGAATTCGATACCGGACTGGAACTCGACGTCTTTTCGGGCCGCGCTCCATTTCAGCTCCTCAGCCATCAGGTCGATGATGTTGGGGAGCGCCTCGAGCGCCGCTTCGGCGTTGAGGAACGCCAGGCGGGTTCGGCGGGCAACCACGTCGACGGCAGTCTGGGCGTACTCGTGACGGACGGCATAGCGGATTTCACCATCGATGAAGGGATAGAGCGGGTTGAGACGCTGGCCTCGCATGGGGAAGCGGGAGTTGGTCGGGGCAGACAAAGCGGCCACCTGCCAGGCCCGATCACCGTAAGACTGAGTGAGATGCTGCGCCACCTCCGTCTCCAGGCCGAAATGCTGGATCAGGTTGATGAAGAGGGTCTTGGAGAATCCGTGGGCACCGATCAGGCGGACCTGGTGCGTCTGGCAAGAGCCATCAAGGACAGCTCCGTCGGCGACCAGCCCGCTGCCTCCGACACCACTGATGTCCGGAGCATGCAGCACATTCTGGGGTTTCAAGCCAAACTGCTCAATCGCCTCATCAACACATTCCTCGGCCATTTGGCGATAAGTCGTCCACTTCCCGCCGGCACACGTCAGAAGCCCAGACGCGGACACGGTGATCAGGTGGTTGCGAACCAAAGCCTGCGAGGTCTTCACCTTGGGATCGCGGACCAGGGGGCGGATTCCAGACCACGCGGCCAGCACGTCGCTTCGGTCCACGTTGATATCCGGGGCCAGGTAGTTGCGGATCTCGGACAGGATCCAGTTGATATCCTGCTCGGACGGCAGGGGCTGCGTCGAGATCTCCGTCGGCTGGTCCGTCGTACCGGCGATTGTGTTTCCCTGCCAGGGAAGGAAGAAGATGACACGGCCATCGGACGTGGCGGGGTCGATGAGACCCATGTCGGAGGGGCTGTAATATCCGGGGAGGATCACGTGAACACCGGAGCTGGGGGCGACAATCTCCTGCACGGTAGGCTCGTCCAGCTTTCTGATCGAATCGGTGAAAGGACCGGTGGCGTTGATGATACCCTTGGCGCGGATGGGGAAAGACTGGGCCTCTTTGCCATCCAGCCCAGGGACCATATCCTGGACATAAGCACCATCCAGCTTGCCGGACGCGTTCTTCGTGAGGCCGGTGACCTGCATGTGGTTGACCACCGTAGCGCCATACAAAGCACCAGTCATCGCAAGCGAAACGTTCATTCGGGAGTCGTTGTGGGCGCCATCTGCGTAGGAAGTCAGTTAAGCACGCTCGTTACGCGCAAAGTGATCTTGTGTCCATACCGTAGTACACCATGGCGCCGAAGAGGTTATCTTTCCGCAGCATCGGGAAGACATCGATGACCTTGCTCTTGGGGAGGAAGTAGGAGCTCTCGATGCCCTCTGCGCCAGCCAAATAGTCATAACACTTGGTGCCGACCCAGAAGTAGGGCGCCTCCCACCACTTCTGCACGGGGACCATGATAGGGAGCCAGTTGGACAGATGCGGTGCGGTGTTCAAGAAGTACTTGCGCTCTCTCAGTGCCTCCTTCACCAGTTTGTACCTGTCGAAGACCGAGTTGCATGTCAGCGTCACATTTTCGAGGCTGACCGAACAGAAAGATTCGAGGATCACGGGGGAACTGACTGGTTGTAATCAAGCTCCCATACGGCCTTCTCGAGATAGCGGACACCGCCGTGGACGAGCTTCGTGCTCTTACTGCTGGTGCCGGCGCTGAAATCGTCGCGCTCCACCAGCGCCACCTTCAACCCTCGTGTCGCGGCATCGAGTGCAATGCCGGAACCGGTCGCGCCACCACCGATGACCAGTAAATCATATTCTTCTTGACCACCTGCAGCACTGCGCTTCAGGTCTTGGATCTGTTCGAGGCGAGATTTGATGTTGGGGAAACTCGGAGGCACGAGTTTGCCATTATGGTAGCCTGGCGGCGGGACTGCAGGAGCCTCGGATCCCGGGATATTGCGCGGACGGTAGGAAACATAGAGGACACCAGCACCTGCTGCGGCGGCGGCGGAGGTGTAAAGCAGAGGTCGTAGTAACCTACGAGAATGACGAGCGGCCATTGTGTTTGCGAAAATCTCAGATTACCAGAGAAAAGGACGAATAGGACGGCAGATTCTCAGCCGGCAAATTTTGAGCTGCGCCAAAGATTGGAATCCTAGGGCCAGGAATACAACACTGTAAATCCAAGAAAATCCAAGAAATCTAAACCAGCGACTCTTAGTCAGACAACCGTTACCAAACCGGAGGCGCATTCTGGTGGCGGCATCCCGAAAGCGGACATCGTAAGATATAGATAACATACCTGGGCAGGACTGGAGTATGAAGGTTGAAGAGAGAGAGAGAGGGAGAACAAGAAGGGGAGGGGAAGTAAGAAGTAGACAGGTAGCTGGGATGAATACGAGGGAGAGAGGGGAAAGTGGGAGGGGGTGGACTAAAATCTGATCGAGTGGGAGAGGATGCGAAAGTCGGGATCAGGATGGAGAATTAAAAGGGAGGGGAAAAAAGGGCGTGAGGATCCTGGAAAGACCAATTGATGGACGTGAATCTGGTTGGAATATAGGGCGACCAGCTAGGTAATAAATAAAATTCTCCTCCAATCTCCTACTCAATGAGTCAATGCATATGCCGGAAAACCTTCTCCAATCTGTAAGCCGCAGCAGCGCCTCTTCCCTAACGGAGGAGGTACCTTGATGCGACTTCCGTGGTACCACGTACGACCTGAAAATTTCATGCGTCATGAGCTCCTCAGGACAGGAATCCGGGAATAAATTTGGAGGCAGGCTAGAGCCTACTAAGAGGTCACGATGACGGTATCCGCAGTGTAGACTAGTCGCGTCCCGCCAATGATGAACTCGGGAGCGACGGGCGTGGGTGGAGATGCTTCATCCAGACGCTGTCGTGTCCCCGAACTCCGTGCCCGCATGTGACCAGCAAACTTTGCTAGAAGTGGGGCTTAGACTGATAGAGGTACTAGTGAGGTACTTTGTCGCTACTATGTATCCTCTGCTTTCCTTATTAAAGAGACTCAGTCCAGGCCTAGTAGTTCGGTAATAATCAAAACTCCTAAATAAACCCTTACCTAGGGAAAGGCCTTATCTATATACTCCGTCCGAGTACATGAATATTCAAGCTAGACGTGAATCAAGTGGATCACCTGACCACGCTGGAGCTTCCTATTCGAGTGGATTTGTCCTCTTTCTTCATAACTGATTCAGTTCTCAGTGCGGATACTTAAACCCGTCATAACCAGTATCTCAATTGACTGGTTGAATTGAATGGGTGACAGGGCATTTAAACCCTTCCATGATTCTCAATAGTGAATACTCCTAAGAGATGATCACTAGAAAGTAAGCGCAGTAGATCATTTTCCTTCTTTTTCTTTTCCATCCCAAGTGGGGCCCTGGGCTTCCCCTGGGATGGATTCCCTACCCCTTCTCGCTGCTCTTGGGTCAAACTTCTCAGAGGGACGACCCACTTGTCCAGGCCTGGATGAGACCGACTATCTCCTCCTCCAGAGAATGTGTATGGTCTGTCTTAGCTCTGAGTTCCACTTCCTGCCATGCATTCTTTTTTAGGATGCCTCCACTAAAGTACTCATGTGAATGCGAAGAGATTTTTGGTTTTCTTTTTCTTTTCTTTTTTTCCTTCCTTCTCCCTTTCTCCCTTTTTTGCTCTTTTTTATCTAGTATGATACTATTAATATTCAATTGATTTAGCTCCATGTAAAACGATAACAATAACCTATCATACAAGTTTCTCAGCCAATCCTTATATACCCTTATCTATTCATTCTCTTATATGATTTACTTTATATGATAGATGAAGGTAAATCCATGGAACATTCATAAGAATTACGCGGCCATATTCAAATCATGGCACAGATCACGAGTGGGTCAACGCTCCAATTTACCACCCGCAGGGCCAGAGAATTCGATGATGTGGCCATAGAACCCGGTTTTGTTGCTGGATATCTTCCACTCGATGAAACATGTCAACATTGATCTCCAAATGCATAAAGGACCTTTTAATATTTATTCTACAATGTCATTTACCGAGACGCGACGTTTTGTATATCTGGACCTGATAGCCCTGCTGGAGTAAACAATCATGGAGGTGACGTACCCGTACCTGCACAACCTTGTCCTTGTAACCTTGACTCAGCAGATCCCTTGCCACCAGGACTCCCATCGTCATTATCCTCAGGGCCTCCACCAATGTCATAGCAGACTATCTGGTACATGACTTCACAGTGTATATCGTATCCCCACATTAAGAACCCTGATCTGGTCAAGGCGCTAGGAGTATAGAGTACAATCTATCGTGACTATACTTATCGTGTCATATATTTTATATATCTTACAACATGAACTCATCCTGTACAATGGCATTAGAACCATTACCGGGCGCATGGCCCGCCTTTTCCGATTCTCTTCGGATGGCTGTACCAAGCGTGCACGGGATCTCATGCAATATACCGATGACAATTGACTATAGAAGCATCTCATTATGTTGAGCGTAGGGAAGAAGTTGAACGAGTGACTACCCAAGGCACCTAGCTTGCCTAGGTATGCGGAGGTTGTTGAATGGAAAGCGGAATTATTCCGGGTGCGGAACCTCCTCGGCTGCTCTCTCGACCTCTGTACCCTTGCTGCACCAAATGATGGACCGCGTATTCCTCCAATCTAATACCTAGCTGACCTTACCCCGGCTTTCCTCTTCCTAGGATGTAATCTAAATGTGGGGTTGACGCCGACCTCGTGAAATTACCACTATTCGCGCCTCTCGCAGAACGGAAATGTTCCTCTGCCTGGAATAAGGACGGAGTGTAGAGAAAACAAGACACATGAACCAGCTTATTTCAACCAATACAAAGGCATGCATGGCCCTTCGTTAATTCTCAATCACCCTGGTGGTGAGATTCTGATCCTTTTCTAAATCGAGAGGAACCACTGCAGAGACAACATGGCCATCTCCGCAGCTATATCCTCTCTACAGCAGGTGCTGCTTCAGTCGCCATTGCACTCCCTCGCTGTAGCTACCCTCCTTACTCCCATACTCTATGTCATCTGGAATGAGTTCATTCGCGCCTCAGCCCGCGTCCCCGGATTTGGAGGTCCCCGTGGCCTACCTCTCATCGGCAACCTGGCGCAAATTCGCAAAAATGCCGCCGAACAGTACCGCATATGGTCCAAGACATACGGGCCCGTCTACCAGATCCAGCTGGGAAATATCCCCGTTATCGTCGTGAACTCTGCGGCCGCTGCGAAAGTCCTCTTTGGTCAGAATGCGCAGGCTCTGAGCTCACGGCCTGAGCTCTATACTTTTCACAAGGTCGGTGTCTTCTTCTAGGCGGCTTTGCTTTCCTTTATACCTCTAACAGCGTACCGCAGATCGTCTCGAATACGGCCGGTACCACGATTGGCACATCTCCTTACAGCGAATCATTGAAGCGACGCAGAAAGGGCGCCGCGTCGGCCCTTAACCGGCCGTCGGTTGACAGCTACGTCTCGCATCTGGACGTCGAGTCAAAGGCATTCGTTGCAGAGCTATTAAAGTATGGGAACAGTGGCAAGACGCCGGTAGATCCCATGGCAATGATACAACGTCTCAGTCTGAGCCTAGCCCTAACCCTGAACTGGGGGGTCCGGGTCGCCTCTCAGGAAGAGGACTTGTTCGACGAGATCACCGAAGTGGAGGAGGAGATCAGCAGATTCAGGAGCACCACGGGAAATCTGCAAGATTACGTCCCTATCTTGCGACTGAACCCGTTTAACACCAATTCGACAAAGGCAAAGGAGATGAGAAACCGCCGCGACAAATACCTCGGCGATCTCAATGGTGATCTGGACGACCGAATGGCAAAGGGCACCCACAAGCCCTGCATTCAAGCGAACGTCATCCTTGACAAGGAAGCGAAGCTCAACAAAGAAGAGCTCACCTCTATCAGCTTGACTATGCTTTCAGGAGGCCTTGATACAGTTACGACACTCGTCGCCTGGAGCATCGGTCTTCTCTCACGGCGCCCAGATGTCCAGGACAAGGCAGTCAAAGCTATTCAGGAAATGTACAGTACGGGCCAACCGATGTGCGACTCGGGGGATGATCAAAAATGCGCTTACGTCGCTGCCTTGGTGAGAGAGTGTTTGAGGTTGGTTACTCGAGTGCGGCCTTTCAAGACACCAGAATGTTAATCATGGAATATAGGTTCTATACTGTCCTTCGTCTCGCGCTGCCTAGGACATCCATCAGAGACATCACATACAACGGCCTTTTGATCCCGAAAGGGACAGTCTTCTTCCTGAATTCCTGGGCGTGTAACATGGGTGAGTCGCAGTCAATTCCTTGCTGTTCCGAAAACCCCAGTCCTCCTCGGATACAGCAACACAGCAACTCTCCGATACTAATCTTTCTTCACCCTAGACCCCGAAGTCTGGAGCGACCCCGAAGAATTCCGACCAGAAAGATGGTTCGAACAGCCCGATGCACCCATGTTCACCTACGGAATGGGCTACCGCATGTGTGCCGGCTCCCTTCTTGCCAACCGTGAACTATACCTCGTCTTCATGCGGACTCTGAACAGCTTCAAAATTGAACCACACGACCAGCCTGATTGGCACCCTATTGAGGGCAATTCGGATCCCACCAGCTTGGTGGCGATCCCCAAGAAATACAAGGTCCGGTTTGTTCCGAGGAACGAAAAGGCTCTTGCTGAGGCTTTGGCTTGATATTTGTCGTTGGATCTTGGTGACCTGGGGGAATGCGTCGCTCAAACTCTTTGATGGCGCTGGCATATATTGGGTTTTTATGCTGTTGGCATCTTGTTATCTGAATGCGAAGCCATTTCTAGTTATGCAAACTGATATCTACCATCAAAGAGTCTCGGATAGCGTCAGGTGTCTCGAGAGGACAGAATTACGATGTTCATGCCTTGTTTTCTTTTTTCTTTTTTTTTTTCAAGGAATACGTTGGCCTAATGACGTGACGTCCGATTCTATGATGGATAAGCTGTCCTTCTTCAGAGGATTCAAATGGACGTCCTCACGGAAAATTTAGTCCGCCAGCAAAGTAAATGACTCAAATTATGTGAAAAGTAAATGATATGTCTACGGCTTGACACTCGCCTATATCAAGTACAGCAGACACATTCCTTGGAAATTCTCACCACACTTGCTTGAATTTCCTTCTCACATAGTCATGGCAGCCCGCAGGCTCTTCTGGGTATGCGGCCATTCGCAAACATGGCCGTCACAAGCACCCACAGTCATATATATAAAGACAATACATCATATAGCGGGTAGACAGAAACCACGGCAGGTGGTAACTATACAGCACGAGGTATAGATTTGCAACACATTCAAAATGCATCAATTCAGCGGTGTTTTTCCAACCAGTCACACCTCGGATAGTGATTCGGATCGCGAGAAATCAACATGATATCAAGATCAGGTATCTGGGAGTGCTAGGGCCTTCTTGAATGGCGAAGTTGGTCAAAGCATCCTGCATAGTGGCGTAATTCGTTTTCAAAAGGAGCTGATATTGTCAGTGCTTTGGAAGGGTTGGATTTGAGGGTCAGGAGATTATCATATGACGAGAGACATCTTATACATGGAGCTCTCAGAGGTAGAAGTATGATGAAAACTACCTTACCATGTTGATCGGGTGCATTTGACAGACTCGTCGCTGTTGAATTCGCCCGTGCACCTGTTGACCCGCCGTGTGTCTTTGGGCCAGAGGATTCCCCGGACTTAGGGACGGTGATATCTAGCTCGGCCATCCTGCATGACTGAGTGCAGTAAGGAGCTCCCATGGTTTGTCGGTCGCAGACCAGGCAAAAGTCAAGGGACCATTGGGTCGTCATTTTCTCATGGTATTTGACCTGGTTTTGTGTTAAAAGAAGAGGAAAGATGGGGTCCAACGGCCGAGTCATTGCGAACAAAAAGGGACTGTACGGGACCAAGTGCAAGGTCTAGCGAGCACGGGTACGATCAGTCCCAATTGATACATTTGGAGCCCATACCATGTAGCACTCAAAACTTGGACAGTTACAGAGGACCACAGAGCGTCAATATCTCTTTGGGGCCGATTGGCGAGGAGGTGGGTTGATAACTGTGATGGTAGAGCATCGACGGTGATGAGGACGATGGACTTTTGTTGTTGTCTTGGTTTCTAACGGACTTAAGTACTGTTCGAATGCAATTAATAGCGCATTGGCCTAGTCTTTTTTTTTTTTGCCTGCCACTTTATGGGAAGTGCAGGGTTCCAGCGGGGTCATGGTCATCCTGGCGCTCCAGTCATGCACACATGGTACTAGTACGGAATAGTTAGTGATCATTTCCATCGATATGGGCGGCTACTGGCTGAGACAGGTTCTTGCGCCCTGGGTCAAGTACCTCCCCTGATAGTTGGACAGTACGGCAGCGGGGTTCTGAGAGTGGCAGCCTGCATCATGCATGATGAAACCTAACTTGGCGCTCACATCATGCTCCCTCTCTTCCTCCCTTTCTCTTTGGGATGGATACGTCAGCATACCTGTTGTCTTCCAGCGCATATTTGCCTCCTGTTCATGAAGTGCCACGGTGTTACGCAATTCGATAATGCAATTTGCATAACTTGAGTTAAGGGAGGTAGCAACTTGGGTTGATGAGAATATCGGCATTGACCAGTAGACATATAGATTATTTCAAAGTAGGGGACAGGGATGCTCAGGATCAATGACACTCAACCTTGAGATCGACATATGAATAGAACCTGCTTGAACAGAGAATCCAATAATAAGGTGCGATTATTAGAATAGTTGTTTAAACAGTCCTGGGTTGTATATATAACTGCGCTGAAACGAGACTGACTAATTATGTAATCTGTGATTCACGTCTGTACAGGAACCCCATTCATACTGAAAGTCAAGAGGCGAACGATAGGGGTGTCAGGTCTCCGGACTTAATTTGATACTTGTTGCCTGACCTATCTTGTCGCTGGTCATCTCACAGTTTTGGGTATCTTACCCCGAGCCATCCACACCAATAGAATGATAGATAGTATTCCCCCTGTATGATGGCAATACGTGGTTTACACACGCCATATGCCCACTTTGTTTCCGCCCCACTCAGTGCAAAAGACAAACAGAAAAAGCGGATCGGCAACGAGATAAAGCCCCGGATAAGAGAGCCGTCTTCGTGGAAACTTTTCACCCTCTAAGACGCCATTCTCGAGTGAAGTAAGATACATGTAGGCTGTGTGGCTCCCACACCTGACAAGTGACTCTATACAATATACAAACTGTGTTGCATATTGAATATGATCGTCAAATATAACCAGGGTAACGCCTTTAACGGGACGAATAAGCCGACATGTAGACGCATAGTCCAGTGTAAATAGATCCAGCCATCTTCTCCAACGTGGTTCAAGTGCGCGACAGATGGTGTGATGTGTACTAGCATCGCAACAAGTCAAAGTGACTCGGCCATGAATGGAAACAAGTTTAGGTAAAAAAATTCGTCTGATTCATCGCTTGTTAGAAGCGTTCTGTTGCGCTTCCGGTATTCGGACCAACGTGGCTGGCATAGGACCGTCGGAAGTGCCATCTTTGGGCCCAGCCCCCGATGCCTGCCCCGTTGTCCCCTTCGTATGTGCAACATTTGCTGTAGGGTGGGAAGACGGAGTCAGCAAATCTGAGGACAAAGGCAGGTCCAAGGAAGGATGGATAGCTTTCTTTAAGGCCAGCCAAGAGTTGAAACTTACTGGAAGCCATCCCAATTGCCCGTAAAACATTATCCCAATTTGCAAGCACACACGCGACGGCTAAAGGAGCGGCAGAGGTTAGTGGCACTTCATTCTCCGCCCGCCCTGGGAATGCGACAGGCCTGTTCATGGTCTATTAACAAACCTTCCGTGCCATCTTTTAATGTGCCCAGCTTGCTTTCGAGGGTCTGCATTTGCACCGCGAGCGAGGCACTCATGTCTCGTAACTGTTTCAGGTTGTCCAATTCGGCCTGCTTGGCAGCAATACGAGAAGCTAGCGCAGTGGACTGTTGTTGAGAAATATTATGGTGACCGCTGGGTTGGCGAAGGGATGCTGCTGCCGATGTCCCCGGCGCAAACATTGAGGTAGGGCGCGAAGGATATGCCATCATGTCAAATCCGTATCTTTCATCGTTCACCCTCTGGGGGAATATATCTCTACTGCTCAACTCAGTACAGTAGGCCCACTGCTGGGCTCGAAGCAGGACGGTGACGCTGCACTTATCCTGATAGTTAACAATCGCGTGTATGGATAAAGATGGGTTGGTACTTGGTAGATACTGATAGCAGTACCCCTCCCGAGCCTACACCCATTTCGGCCTTAGCGGCACGCTAACTCGAATCCAGATAATTGTCAACAACCTAGGCCATTATTGACACCCAGCTAAGGTTCTGTTTACATCCTCTCCGTGCAGGGCATTGCTGAGTATGCACGTCATGCTATGAAACCTCTAGCACACAATATAAAGAGATTTCCATTGAACCAATTTACGTCGCCGATTTACTTGCTAGTAAGAAAAGAAAGGAAGGGGACGCGACACCAGAACTCGCGTCGGTGTTGAGATATGGCTCGGTTGAATGAATCAACGGCCGCGACCGAGTCTTTTGAAATTTGTGAGTTTATATGGTGATCCTTGTCGCTGCCCTTTTTCTCCCTCTCTATGTTGAGATATCTCCCTTTACTTCCTCATCAAAATCCAGAGAATCAAGGAATTAACGTGTATCGCTTCCTCCCCCTAGTGAAGCGACGATTCGTGCGACAGAACCGTGAAATTGCCCGCGTCAATTCAATCCAATCCCTCCGAATACGCAGTCTTGAAGCCGAAGTTTCCCACCTCCTTTCAGAGAATGTATCGCTTCGAGAGAAGGTCATTACCCTCAACCAGGAAATCGAGAGACTTGATGCGGCAAGGTTGCTCCACGATGGTGTCAATGAAGTGAAAACAAAGCTGGAGAATAAATTGCTGGAATTGAACGGTTTGGTCTCTGATTTGGGGGCCCTTCCGCGCAAGTTTAAGCGTTCCAGTGATCTCTCGGATGAAACGGCGTTTGAGAAACCAACAGTGACGTCGTCGAAATCAGCCGATGGACCTATGAATATCGAAAGGAATTCAATAATTGATGGAGGAAAACTGCCTGTCATCTTAGAGGACAAGTACTACCCGAGACAGACCTTGGAGTAAGTTCCATCTCGTGTCCATATGCTTTATTCGGAGTGCTAACGCAAGGATGATCAGTCCCGAGGAGTTGCAGCAAATGGTCAATAACGACTCTGATGCCCCAGATTCACCAGAGCTAGAGGCTTCCACCCCTCAGCCTGACTTGGAACACGAGGATCTCTGCCAAGAGCATCCAGAGGATCCCGTAGAGGTGGTAGGTCTGAATGTTACAGAGGAGCAAGATGAAGAGCCTCTCCCTCCAACTCTCGAAAGAAGGAAAAAGAAGAAGCCAATCACCACCGTCGGGCCATCACATAAACTGGGCCCCGCTTCTATTTCAGAGCAGAAAGGATGTGTCGCCAATGCAAAGTCCAAGCGCAAATTCATGATGGAGGAAAACGAAGAGCCTGAAGTAGGCTCGCCCGATGACGACGGTTTCCAGTTCAGTAGAGCCGCCTGTCCCCAGAAACCTGCGGACGACAGCTTTCAATCACCTCAACCAAAGTCTTCTCCAAGTAAACAGCGAACTCAATCGATACTAGGGGAGAAAAGCCAGGGGCATCCAAAGAGGAAGATGCTTGAACCAAGTATGTCAAATCGGCAATTATGCCAATGTGCACTGACTGACCACGCAATAGAAAGCGCAAATTCAAATGTTATCTCACCGAAGAAACGTCGAGCCACGGATTTTCCAAACCGGAGCTACAATAACGCCCTTCCTGGGGACGCCAAGAGCGACGAGAATCAGATTGCAAATGACATATACGCAAAAGAGAGCAAAGGCCACCAGCAGAAGAATGCCGAAATCCTATACGAACATGAGCGTTGCGGAACCGAACCCAGTTTGGTTCAAGACGACGCAAGCTCATTATTACAAGCCCCTTCAATATCATTGGAATTGTCTGGTTACAATTCAATGGACATGGCATCGAACGCTCCGGCACGGCCGACAAGAAGGCAAAGGGCAGTAGTAAGCTACGCGGAACCAAATTTGAGAGACAAAATGCGGCGCCCGACAAAGGGCCTGATAGCTGCAGTCAGTGATCAGTCTAGACGATCCTCCAATTCCCTAGCTTCGCGAGCAAGCATGGGCGATGAGGACGAGACGTCAAAACAAGACAATGGCAATAAGCGCAAACCGCGCGACTCAAACTCTAATGACCGTGAAATGCTTGCAATTGACCATTTGGACAACGGTTCCTTTCAGCAAGCCCAACCTTCGAGCATGGTTTCTCAGAGGAAACGCAATACTTTGTCAGAGACCAACTTTGAACTTCAAGACGGGGCGAGGCAGTTTCGACGACATTCCTCGAACCCTAGATCGGCTCGACAAGACCCTATCGATGAAAGCGACACATCAATGGCCAATTCGGGAATGCAGGCTGGTTCCTATACATCCGCACTGGATGCTATCAGCACCCTAGAGGGTAGATATGCTGAGTTCGAAGACGGCAAGCAGATTCACGACGAGACCATCTATTCACAGTCCACTTTACCCACAGCAGCGGAGACGAGACAAATGAAACGCGGACAAAGAGCTGCTGCTAGAAGGAGAAGCATGTTATTATGAGGTGTAGAGTACTTGAGCACTTTCTTGGGCAAGGCGTTGAAATTGTTTTTTCTTATGCATTGTTCGGTGGATTCAACTTGAGAGGCATGATATAGATACCGAATTTTATTTCTCAGTAGTCCTCTCACAAGTGTCAGGACTTTCGTCCAAGCCAAACATGTCTTGAAAATAATTAGATAACTTAGAATAAGGAGGATCAAAGGTGAGATGCACTGGTGCGCGTTTTTAAAAAATGTACAGCAAAAATGTATGGGGCGCATTTCAGATATATTACAAAATCTCATCATCAGTCATTCAACAATACCATGCCGTGAAAAAGGGAATGACTCTTCTTCATCGCTATTTAGAAGTCCGGGGCATTTTCTCATAGGCGTTGGGACTCGGTTTTCTCCGCTTGCTGGGCCGCTTATGGCGGTGGTCTGCAGAGCAGGTGTGCTCCCTTCGTATTTGATTCGAAGGACCGTCCTGTGAGTTTGTGCTGCGCTGAGCATTCGAGCTTCTCCGGGCACTATCTACTTCGCTATCACTATCTGACTCAGAGGAGCTGGAGTCGGAGGAATCCGATTCAGAGCTGCTTTCGCCAACAGGTCGAGCTTTGTGGTAAATGCAGCAGACTAGGGTTGTGGAAGATTGCACCCGTGTTAGCTTATCTTATACTTAATTGATAACAAGGGCAAGAGAAATTGACCAAGGGTGGATGATGCAGCCGTATATATGTAACATACCTTTGGAGCTCTTCTTGCCCATTCCTTCATTATCGATAACATCCTCACTCCACCGAATGTGTCTGGCTGAACTTGCGTTCTCCGCCTCTACCTCGTTGGACGCGTTTTCCGCTCGCAACCTTAGCATGCCAAAATTTGAGGGCGTAGAAGAGCCATTCCGATCGTGGGAATGAGACGACTCAGTTTGAGATCCGGAAGTCGCATTTTGCGGTAATTGTCGGTGGTGAGACATTGCGCTCTACCATGGAAGCCCGTCCAGGAATATCCGGCAATCGGTGAAATACAGTTTCATTAGTTAGTTCAATGTAGTTCTGAACAATGTGGCAATCGGTGAGGCCCTGTGTGGAGAAGCAGGAAGGAATGGGAGAGGTTGTACGGAGTATTCCATGTGGCTTATACCTTACGTCGTCTTCGTCCCTATCTAGGCGTGGCCACGGCCCGGGAGCCTCACCGCCCGCCTTTCCAAATGATCCACAACAAAGCATCTATGGCGAAGTGTTGCGAATGTTCAAAGAAAGCAAATTGTATAAACGACTACGTGACCTCAATCGAGTAATACATGCAACTATCTGAGGCTTGTTGATTCTCCTTGAAGACTGAATAACCATGGCATCAAAGGCAGGAAAGTGTACGAAGACTAGCATCTAATATGGCGTCTGTAGTAATGTACCATGAGCACTGTAGCACTAGCACCGTTATGATATAGGCCACAGGTCCTATCTACCTTCGCCATCAAGAGCTTAAGGAACCATGTGTCGGTGATGTAACTTGTTGAACAAATTCAAGTTGGGTCGCATTGGCTGCCTCAAAGATCCAGAAAGATCCAGAGACGGTTTCATATATGATCCAGATACTAATAGAACAAAGTGGGAGACGCAAACAAGCTAGCCTGCCACCGCTGTCAAATATACATCGTAGATGGAGCGAGCGATGGGAAAGAATCATTTTTTTCTTTTTTCTTTTCTCAATTCACAAGCTGTAGAAGGACCAGCCGTCGAGAGGATCTTGACTCTGCGACCCGGACGCTTTCAAACGCCCCGACGGTTCATCGGAAGGGGGCGGAGCAACTTCATTGCGCAATTCCTGCTCTAGTCACAGCTCGTCTTCTTGGTCCATTTCAGACGGTTTCAAGAGACCTCCGACCTTCATGGCACGGTCACGCTCCACGGCTTTGGCGTCACGCAGGGCTTGCTCCCTCTCTTCCGCATAAAGCTCCGCGTGGTCGCCTGCAAACTCCTTCAACGAGATCAGGAAGTCCCGCAAATGAGTTTTGAATTTATTGAAGTCGTCATTGAAGCTGAATAGTCCGACGACAAACTGCTTGATTTGAACCCTGAAGCATCATTAGCATCTCTGACCAACTATGAGACTCGTAGGATGAGAAATAAATACTCTTGTAGGTTTTTGAACGCAGTCTGCAAAAGATTTGCAACGTATTCCTGCAGAAACTCCTTGTTGGACGTCCCCAGCGGGGCTTGCTCGGGTGCATAAATAGGATCTTGCACTTTGCCGGACTCGATGAAATAGAACATTCGCGACAGGAGCATTGCTTGGGACTTGAAACCTATAGAAAGACTATTAGCATTCGCGCTCATGTGATATATGACTGGTACATACCAGCTTTGTGATCATTATCAGTGAGCACGAAGAACACATCCTGTAATATGGGGATGTAGAATTGACGGAAGAAGATGTTAGATGTTTGAGCATCAGTTTCGGCCATATTATTCATGAGTTCGAGGCACATTGTGAGGCCAGTGTTTTCGACTTCGCGGTTGTCGTGCTTACTAGCCCACATGCAAGAGTCGATCACAAACTTGAATTGAGAGGCGTCAAGTTTGAGCAATGCCGGGAAGCAGTAAAGGTTGATAGCCTGGAGCAACTTGAAAAATTGCACGCGGTGTTCCGGGTATTCATGGAAATCCTTGTTGATCATCTCCAAAGTGCTTTCGAAGACACTCTCCATGATTAGCGGAACCTTGTCTTCCATCAAGTTCTGTAGATCTGTTAGCAGCAAGTTCTGGAAAAGCAATATTCATTCATCCTGGGGGCCCTAGAAGAACCACATAGCAGGATATATAACCTACATGTAACTTGTGAATGATGGTAGTCATCACATTCAGCACCTCCGCTTCTCGTGCATCAGGGACATTGCGGTTATAATCCACGAGGACTGCTTCAAGAAGCGGCGGTACCATGTTTGCGTTGACCATCTCCAGATCATCCGCCTTTTGCACGTAGATGTCGATAAGCTTAAGAATTTCTTTCTTGATAGTTCTCAGCCCCCTCACTTTCGGAGTCTTGGTTGCAATTTCCCCTATGAATGGCACGTTAGAATCTGCGACACAGGTCAAAAGGAAATGGGTGTATTACCATCGTGCATGACGGCGTCGCTGATAAGCTGACTGGATGCCCGGAACATGTTCAACATATCATGGTAGATGCGCCCAAGCTGAGAATAGAAATAAGTGCCAATCGACGAACAGGCAGCGACATTGGTTTTCATGATATTGCCAATGATTTTGATCGTTTCGCCATCTTGTAGAATCGAGGGATCTTGGTTCGCCTGGGCAATGATGGCATCCCAGGCTGAGTTCGGTAATGACATCAAATTCTCGATCAACCGATCTTGGAGGCCCTTCTGGCCCTGAGCAGATATCATGTATCCGCACGCTTCGTAAAACGTATGGACTTGCTGAGGCGAAAGATCACAAGTGATTTTTCTCATATTGCGCACAATTTCTTCAATGAAGGGTTCGTTCTCTCCCGGCTGGAGTGCGACAAAGTGGCGTCTGCATTTGTTGGCAATCTTGATAAACGTGTCGCAAGCCATATCCTGAACACCTAGTGGAAGTCAGCAACATATATATATACTCATTGAGATGATCCAAAAAACCGACCTTCATGTGTCTCGTGCATGAATTCGAACAATTTGTTGACCACTGTCTTCAAGAACTTCCAGTGGGCTTTCAAGAACCGAGGGTATTGCCCGACGATGTACATGATATTGCTCGCCACAACAGCTTTATTGTCCTTCCCACGTTTCATCTCCGTGAGACCAAGCAGGTCTTTGATGACAGTGACGAGGAAACGCTTTTCAGTCTCTTCATTCATGGCACCCGAGATCGATCCAATTGCCCAACAAAGGGTGTTGCAGTTAACCCATGACCATTCGGATCCGTCAACCTGCTTGGCTAGCTTCTCGATCATGATGTTCTCCGTGTCAACAACATCGAGATGGGTAAGGTAAACCAAGCATTCGCGTATCGTCTTGTAAAGCTGGATTGTATCGCTTTCTTTGACAAACTCCCGAACGATCTCGCCTTCGTCATTCTCGACAATCAAGACTTCTTCTGGGCGTACCATTTTCTCGATCATCACAGTGCGCAGGCTCGAAAGGACCTCTTCGTATTTGTGCTTGCGAAGGGGATAGTTGACTAATGTGCTGGGGTGAGGCGCACCTCCATTTGACAGGCCACTAACGCCCATGTTCACCAAGGGATTTATGTCAGTAATCGGGAGTTGCTGCATTTCTTCATACAGCTCTTGCACCAATCTCGTCCAGTATTCCAGACAGATCTTGAAGACCTCCCTATCATCGATCTGACTGATTCTGATAAGATAAAAGTGCGCGTGTGTCAAATAATCCCGATTCGGTAGTTTTTCAATGAGCTATTCAAGTTAGATATAGCGCGACCACATTTTCAACGCCGTCTCTGCCACGGAAGTCGAGACTTACATTCAGGTGGGCGCTAAAGAAAGAGCTGAGGAAAAGCGCGAGATTCAGTACGAATTCCTGATCCCTGGAGTTGCTCTTCGCAAATACCGGCTTCAGGTCCATCGACAGTGGGATAGTCTTCGAAACAATAGTCAGAGTTTCCGTGAACATGTGAACAAGCTTCTCGTCGTAATTATACGGAGCTCCGATTTGCAACCCTCCGATTTCCGTGAGGCACTTGAGTGTCACATTACGAAACTCGGGGACTTCCAAAAACCGCGTCAGAAGGGTGTTGATGATAGGCGTCTCGAATATATACCCCAACGGGATCCAGTTCAGGAAGCGGAGTAGCGTTTCTAATGTTGCCTTGACTAGAGTCGGTTGGTTTGCCGTATTTAGAACTTCAGAGCACAACTGAAAGATTGACGAGAATTCTTGTGTCATGGAAGTCTTCAGACTCCTGGCTTTGACCGAGGTCATTTGGTCCTGAGAGAAATCGAACACCTCTTCGGATAGGAGACGGAGGATAGCCATATTATTCTCACAGATCGAAAGACTGGTATGGCAAGACGAAATGATCTCGTTGATGAACGTCTCCCAGTTGTGCGGCCATTCCTGTTTCAGGATAGAGACAAGAACCAGATTGAGTTTGTTTAGAAAGGCCCGCTCGCCTCGTAGCTTCTCTTCCGATCGCGAGCTCTCAATGATGAAATTGACGATAAAATTTCGGATACCTGCATGAACCGATAACAAGCGTCAGATCAAAGGTACGACGAAAGAAGTGGATGGCGAGGGGTCGAAGATCAAGAAGAATTTACCCAGGCACTGCTCCCTCGGCAGGACTTTCCATCGCGTCATGATCACATCGTCGAGGACTTGAAGGGCGAGATCTGCACACCATCAGAATATGTTGAGTGAATCGCGTGGGAACGGGTATCGCACATTTGGTCTGCGGATAGGTCGATTCTTGGAGAATATTTCCTACAATCAACCAAGCATCTGGGTTCTGTTTGAACTGTTTATTGGACAAGCGTTAGGTGCATCGCGTTCGAAAAGCGGTCATATACTACTGATTGCAATAAGCTCACCTCCGTCAGAGTCTGTTGTGCTTGCTTTTGCTGATGTTCCGGTAGAATTAGCAATCCATTGTATACAAGATCGAGGGCCATTTAAGGGTAGGGTAAACCAATCTTGTTGGGCTTCGAGACTCACCAGGTCACCTTTTCCTTCGTAAAAGGCGCGGACAGTATTGTCCAGCTCCTGTATGGAAACAGACATTCCGCTCCACGGGCTGGCGATGGGTTTTGGGCCTCAGCTTGGCGTACAATGAAAGAACCCAAGATGAACTGTGGCAATGGAATGATGGAGTAGCTCGAGGATATTTTACTGCTGAATGATATCCCCTAGAGTCCGAGGCGCACGGGAAGAAAGTGAAATGGTTGGTGGGGTAGGGAATCTGCTGGAGGGGCTCGCCAATGTTAGGTAGAGGTAAGCTTCCCAGAGCCCAGTAGGTATGACTTGACTGTATTCCAGGTTTCCAGATGGTACTGTGCGGCGGGCTGTTGTAACTTGGTAAGTGGATGTTTAGTTTAGGACATGGGTAGTATTCTCAGGAACCACAGTATGAACAGAGGTCTGCTACTGGCGGTGAGGAGAGTATTTGAAGTGTTGAAAAGTCCACTGGGTCAGAATACTGCCGTGGACAGTCAACTAGTGCACTACTACTATGTACCTCACTGTGTACTATATTAGTCATCAGTGCTCTAATGACTTGGTTAGTTGTAACTAATCTGGATAGCATAGGGTATCAAGGTGGGGAGTAAAGGATAAGTTTTTTATGTACTCCGTGCCGGGCAGCTGCTATCATATCACCTTAGCAGCTGAAATAGTACCCAATATCTCAGCGTAAAATTGCTATGTACCGTACACTAATTTTATGGATCCTTTGTGTGAATCAACTCATCCTTTTTGCTTAGAATCCATGTTATCCATATGGATGAATACCGGGACAAGACAATTTACTTTCAATCCTGGGATTATCAGCAAAATATCCTTGTCTAGCATGGGCTGATGCTCCAAACCAACACAAGCCCATGACATGCATGGTAGACTCGAGAGATGAATATCCCGTAGCGCCAGGCAGACGCCTGATATGCTGGCATAACAATTAATTACATACTACCTAAGTAGGCATATACTGAAGATAATTGGAGAGCTGAATTCCTTGGATATTGGGAGCATAAAAATTAGCATCCTAAATTTAAGTTGGGTAACAATGGCGGTTATACAAACCACTAGGTGATTAACTATTGTCAAACCCAAGAGTCCAATTAGAAATAGTGGTATTTTGTCCCTTGGCAGACAGCATCAGGAAAATCATAAGCTGTGGCATGAACACGCCTGCGTGGGTTAATATGACAATAGAACTATCATATTATATTATCAACAGGGCGTGGTCATGGAGGAATACTGGATAGGAGCACCAGATGGTGACTAGAGATGTAAAAACAAACACGCAAGGTACTCCGTACCTCTGTCCTAACTAACACAAGTGTGCCTCGGGTTGATCCATTATACCTTCTACTAATTTGCAAAAAAGTCCCAAAACCAACATAACTTTTCCTGACCACGACTTAGGCTCCCTATAACGTATAACAATACGGGTGCACGATCCCAGCAGGTCCGCCCGTGCCAGGATTACAAGTTACCACTTACCACCAACCATTCGCAACCGCGCCTGGGCGTCCAACCTAGCGCCAACGGCAAATAATGTATCAGTCCAACTCGGCGGGTGGTTGTCACTCCACCTCACAATCAAGTCGTGTCCAACTCACCAATCATCTCCCACGGCGTCGCGCTTCCCTCACGGGTGGAGCAAACAGCTGTGGGAAAGACCTGAACCAAGGCATCACTCTGCTGAGTGCTGACCCTCCTTTCCAAGAGTGGCGGGTCGCCTGAGCGCGCCACACCTCCAGCTTGATGTTATGCTAGTGCCAGCAAGTCTCCATGTCTCGGAGACGCTAGATAGAGGGACCAACCAGTCACCAAGCCGTGTCAGCGCGGCGATGGCCGATCGCGCGCCAATTTAGCCAGCTGGCAGCCGCGTCGTGCCAACCGATGGTCAAGGACCTATCAAGAAAGTTATCATCTCTTCTGGAGTCTCAAAACCCCCCGGTCAAAACCTCAGTTGTACCTGCCTGTTCCACCCACATCCGTTTCCTCTTCCCCGCTCTACTTTTCTCTGTTTAGCACATCCCCTTTCCCCCCCTTTTTTTCATTATCTTTCATCATAGAAAAAATGAAAGCAAAAAAATACAAAAATAAAAATAAATTAAAAAAGGAAAGAGACAAAGAAGAAGAAGAAGAAGAAGAAGAAGAAGAAGAAGAAGAAAAACACGGAAAAAAAAAAGAAAGAAAGGAGGAAAAACTGATAAATAAATAATGATGACGATGACAAGAATAATAATAATAATAACGATACAATTGAGCGTTCCAGGCACTTTTGTTTTCCTAGTTTTGGATTAGTGTTTTGTTGGAATTTTGAAGGACTGAGGGGTCGGTCCTTTTGCAAGATGATTACGATTAGGTTGCTCTTGAGCCTATTTTCGTGCTTTCTTGTCCCAGGCGGGCGAAGACGCCATATTAATGTTAATGTCCCTTACTGGCATGCTTCTTGTTGGATTTAGTTTCCCTTCTAGCTTCCCCCCCTCCAACACACTCTATACAGAGTGTATTACTTTGCAATCTCCACTGCAATTACTTGCTCCCCCGCGCACTCCTTGAGTACTGTTGATATCTATCATTTGCAGGATTTACCACTGGGGTTTTCCTGTGGTATCCCTTTTAAACCACCCGAGATTTTCTTCCTAATCTATTCATGGTTACCCCATGGTTCGGCCCCGGAGCTGTCATCCTCCAGCATAGTTAACTATTGCTGGAACTGATAAATCTTTCCCATTTATTTCTGAGCGCTACCCACCATTGGCCAAGTGGGATTCTACTTGTGGCTCAATTACAGATGCCCGCCGACTTTCAATTTACGTGTACCGTCCTAATAATTTGACCTCAGGTTGTACGTCGGATGCTTCCGAGTCCATCTTCTTCGAAAATCTAGAGAGGTCTTACTCTTAACACATCCTCCCTGAATCCATCTGCACTCTTTCCTCGTTCATACGGCGAAGCACGTGACCGGCGCCGTTCAGTGGGATAGATTGGAAGTCGCCTTACAATCAGGGAGTGAGGTCGTTGGGCTCAATTGTCCTGGCCCGTGAGGCCCACGCTATTTCCATATATCACGCCCATGGGCTCGAGTGGCATCTAACCCCCCCTGTGTCGGCAATCGAATCATTCTTTCTAGTTTTTGCCTCAGGGACATTGTACTGAGTCAACTAACTTACCTTTGTCTTGATATTTTCAATGGAACTAGCCTGTGGCGATTGGTTGCAAACGTTGCCCTGAAAGGTCACTTGTCTAGCGCCATAGCACAACAGCTCTGGGGACAGTGGACTCGAAATCGATAAACTAATCTAACCCGAGTTTCCGTTCGCCGGAAAAACCGTTCTATTGTTGTTCAATCGTTGGCCTCCCCGATCTCTCCTCCACAATGAACGATCACGAGCCTGAAAAGGAAATCAGGACAGAGCATAGTCCCTCCCGGTTCACGGCGGTGAACGGGAGAGATCCGCTCGTTCCGGTACCACCAGCTACCGCCACTGCTGCCCCGAACAATGAAGAACATCGAAACCCATCAGAAAGCTCGGGGAGAAGTAGACATGACACCCCATCGCGGTCGGAGGGACCAATGTTGGAAAACGGGGCCGCCAGAAATGATTATGAAGATCATGAGTCGCGCCGGTCGCCATCGCAATATGGGTCTATGGTCACAAACAGAAGCAAGCGAAAAAGGTCGGAATCAGTTGATACAGAAGAAACACGCTTGTTCAATAAAGGCACCAAGACCACGTCATCTCAAGCAGAGGATGCTCCGGATACTCTCACACAGCCGCCCAGTTCAAATGGCCCTACTTTAGCCCACAATGATCATGAAGTAAAGCACGCGACACATCCCTCTCCGCCATTGCATACACGACCGGACGAGAGTGAGGACTCCCGAACTGCACACCCAAATTCTCCTTGGCAAGAATACGACACTCAATTGATTAGCCAAGCGCAACGTGCGCAACAAATAGATCCTTCTGACGCCCAGTTAGCAGAAGCACTCCAGCGCGAGGCCCAAGGCCATGAGGCGACTCAAAAGAGCTGGGGAACGATGGATCGCCCGGTCGATGGGTCCGCGGAGAGTGAACAGTCACCGCCGTTGACTGCTTTCCATCAAGAACGGGCGCCTGGCACCGTTCAAGTCGCCCCAAAGAGAAAGCGTGTTTTCAGCAACAGAACGAAAACCGGATGCATGACCTGCCGCAAGAGAAAGAAAAAATGTGACGAGCAACATCCCGCGTGTGAGTAAATCCCAACGTACCAGCTGATCAACACTTCAACGCAAGCGGATAGCTATATACACCTTATTCGTTGACTGACAACTTTACACTAGGCAACAACTGTATTAGGGGAGGCTTTTTGTGCGAAGGCTATTCGTCGCGGAGCACGTGGCAGAAGCCGTCGAGTGCAAAAGCCCCAGTCCCTCTGCAATCAAAAGAAGGCTACACTGATATCACTGGTCAATATGTACATGATGTAGGTTCGGGACATGAACGCCAGCAAATTCTCGCCGAGCTTGAAACGGCCAAAATGAAACCGATCGTTATAGATGAAAATGAACGTGCCGGAAGTGCACAGTTCAACTCAAGTCCCACGGGGGCTGGTTCTAATTGCGGGTCATGGTCGAAGCGATCTTGGCCGAATACTGCCCATTCTAGCTATCCATCGGATCATCTGGCAAAGTCGGAGCTTAGGGAAGTGCCGCCAATACATGAACTATCTCGGGAAGGGCATCCCAAGACAGATTACCAGATAGTACCCCCGATACGAGAATTCTCTCACGGACCGCATGGGAAACCAAGCGTACCACTCTTCCAACCAGGTATCGATCAGCGGCCAGCTCATCCAGGTGCCGTGGACACCAGTAGCCCCCAAGCCCAGGCGCGGATGGCCCTTAGCATTGAGCATCAGCTATCTACACGCACGTCTTCGAACGAAGAAACGGAAAAGGATAAAATGACTCTGGGCGAACTATATAGGCCCTTTGATATTCACCTTGTGGAAGAAAGGCAACGATGCAAAGCAGCTTTATGGCGCTTCAACAATTCTTGCAACCCCATCTCCGGTCTCAGTATCAAGGAACAGGGTCGTTTGTTAAGAGAAGTACTTGGGCTCTTGAATGGGGGTGTCAATTCACCTTCAGGCGTCACCCCTCGTTCCACAGGATCCATTGGACAAGGCGCCATTGTTGAGGCCCCTTTCCGATGCCATTATGGGTACAATATCCATATTGGAGAGGATACTATGATATCCGAGGAGTGTCTCTTTGTCGATGACTGCCCTATAACCATCGGTGCCCATACGTGGATTGGCCCCAGGGTTACCATCCTCACCTCAATGGCCCATGCCAACATGCAGGAACGGAAAGGCTCTCAGAGTCGCTATCAGGGTCGCACAGTTGCAATAGAAGAAGATTGCTATGTCGGTGCCGGCTGTACAATCTACCCCGGTGTTCGTCTTCGGCGGGGCGCCTATGTGGCCCCAGGAGAGGTGGTGAAATCCGACATTGTGGCATATGGATTCCAAGGCCTCAAACCGAGTTATATGTGAGAGAACTTGCTCTTGTTTATGTATCCCATGACTTTGCAAATATCATTATTCCTACTATCATTCCTGTCTGCCCCATGGGCTCTAGTTTGTTTCTTCGTTGGACAACCTGGGATGCGGTGTGCTTTCTATATGGAATTCAGGGTCCTCTCTCTCTTTTTGTGTAGATTATCGTTTCAATTCTCCACCTCATCCTGTCACCCACATCAAGACCAGAACCGACATCAGTGGTGTCGATAACGTCAAATACAAAAAATTGTCTAGATAGATTGTCGAGTATCTCTCATCATGGAATAGAGGTTCCCAAGGGTATGGAACAAGGTTGGATGGTTTGGAAACCGTAGTAACATGTCAATCGGCAGCTCCAAATCACGATATTGCACGGGCTACAAATTGGTAAGGGGTAACAAGTGCAAAGGTACATTCTCACGATACCTTATGGCGCAAAATCCGCTTGTTGTGTGAAAGCAATCGCGATGTAGACAGATGACTATGAGAGCCAGTCAAGAAACTCCGGCACAAAATAGGTTACCACAATCCCGGCACCAGCTCTTAAAATCCCTTCGGTGCTCTCGAAGGCCATTGCTTTGAGATCAAAGACGCCAGCTTTCGCAGCAGCGTGTATCATTGCGTATTCCCCGCTGACTTGGTAGGCTGCGACTGGAAGATCTGTGGCGAGGTCTTTTGCGTCTCTGATGATATCCAAGTAACTGCTCGCAGGTTTCACCATGATTATATCAGCACCCTCGGCGATATCTCGTTGTATCGCGCGTCTAGCCAGTCCTCGGCCCCCGGGGGGTAGCTGATAGCATCTGCGATCCCCGAACGAGGGACACGAACCGGCGGCATCACGGAAGGGCCCGTACAAACAGCCACTGAACTTAGCGCTGTAAGACATCAAAAGGACCCGGTGTGCCATGCCAGCCTCGATCAGCTTCAGTTTGATAGCGCGGACTCTGCCATCATTCATGTCAGAGGGAGCAACACAATGCGCCCCCGCAGCAGCATAAGCCAGTGCAACGTCGGAGATCCGGTCAACAGATTGGGCATTGTCAAGTGTCCCATCGTCCCTCAAGATTCCACAATGACCGTGCGACGTGTACTCGCAGAGACAAACATCGGTGACAATATAAAGCTGAGGGAACCGCGACCTCAGGAGCCGAATAGTCTGTATGACTGGTCCGGATGGATCATCCGCAGCAGTCCCCAGCGCATCTTTTGCCGAAGGATCGAGGGGAACTCCAAACAGGATGACGGACCGCAACCCCTTGTGGATAAGAGGCTTCAGAAAAGGTACTATGCGATTTACACCCCGGCGGTATTGATTGGGGAGTGAAGGTATCGGTGTCTCTTCTTCGGGATTATCAGTGATAAATAGAGGATAGATAAGCATTTCCTATACACGAGTTAGATGCACAAGTAGACACAGATGATACACATGTTACCGAGGCCCATATGTGGGATAGATACCTTTGTCAGTTGCCGCTCCGCTTGCCATGACCTGCTCAGTGGATGACTATATCCAGCATGAAGTTGGCTCGAGATGTCACCGGATATACTAACACTGGTTGCAGCTGTACTTGTGTGCGACCGAGCAGTGGCTTGCGATCGTACGTGGGAAATCTGGGAGCTCCGATCATCCCGGGCATCCTTAAAGGCCAAATCGGAGACCAAGTTGGAGAAAGACATTCTTCTGCTTGCAATTGTGTGATAGAATCAATTGAATGTTTAAAATTATTTGTCACTCGTGCGCTGATTGATTCCTTGGTATTGATTGCGATATTGCACTTGACCACGTGAAAAAGGGAAAAAGTAAAAAGCAATGACAAAGAGGTAATCACAATAATAACAATGTTGACAGTGATGATAAAGGATAACAAGTAGTTTGAGCGAGTAGCAATTAGGACGTAATTTCCAACAGCACCCAACTGCTGAGCGGGAATTTCAATTACAACACTATCTGTGGGAGGAGAAAAGATGATGGGTAGTAAGTAGTAAAGTACTCTGTAGTAGTAAGACGTTGCAGTAACCGCGGTAGTACTCCGTACTACGGAGTAGTTTACATGGGACCTCGCTCAAGTCCGAGCCGAGGGTGCTGGTCACCCTCTTTCGCTCCCATTTAACTTGCCGGCATGGGGTACTGGAATGGGGTTGGTTAGTCATTTGATTACAAACTGGTTTTATTCTGCTCTCGCATCACATTAAGACTCTGGTATGCATGGCTGTGGCTGTTGGAAATGATGCCACATATACCACATGATATCCTGATGAAACTGCCAAGTAACCCCGAGGATCCCCTAGCCTATTGGTTTATAAATTTTGTAATATAAAAGGAAATGTTATGCGGTACTCTAGATACCACACCAAAGACTCAAAGAGATAACATGGTAGGAATTAGAGTGGCATTTTGGAACCAAACTGGTTATATTACACTACTTTTGTTTAGTAGATTTAAATATATAATTAACTGTAATAGTAAGTATTAATAATAAAATTAAGTAGACAATTATATATATAATTAGAGTGGGTTAACCTGACTGTTATACCTTAACCATAACCTGATCATCCACCACTAGTCAGATTAAGATATAGATTCTCTATTAACCGCCAGTAGACTGGTTAACCATGGTTAACTATTATACCTATACTAGGCCTAAATAAGTTAAATAACTACTTAATTAAACAGGTGGTCTAGAGAGGTAGAATTAAATATTTTAAATCTACTTTAAAATTATATAAATAGATAATATAAGAGATATATATATATATATTCTAAACACAAGACCTAAAACCTTATATAAAGTAAGATATTCGTGATTTTATTTATAAATCCTTACTTAAATAAGTTTAGTTATTAAGAAGAGTTAATCACAGGCTATAACCTAGTGATTAAGCCCTAGGGCTTAACCTGATTATATACCAGTAGTCAGGTTAAGATAAGGATCCTTAACCTAGCCTACCCTGGATGTTGCTTACTCTATATATAATCTAGATATGATTAGAAAATCTTAAATTATTTATTTAGAAAAGTAAAATACCTGATATTATAAAGTATTATATAATTTATCTTGAAAAGAATCTGAATCCGCACTAAAACTTGTTTTAATAATTAAATATATTTATTACTTATTTAGAAAGATAAGTCTTATATATATTAAAATATATATCTTATAATATATATATATATATATATTAAAATATATATCTTATAATATATATATATATATATATAGAAATAATTTTTATAATCTTAATTAGACCTTAAAATAGGGCAGACCTAGATCTAACTTTTAGATCCTGATCCTGATCTACTAGAATTCTAGATTAAAGAATTTCATCTTAATCTATCTTATAATTGAAGATAAAATAGATTAGAATTAATTTATTTTAATTCTAATTTATATAATATTTTTAAGACTTTTCTTTTTTAACTATTTTTTTAGTTATACTTATATAAGATACTAATTTATTTAGATAAAATATTATTATTTATATCTATTATACTTAGTATATTTATAAAAATTCTTATTCAACTCTTAAAATATAGTACCTTCTTAAGTACAGCTTTATATTTTGGTCTTATATATAAATTGTTACGGAAACCCAACGAGGTTAATACCCCACGAAAGGCGGCACAGCCAGGCAGAAGCCCGACGCCAATCGATTGACATAAGGATCGGAACCCTTGCACAAAGATGACTACGAGTCACGTGATACGATCACCTACTCCTAACGTGAGATAGAGGAGTAGCTACGTGATGCGATCACCTACTCCACGCCTACCCCCAGGGAGTAGCCGGAGGAGTAGGCACCAAGGGAAACACATAATTGGAGCGACTCCGGAAGTGACCACAAAGGAGTCACCACGGGAGTAGCCAAGGAAGGATATATAAGAACACTCATTCGCCTGTATCTACAGTTTAGTTAGTCGCGTTCAATAACACTCTCAAGTCTGAGTATACATTTCAAGTCTAGCTTCTACTCGCCCACACTCAACCTAAGTGATCAGGTTTTCGTACCTGACACACCTTACTTCTCTTATCGCTTATTAGTCACCTTTGGACCATCGGGTCACTCGTCGATCGATACAGTAGCACGGCCACTGTGTGAGGCCTCGGGTTAGTACAGAACCCCTCGTCGATAACTGATAGGAAGACCGCAGGGCGCTCTTCACCCCGAATAACCCAAGTCACCAACGCTAGGACGGCAGAAGCGAGAAGGGATCCTAGGGTCTTGACACATTGAACGCCAGTTAGCACGAGTAGAGTCTTGGGTTAACTTAAAAACAAATCGAAACACCATCATGTCAAACAACAACAGAACGGCCGCGCCAACCCCTAGGACTAGCAGTGGAAGCAGTCAGGGAGACGCCAGCGCAGGACCAACCCCAGCAGATGTCGTTGGCATGATCGAGCAACTGCAGGCGCATATCGCAACCTTAGAGGGGCGACTTGCGACCCGCACTGTCAAGGTTAAACCACCAGAGGCATTCGACGGCACTCGTTCTAAGCTTCGTGCATTCCTAACGCAAATGGACATGTACATGAAGATGAACGGAGAGAGACTCGCCGCCGAATCCGACAAAATTGTATTCGCCGCCACGTACCTGAAGGGTCCAGCGTTCGATTGGTTCGAACCCTACATCAGGGACTTCCAGGACAACACCGAAAACGATCGAGGCGACGAAACCAAAGAAGTGTTCAAGAGCTATAACAACTTCAAGGAACGACTCCGTACGACATTCGGGGACATCGATGCGGTTCGAAACGCAGAACGAAGATTGTGGCGACTACGACAGTTCAAATCAGTCAGCCAGTATGCTTCAGAATTTCAGCAGGTCATATCTCAGTTGGATTGGGATGACGACACCTATATTGCACGATTCGAGGAAGGGCTCAAACCAGAAGTTCAAGAGAAACTGATCTGGATGGAACGGCCAGGAACCCTCAGCAAGATGATCGAACAAGCAGTTAAGATCGACAACAAGTTATTCGACTTCAACATTAGGCGCAAAAATCAGTCAGGCAACAGGTACCAAGGCAACCAGAGAACAAGTCAGTACAACGCCAATGATAAACGACAAGCGCAGCCAAAGAGCCAAGGATACAGCGATCCTTATGGGCTACAACCAATGGAGCTAGACGCAGCTCAACACCGAGAAATCCCTAAGGAAGAAAGGGAACGACGTCGAAACGACAGAGCATGCTACAATTGCGGAAAACAAGGCCACATGGCAAGGGAATGCCGATCGGGCCAACAACAGAAAAACAACAATAGGGAACCAAGGAAGCAGTTGAAGGCTACCCGTGAAGGAGCCAAAGGTGCTCAGAACAGCGATAAGGGCAAAAGGTCCAAGGCGGACCCACCAGCCAAGAAATTATGCGCAACCTACGAAATCGATTGGTCAAACGAACCCACGGATCTAAGCGATCATTGGTGGAGCGACGACAACGACTACGACATAGAGGATCAAAGCCATCCTAACGAAGAGAAAGGGACGGTGGAGTCCAACAGCGGAAGCGACAAATTCCACGCAAGAACGGATGGGTCCGATAAAGCCATCAGCACAAATGAGCCAGTCGAAAAGGACGAATTTCCTAGTATAGTCTGGGACGATATCGATCCGCTCGACGAAGAATTCGGTACTCAAGCGAGAGGCCCAAGGCTGAGCTTAGAGACTGATACACCTCAAAATCCCCTAGAACCAGAGAAAACCGCAGAAGGATATTGCGAAGAAGCCGACGCACGGGACGTCGCACGAGCATTGGTCAAGCTAAGGAAGCAATCAATTGTGACCAACAGAATCAAAGAGCTCAACGGAGCCATCGAGGCAAACATCCGCAGCAGGGTCAGGGATTGCACCCACTGGAACCTAGAATGCTGGGAAAAAACCAACGAATCATGGGAAACACACCGATGGAAGCACGCGCAACATTCAGGAACATGGTGCGCGCAGTGTCAGAAAGACAACACCTGGTACCATGACGAACTCGCGAAACTCGAGCACAAACGACGTTCCAACCCACATGGATACTGCGACTATGAATGGTGCTTATGTGCCCATTTTAGGACGCACCCACGGCACAAGGAACTACCATGGATAGTGTGCTACGACAAACATTGCCGACTGCATGACGCAGAAAAGGCAGCGTCAGGATACTCGCCAAAAATGCCAAAGAGCGTGGATGGATGGGGAACAACGTGCCCATGTTGGGACCTACAGTGTTCTTGTAGGAGTTACCCGCATCACCCACACCACAAATACATGGCATGGATGCAGTGCTACGATGACAAGTGCAGGACGCACTACGACGACAAGTTCATCAGCACTTACCTACCACAACTACCGCCATACGAGCGAGCACCAAATTGGCGAAACAAAAAACAGATCGCAGCAACAGGATGGGGAACCCATATCAAGTTTATTGCACGAGTGCACGGACAGGCAGCCAAAGTGATGCTTGACTCCGGAGCAACGGGCAACTTCATGGACCCTCAATTCCAACAGAAACTGGGCATCGAAGGCATCAGAAAAGCCAACCCAGAACCTATCGCAGGACTGAACGGTGAAAACTTAGGAAACCACCTTACAGTCGAATCGGGACCGACTCCTATGGTTGTATTCGGTCATTTCGAACGAATAAACTTCGACGTGACACGGTTAGGACGGTACGATATAGTATTGGGGATCCCATGGCTCAGGGATCACAACCCAGAAATCAACTGGAAGACAGGCAGTCTTCAGTTTACGAATTGCAATTGCCCAAAACAAGGACAGACGACAGGGGTGTCTGAGTCCCAACGGCATACTCAGGAGCAAGGAGCCCGAGTATCGGCTAAGAGGTTTAGAGGTGAACCTAACGACGACCATGCGACACGAGTGTTGGCAGCGACAAAGCCAAGTCACCGAGATTGGTTAATAACACTACCGGGGTGGGCACCGGACACAGCGACAAACTATTGTGAAATCACGACACTGGGAGAAGTCACCGAGAGACCTACGGGTGAGGGACTCAACACCAGCAACATCGAAGTGCAAGTATTAGCGGCAACAGAACAGATTGTCGTACCGCAGGATTACGGAAGA